AGCCCTACATATACAGGTGTGTAGGGCTCCTTGTTTTTATACTAGTAGTCCACAAACCGGTCTAATAATGATGATGCTATGTGTATATCAGTAAGATCAAGAGTACATAACCCCAAGAGTGTGCAACTGCCTGGACAACCTCTATGCTGTGCTGCGACGGCAGAACTTCACATCACGTGACATGGTTCAAAAGGTTATGCTGGCAAACAGTGCAAAGTGACCACAAGAGAGTTGTACCCAAAGCTGGGCTGCGTACAACCCAGTATCTATCATGCACAGAGTGCACGGGTTCATCACGTGATGTGAAGTTCTGCCGTCGCAGACCCCATAGCTGGAGTTGCACACTCTTGAGGTTATGTACTCTTGGTAAGATGTGTACATTAATGACTGCACATTTTGTATTATTCATAGCTGTATCAAAAATGATTGTCTCCTCATAGACATCTGTTTGTGTTGTTTTTATGCCATTATCTGTTTCGTGTACATGTGGTAAGCACAATGCAGAGTGACAAGCTGTGCGTGTCAACAGACAGCACCGATTGCTGAGGAAGAGCACGATTACTCACCAGCCTATACCAGACAGATCCTGATGCTATACCAGACTGCACTCACGACCAGTTCTGCAGCAGACAGTTGTCTTAGAAGCTGTTCTCCACACACACAGCCCCTGCAGGGCCTGGTTCCAATGCTGTCCTGTGTATTGTGTCAGTGCAGTTTTCATTCATGCAGTGCACCTTGAGTTGTGCTTCAGATCCTAGTATCAGAGTTGCCTCCACAGTCATGCAAAAGCAGTAGCCTCTGGACACACAGTCCATCTCATGCTGTTGATGAGATGTGCTGTGTAGCCAAAGGAATAACCTATTAAGCCCACCACCGCCGGAAAAGGCAGGAAGTGCTACTACTATGGTGAGTGACAAGCTGACTTGCATCAGATCTGGATTGCTCATTTGCAGTGCAACCCTCAGGAGTCAGGTGAGTTACTCAGTGTGGATGGTCCTTGCACACATTGTAACAGTGAGATGTCCATGCTGCTATGACCTGGGTCACTTGTGTGACTGTAGGAGGGAGGTGACTGCCATTGCTCTGTACAAGTAGACAGCCACACCCTACAGGTACAGTAGCTGTGAGTGGAGGATGTCACTTGTGTGTCAAGTGCTCTTGACATGTATACCATGTAGTGGCAGTGGCAGTGGTGCATGCATGTCAGAAGCCAACCAAGAATATCACACATGTTAGGTCAATCCCAGCATATCCCCCACCTGCAGACATACAGTCATACTGGTAGACACACACACACACACATAATATTATCCTGTACTGTAGTACTGTACATGTATCTTAAACTGAGCTTGTCACAGCAGACTCTGGCAGAGAGCTTTTCTTGTGGGAGTGCATTAGGAAGCACAGTGAAGCTGAGCTACCCACCACACATCACTGTATCCTGAAGCAATAAAATGATTAGTTTGAAGTGGAAGAAATGATCATCATCCTCCTGTTTGGGCTAGCCAAACAAGAGTGATTGCCCAAGGGGCTCGTTGTTCAAGTTTTTTTCTTGTTTCTTCATCCCATAATTATACAGGTAGGTGACAAACCAAACAAGGTAGGGAAATTAATGATAAGACGAAGAAGGGAATGAAAGGGGGATGAAAAAGGGATCAGGTAGACAAAAAAAGTACATGAAGTTGGTGTGTGTGTGGGGGGGGGGGGGGGGGGCAGAGCAGTATCGGTAAGCAAAGCATTCAAGCAAAGTTGATTGGGCACATTCATACTAGCCAAATACAGTCGCCCCTCTGGCACTTGTTTATCCAGCACCCTTGCAAACCAGCACACTTTCTGGCAAAACGGATTTTTTCAGTTCATTTTCTACGCTTTAATCCGGCACTTGAATTCCGCCTCCAGCAGCGATTTTCTGCAACAGATCACTCAAACTGTACATAATTCGATTTTCTAATCCAGCAGTTGTACATCGCATACCGTCAGGGAGCATTGTAACGCACACAACACATGTAACATACACTTGGGAATATCCTATGCCATTGCATAGGATATTCCCAAGTGTATGTTAAAGACATGCATTCCACAAAGTACTTGGATTGACCCAGAATTTTTTTACATGTTGACGTACGACACAAACATGTATGTTAACAGGTGGGCCGGGTTGGAGGGTAGGATTTGATAATCCAGCACCCTTGTTTATCCAGCGAACATGCCGTTGCAAAAGGTGCCGGATTAGAGAGGGACGACTGTACTGTGACTGCACCATAAATATTAAAACGAAGAAGCACAAGCATCAGCACTGCTGCAAAGCATACACACTGCATGCATTGCCGGTGTGTGCTCACCTCTTGCCTTGATTGCATGCAGACCAGGTGCAGAAAATGGCAATCAAGATCCAAGGTGTGCCTCTACGAGACCATATGACCGAATACAACACAACCACAATCACCATTCCTGCAGCACAACCTAACCTATCCCCAATGAATTCTGCGATTCCACGGATTGCAGAATTTCCACAGTGTCCAGTAGTGTCAAGAAGAACAATCAACTTACTTTGACGCCCACCTGGTAAAACTGCAGCTATATGCCATGTGCCATGCTCCTATGATCTGTGTTTGCATGTATGCAAGTACAGCACAACAAGCAGTACATTTCTGAGCTTTCTCAAAAACGATTTCCAGATGCTTCACAAACCATTTTGAGCAGCTAACGTCCTGCCCAAGAGACTAAAAGTGCACCACATTGCTTCCTCTCTTCCTCCTCTTTCCTTCCACAGGAGAAGCAGCCTCGATAGGCTTCCACAGCCTTTGGACCGTCCTTAAGGTAGCTCATGCCGAAATACTTTTTCCGAAAATTCACCAGTTTAACACCTTTTTTTGCAATGCTATGGGTGTCAAGAATGAGAAAATCAATATATTAGGGTATGTGGCACTTTGGAGGGGTTACGGCCCCTCGAAGTAGCCCAAATGAGGTGTTCTCTGAGAAAGAGACAGGTTTACATCGAGGACAATAAAATGCTTCCAACCTTCATCTGTTGCTTCTTGCAATCATGTCAGTAATTCCCATAGTATCAGAACATGTCAGGGCAGATTTATCAGCAAAAATACACTGGTTGAAAGTACAGGCTTCTGTGTGAGGAGACGAAACAGGAATTCCAACCCTGATTCGATATGGTTCGAAAATGCTTCGAAATTTGAATTTGCAAAATTGGCCCGAAAATGATTGTGTTTTTCTTGCTATTTGCAAGGCACTGCGTCAGTATCATAAAGTTATGTTAAAATGATGTTAGGTCATTGGACTCGTTTGCCCACTGTTTGCAGAAATATGCGAAGAAATGATCGTCTCTCGTAATTGATTCAAGTGTATTTGCCTCGACAGTGTGTGATTATAGTGGGCCTGAATTCCAGAAAAAGGATTGAAATGCACTTGTATCATAGTGAAGTACATACCTGCCTCATAGAAACAAATAAAAAGCGAACTCCTGTTGCAAAAGTAGGTTTTTCTCTTATTTCGCGACATAAATGCGAACGTATGGGTGTGTCTTTCACAGGCCCCAAATACAGGGAAGGATTCATTACGCACTAGCCAAATTTTGGGATTAACAGCTTGCCCTCATGATGCTTCAACCCTGACAATTTGAACAAAATCGGAGAGAAAGTGGTTTTGACCTCCGATATTTTTCGCGATATAGGCCCGAGCTACCTTAATAAAATCAATCAAAAATCAAAAGCAATCTAAAAATGAAGACGTGCACCACCAGCCCACGCTTTCTCTAGCTCTAACCATGTACTTCTACGTGTAGTGAAGCAATCAGCCCATATCTTTGTCGAAGAATTTCCTGGCATTGAGTGTAAATAACAGTCCGACGATCTACCATAAAATGCTGTTCTTCAAAATGGACGTGCTTCGACTTCAGAGCAAAGAAATAGTTTGGTACATATCAAGATGTATTTCGTGGCCATCTTCAATACAGTTACCGGACTCGCCGTATAACAAGTCAGGACCCGTATCATTGCTTCATACTGCAAGTATACATAAAGATGGCCAAAAGCAGAAAGGTTGTTTCTGGTATTCACTGGAACTGGCTCGGATTTGCAGTGTGGGCTGGGCTTGTCCACCTAATTGTGTCCTCGAGACAGTATTGATATGGAAATCAAAAACCTCTCCAGAGCAAAGGAAACAGTTGAAAACGCCAGCACCGTTGTCTTTATTATACTCAGCCAGATCACCATGGTGATGTATGCCAAGGTCCACTGGCATTAGTTGTGCCTTTGATCAAGCACCATTGTCGCCTCAACAAGACCACATGACCGAAAACAACACAGCCACAATCACCGTCCCTGCAGAGCAACCATCCAACCGGTTAAACACAACAAAATTATTAATGACGGAAGCAGAATTGTGTTGTCGCCCATCGCAAATCCTCATTGTCCTGGCATCCGGGTGTAACTGGTTGCATTCTGGTTCCACTATGAGCATCCTGGCAAGGATGATCGGCCAAATGAGCATATTTGCATTTTCCCGATCAGCATCACTTCACTTCCAGCGCAGGTTGCACATCCAAAACGCCATGCGGCTGTTAAGTTGGTAACTCATCTTAATTGAAAAGGCTTTCCTTCCACATTAGTTGCTATTCCCAAATCACAATGGAGGTTTTGAGAGATATCAAAAACACCCTATTTTTCTTCAGCTGCTCATCGCTTCATCTTTCAAGATATGCTGGCTCTTTGGACAATTCACGGTCATGGTCTGCACAGTGTGGGGCACGCTGAAAGCTATTCCGAGCCAATTGATCACATGCATTGCAAGTTGCACCTCTTCAATGAATTCAACAAACATAATCCAATGTCCAAGTTCGAAGGAGCTGTCAACTAAAACTACTTGAGAGATGGCGTTGCTACGCATGTCTGCACATCGACACGCGCCCATACACGTGCACACACACACACACACACACACACACACACACACGAGCGCACGCACACACACAATGCCATCGCAAGTGCTGTAAATACACAGGAATAACAAATAATAATAGGTATTCTAACACTTGTAGAAAAGCAAAAAAACACCAAAAAACTGCTGTCACTCAGCAGATGCACAGCAGCCCATCATGACAGAGGCACACAGTACAGTGACTGTATGGTGCAAAAGGCAAGACTTTTACAGTGCATGACAGTGTTAGAAGGTATTATACAATCATGTACATACTCGAAGTATGAAAATTAAGCATGGCAAACGGCAGTGGAAAGGCATATGTGCATGGCAAGTATACAGTGGGCTCACGGAACACAGGACATAGCCCTGGCTCTTGACTTAAGTGAAGAACATGCCCACGTGCAACACAGACAAGACCAGAGTGTGCAGCACCGTCACTACGAGACAATAAGTGATGAATATCATGACTGCCAGCACTGGCAGTAGCTGTCACGCAGATGCAGGACATTTCAAGTGCTGCAGAACTGGGGGGAGGAAACACAGCAGCTGGGCAGTGAAAGCAAGCTGTGAACACTAACAATAAGGGAACAAGAAGCGAGGGATACGAGCGTTGATTGAACACAGCACTACCAGTAATGTAGTGCCGCTGTGCTGCTAGCAAAGACAATATCCTACAGCGCGAGCCGAAGAACGCAATGAGCTCCACGTATTAGCAGTGAAAGCTGACAGAAGGGAACCAGAACACATGCAAAGGACGTGTTAGCAAGTGACCGAAAACATAGCATGCTCACCCAAAGATGAGGGCAGCATTTGCACTCCTGTCCTAGAAGCTACATCGACAACTGAGCAGCTGGCACATCAGAAACACCTGTTGTTATTGAATGCCATCTTCGATTCACAAGTATGCCGCTCATGCATACTTGGTGTATGCTGATAAGCCTCTCCGTCCTGGTGTTACCAAGTAGTGTACAACAACAGTACTACAGTACTACAGATTTCACCCGAACCAAACCCGACAATGCACACGCCATGCAGTGTTGCAACGAACAGGGCAGTCGTTTTTTGTGCGTGCTATGATCATTATGCATGGCATACACATGCAACAACAATAACAAGAGTGGAAAGAGTCATGACAGAGCAACCTCGTCCTACCTGTATTGCTATCTGCGCTTGGATGAGTGCTTGTGGCGGTGAGAAGGTGAGCGGGAGTGGCTGCGCTCATCATGTTCATGGTACCGCTTCTTAGAGCGAGACGACGACGAGGACGGTGAAGGACTACGACGGCTGTGCTTACGGTGATGCTTGGGTGAGCGGTCGCCGCCATGGCGAGATTCCCGCCTTGGGGAGTAATCACGATCACGCTCTCGATCACGCTCTCGATCTCTATCACGCTCTCGATCACGCTCTCGATCCCGATCGCGGCGACTGTGCTTGCTGCGATGGTGGTGGAGCTTGTCACTCTCTCTGCAAGCAGAATGGACCCAGAGCACTTAGCAAAGGAACGCACGCCTAGCACACAGTACATGGATTCGTACTTGAATCCACTGAACTTGTACACAAATCTATCCGATTCAACACACGCAACAGATATGCAATGAGTGCATCTCCAGTATGCGTCCACCGAGGTTCAGAACGGGACATACTCGACTACTCCATCAGAGAAGATCAGAGTAACTTACTCATTCGAACTGTGGATTTTCTGGAAACTTTCATGTCTGGACAAAGCCAGTTTAAAAGTAGTTTTTACCTCATGTTTACCCCATGCAAGCATACCCAGAGCACAGCCATAGAGCCTGCAAAGCAGGTTAAGGGAAAACACCACAGTTCTCTATTGTCGATTGACTTGGGTAACACAAATCTTCTAAAAGAAGAGCACCAGCTTTCGGTCTGCACCGCAACTCACACAACTCCTAATTTCAAAACACACTGAAGAAGAAATAACCTACCGTGATCTGTCATCATCCATCACAACTGTCGAAGCTGCAGTAACATCGGCATTAGCAATGCCACGGTACTCAGACCGATAGGACATGCTGCTGCTGCCATCAATGCCACTAGGAGGAGCTACGGTGTGATAGGAGGACATATCGGTACCAGCAGACACCTTACCAGCACTACTACTACCTTCCCTGTAGGACCTGCTCGCCATGTCGGGGCGTTCCACATGCTGATCGTGACGCTGGTGATGGTGGTGATGGTACTCGTTGCCTTCATCCAGCGGGTCACCGTCGAGCTCATCCATTTCAGCTCCGTCGAGGTCTGGGTCACCAATGGCAGTGTGCTCAGCTGCTGAAGGATCATACGAGGATGTAGCCGCATGATTGTCAGGATGTTGTGGCTCAAGACTGCTGCCAAGCACCGGAACACCGTAACCGTCCTTGAGAACAGCAGGGCCTTTAGCAGCAGCAGCAGCATGTGCAGCTGATCTGCCACCATCATCAGAGTCGCTGTCGGATGAGTAGCCTAGTAACCCTGTACAGGTCAGACCAACAGCATAGCATGCAGCAGCATGTTTTACATTATATTATACAACAGGTACTTCGAGTAGGACTATCGATCGATTACCGAGTAATTGGTATGATCGTTTCAGCCCTACTCAATTATCTTAGTCACATAGACCATGCCACTGGTAACAGTTCACCCCAGTCGACACAGAGGGATGATTTACCAGTGTGCGCAGTATTCACACACACACACACACACACACACACACACACACACACACACACACACACACACACACACACACACACACACACACACACACACACACACACACACACACACACACACACACACACACACACACACACACACACACACACACACACACACACACACACACACACACACACACACACACACACACACACACACACACACACACACTTGTACTTGTTGCTCACTGCCAAAACTGGTCACGTGGGTCTCCCCGGGAGAGGGGAGAGAGAGACTCAAAAGGAATCTTGGAAAGATGACTCAATTGGCTATTGAACCGCCCAACGGCCGACACCCCCTGAAATCCCCGAAACTCTACAGTCCGTTTCAAAAAGATTTACAATCCTGGCGATCGCCCGCAGAGTTTGGCGTCTTACCGTATGAGCACTCGAGCGCTGCCTGGAAAAACTCACCGTGAACTCGAAGAAATATTCCGCGCGAAAGCAGGAAAAATGACAACTCACTCACGTTGATACTGTCATGTACGTCTGGTTTACAACAAACGAGTTCTTCCTCGTATCGATAATGGAGTCAGAGAGGACATGTCGAAACGAAAGTGTTGTAAATGTTGACGAGCTGCATGGGTCCCAATTCGTTTTGTGACCAAAATAGTTTCTTTGAGCTGCGATGCAATTTACTCACCGTGTGACGAAAACGACATCGACACGGACATATTCCCACTGCACTGGCCATGACTTGGCAAAGCTATCCGTGTGACTTCGACGACATTTTGAGAAAAGCAGACGCTTGTGAACGCTGATAGAAGACGGCGTTGACTGCTAAATTCAAATAAATTGGCGATCTTGAAATACTAAAATAAATCTCAAAAAGCTACAGCGCGATGACTTCCATTATAATTCACTCACACCATTGCAGTGTTGTGGGTGTGTTCACATGGCGTGAGCCAGTCAAGTGTCAGTCAGTTCGGCAGGAAGGGCGAGCTCCAACAACAAGTCGTTTGGTGCAGCCATCTTCTTTGTCTTGTACCAGCTTGATCACCAAAACAATGAAAAAAAAGTTTGACTTGAGGATAGGTTGGGATTTGAACTCACAACTTCATGGTCAGCAGACAGCATTCATAACCACAAGGCCAAAAAGGAAAGGATAAATCGTGGGTTTTGATAAAAAATCGATACTGGCTTCCTGGGCAAATTGTAAACCATGGGAAAAGGCCGGAAACCTGGCCGAAATTCTAACTCCTTAACGGTTGGTCCAATTGTTCCGAACCCTTCACAGAACAATTTGCCGTGTCCTAACAAGCCATTCTATGTACTTTGTTGTCCAAATTTCCCTTATCTTCATACTTTTTAAGACCCAAACCTGATTGTAAATCTTTTTGAAACAGACTATAGATGGACTTGAAAATGATCCCACTTATGGGCTCACCACACCTCAGTAAGTGGGTGAGGACAAGGTGCAGAAAAAGGATTGACGGCATCAGGGTATCCGTCCTGGGATCCAACTGCAGTTACCCCTGCCCCCAGTGAAGGTAATACTTGCTACTAGTGTGGGTGGCTAAATCAGAGTGGATCTGATAAAATTAAAAGCTTCACTAGCACCATTGATTACACACACGTACACACACGTACACGCATGCCCACACCCTCTGCTCCAATAATCTGCCAAAAGGACTGCAATGCTGTCAGAACACTCGCACAATATCAAAATGGCTACCATAATCATGAGAAATGCATTGAAACCGAAGCCAGGAAAGGAAAGGTCAACGTCAAACAGGACACCGTCCAGTACCTTACCAAGAACATCTGGAGCAGCTTGCGTCATTACTCCTGCCAGGCAATGCAACACACAACACAAGTTAATAAGCTATTCATGCTTGATAATACAGTGTAGAGAGGTTCCGGGGTACGATTTTCCGTGCCAAAATCCGTATGGGCTCTACGAGGCGTACTCCATACGATTTTTCGGCACGGAGAATCCGTGTGGACTGGCTTTCATACGAACCATGTTTCGTATGGAGATTTTACGTCATCGGGTGCAAAAAGATTTTTGCGTACAAATTTGGTACGAGAAACATCGATTTTCCGCGGGAAGTTTTGATTTCGGTACAAATTTTCAAAATATAAAGGCATAGCGCGGGAACGTGACGTGTTTGTGATCGTAACCTAGGCAATGACGGCAAACACATAAGTTCCGTACTCCGGAACATTTCACTGCTCGAAAAAGACGTATAAAATATCCGTAGCGTCTCTACGGATTTTGGAACGAAAATCGTACTCCGGAACCTCTCTAATGTAACATGCCCCAGAGCAGCTTTGAGCCGAAGTAAAGAAATATTTCACCCAATGTACTGTAACCAATTATTCAAACACATCCAGATTATCTAAAACAATGCGTAGCATGGGGTGAATACATGTCATGGCTAAGCGTAATGCCTGAGAAACCCATGGAAAGGTAGCAATATGACATAGGCTAGGCACTGCCCGCAAGTAAGTAAGTAAGTAAGTAAGTAAGAGAGAGAGAGAGAGAGAGAGAGAGAGAGAGAGAGAGAGAGAGAGAGAGAGAGAGAGAGAGAGAGAGAGAGAGAGAGAGAGAGAGAGAGAGAGAGAGAGAGAGAGAGAGAGAGAGAGAGAGAGAGAGAGAGCAAGTACAGCAACATATGGCATATGACACCATCACCAACATGTAACCAGGCTTGAAATACATCCATTACACTTCACCTAAAGGGTGCCATGTAGACTAAAGACCGCACACATATACCAATGTACGGCACCAATGGCGGAGCAGAGTGGGAACAGATACATGACAGTAGAGCAACACAATACATGTACAGGACCAGCACTTACTCTGTCTATGAAGTAGGGCCTCATTGATAACCTCCTTAGCAACAAATTGAATGCCATCATCTGTGGCACCGAGCAGGACTTCTGTCATCATACGGCGCATCCTCTCTTGCTGCAAAACACAACCCGAAGCAAAATACACACACACACACACGCACGCGACCAAATCAGCACTCTCCACAACAGTCACCCATCACTAGGAGACATCAATGTTACATCGAACGACCTCACAATATGACAAAGACAGGCATCGTTTTCCGCAGCGAAGGACAGACAGGCAGGGACAAACTGGCACTTACTACGCTCAGACCATCGTCAACGTCACTTGACTCTGCATGGGACTCTGCGCCAGAAGCGTCATTTCTGGAGTTCTGCATACAGAGGAAACAAAGGCAGCAACAATATTTAACAGAAGTTGGGAAGCAGTCAGCGTACCCATGTCAGCATTCCAAAAGAAGTACGGCCGAGATTGGCAATGGGACGAGAAAAAGAACCCCCAGATTTTCCAATCCAGCTAGAGCAGCCACGGTGACTACCGACACACACGCGCGCGCACACACACACACACACACACACACACACACACACACACACACACACACACACACACACAATTATAAATTTATAATGCATACCACAAGAAAGCAGCAATCACCTCAGTGAGCACCACGAGCGACAATGATCAGAATCGTAGCGTTTAGGGTTCATGCTACTAGTATAATTATCAGATGGTATTGCTCCCAGGACATGAATTAATAACGTTAGTTGGGTAATGTATGAATTCGTATGGACGGTAGAATTCTGCATGGATGATCAAATTGGCAAAAATCGTGGCCACAATAAAATATGAGCTGACATAAGACCAAAAATTTATATGATAGAGGCATGACTGATACATGGCCAACTAAAGCCCAACCTACCAGCTCTCGAATACGTTGCTCAGAAGGATATGCTGATTTGGCTGGTGCCTTGATCTCCTTGACAGGTGGTGGCGATGATTCTCCCCTGAGCACAGGTGCTTCCTCAACACTATTGTCAGAATCAGAACCGTCATCATCGTCGTCCTTGTCCACAGCCGACTCTTTTTTCTTGGCCAACACTTGCTCCAGTGAAGAACGTAACCAAGATGGCAGTGCACCCTTTGGCTTTGAAGCACTTTGTCCTCCAAGGCCTACAATGCGACAAGTACAGGTGAAGGACAGGGGAAGAACTTCATGGGAGTGTGCTGTCATAAAGAGCACAGGGACTTGGACAGCCAAGCATGCGTGAAACTCCACAAAAAAACTGTCTCTTCACGTTTGTTTGTTTGTTGCAACGAGACCCCAAACTAGTTCAGCCAGCTACCTATTCCGTTACAAATACTAGAATGGCAATGCGAATAGGTGAGCACACCACAAACGCATGCACTGTACAGTACTCAACAAATACAGTACCATGCAATATACGAGCATATCCCAAGTTCAGTAAAACATCTACCCAATCAGGTACAGTACTACTTCTACAGAATATTTCTCTCACCATGTCATAACCCCGCTATGATCAAACTAACCGGGGCACCAGTCAAGACAACATGCCAAAACTTACCAGCAGCCTTCAGAATATCTTGCGGCAGAGCACCAAGAGAGCCCGCAGCTCCACCAGCTTGATGGTCGTAGGGCTGGTCAGCTGGCCCAGCTGGATAGGCGTTGTAAGCTGCAGGGTCGGCATGGTTGTATTGTGCCCAAGACTCGTACGAGTTTTGCTGCTGATCATGTGCACCATATGCATGGTACGCAGCTTCAGCAGCACTACCCTTCCACGCACCCTCCTGCCCATACTGCTGGTACTGTGATGCGTCCGTTTGCCAAGCTGCCTGCTGGTGTTCGGCACCTCCATCCCCTTGTTTCCGGTGGGCGTAGTCGAAGTGCTCTTGATTCACAGCATCGGTGCGACTATCCTCCCTATAGTCAGCCCTGGCTGCCTCACTGGAGACATACTCTGCTTCTACGGGTGTTGGTCGGTCTTGGCCGGAACGCCAGCTCTCTGATGCTCTGACATGCTCACGCTCCCGACCATAAGCATGTGGCTCATGCGATTCTCCATGCCAGCTGTGCTGCCAATTAGAAGATGACTCATACGGACTGCCGCCAGACCTGGGCTGTGCACCATCGTCTGCTCTTCTGGCTGGAGGGTGGTCATAGTGGCGGCCATCGCCTGGGTAGCGATCAGATGGGTGTTCAGTGCGTCTCTCGCCCCTGTGATCCGGGCCATGTGCGCGGTACTCCTCGCTCCGGTAATCACCAGTGCGACTGTGATCATGCGCAGCAGGAGGATGTGATTCGTGCCGGTGCTCAGCACCGTCATTATACCGCCGTCGCTGGTCACGAGACTCATCATCCAAGTGCTGGTCTCGAGAAAAGTCCCTACCTCTGTACGAAGGATCATCAGTGTGATGCTGCTCATGTTGTTGCCGTGGCTCATGCTGGTGATGATGACGTTCAGTGGCTCTGTAATCCTCACTGCCAGCACTACCACCACCACCACCGCCGGCTCTACGCTGCTCAGGAGCATGGTGTCTGTAGTCGTCGCCAGCACTCCGTTGCTCAGGAGCAGGCTCTCTGAAGTAATCCTCTCCAGTACGAAACCGGTCACTATGCTCTGCTGAGTGGTAAGCCGACTGGCGATCGTGTTCGTATGCGTTGCCAGCCCCATTCCAGCCACTATCACCACTAGCTACACCACTAGCTACACCACTAACCACACCACTAGCCGCAGCGGCTCCAGTGGCAGTACCATCACCATGTTCATCATAAGAAGGCTGACTCTGATGAGCAGTTGACCGATAAGCGTGCTCGTCATGCTCTTGCCATTGCGGCGGCTGTGTTGTCGGCTCACCAGTTACAGGTACAGGCATACCTTCAGTATGAACAGGTACATGGCCAGGAGCATCTCCTTGTACAGTCTCCTTCCAGGCTGGGGTATCCCGCTTTGGCCACGGGGGCTCCTCACTGGCTGCCTTTGGCTGCTCCACACCACCAACCTGTCTCCAGTCCACTGCGGACTTGGTATCAGTAGGCCATGGCGGTTCTTCAGCTGTCCCAGATTCGGGCACTTTCTTCCAACGACTAGCTGCCGGTGGCCTGGCTGCCACTGCAGGCACCATAGGCGATGGCGACCAGCTCCGCTCACTTTCTTCACCAGCTGCTGGTTCCTTGCTGCCATCCACAGTGGGGGGAATCTTTCCAAACTGCTCACCTTCAGCTACTGTAGAGCCTGGCGCCTGAGACAGTGGTGAACGGTACTTGCCATGCTCTGCATCGCTGGCAGTATGTGGACGGTTGCTGGAAGAGCTCGGCTCTGACAGCGGATTCTTGGGACTGGCGTTGCGAGGAGTGTCTTGCTCACCATGTTGAGTTGGATCTTGCAGCAAGGCACGTGGCTGGCGGTCACTGGGATGCGGTGGTGGACCACCAAGCCTGGGCTGACCGACCTGCGTCATTGGCCTCACTGGCGGAGCGGTCAGTAAGCCTTGTGGTTTACCTGCGGCTGGAGGCCCAGAACCAGAGTGTGCCTGTGCCGCTGGTTGTAAAGGCTGGCGGTACGACTGATGCGGGTCGGGGTGATGCTGAGCTGCAGGATGTTGCTCTTGTTGCTGCTGAGGCCACTGATGCTGCTCCTGAGGCCACTGGTGTGCTTGCTGTTGCTGTGAAGGTTGCTGCTGCTGTGGAGGTTGCTGTGGAGGTTGCTGTGGCCAGACTTGTGTGTGCATTGGAGGTTGCTGCTGCTGTGCCTGTACATTCCCATATGGAAATTGCTGCTGAGCAGGAGCCTGTTGCTGAGCAGGAGCCTGTTGCAGATAAGGCTGCACTGGCTGCGGTTGTTGTTGCACTACACCAGGAAACTGCTGAGGAGGCTGGACAGGTTGTTCGTATGGTACCTGCGCTGGCTGCTGGGGAGCGCTGGGCTGTGTAGAAGCAGCCACGGTTTCCCCAGATGATGTACTGGTCTGCAATGGTGCTTGATTGGTCGAAGTGGATGTTCCTAACACAGATGAGGATGGTGGTGGTGCTGTTCCGGCAGCTGAGGCAGTACTAGCTGGCTCCTTGGCAGCACCATCCGGCTGATCTCCTGGAGGTGCCGGCGGCTCAGGCAGTGGTGGAGGTTCATCATCAGGTAATGGCGGCGCTGGTTCTGTGGGGAGAGGTGGCCCTGATGGCAATGGTGGAGGTGCGGCCGAAGTTGGTGGCATTGCAACTCCTGCCCCGACCTGCTGCTGCCATTGCTGCTGCTGCATTGTCGCTGCTGCAGGCCACTGTTGGCTTCCGGCCATCATGCCGTATTGGGGCTGCATAGCGGCGGCATTGTACTGCATATACGGCTGCTGCTGCTGCTGCTGCTGTTGAACACCCTGTGCACCCCACGGCTGCCCTGGAACGTTCAGACAAGACACAGCACAACACAACACACAGGCTAGAAGAGACTAAATCACTCCACTAGAGTATGCTTAGGATGACCTGAACTGTAGTGATGCATGTACTACACACTGGTGTAGTATCCTGGTGCATGCTTCAGAGTTCAGTACTACATGTACATGTACATGACATATCAAGGAAGTTTGTTTTGAATTGTAATCTCGCATACAAGCACTCACCGGCTGCAGCTTGTGTTTGATAATACTGCTGCCATTGCCAATTCTGATTCTGTTGATCTGCAGGCTGATTCGCAGCCTGTTGGTTCCACATTCTTGAATATCGTATTACTCTATGAGTGGTCTTGTTGAGAAAAATAATTGGTGGAATGTGATCACTGAAAAATAGTGAAAAATAAACACACTGTCTTACGTTACGACGGGAAGTTCTTCTCTCATAAGAAAGTTACAACTTGCCCAACGGCTGACATTGTCGGTCAAAGGGACGCAACAGTCCTAAAAAAAACCCAGGTTCCTTGCCTTTGCCTGATTCTCGCCACCGTACTAAAAATTGGGAAAATGTGAAGAAAGTTGCGGCTCATGAGTAGTTTGTGTGCGTGAAGTGATGCAGCATGCATGATGCAGCGACCTGGATCGACATTTTCACAGTGACGTCATTGATTTTCGAAAAACAGAAAGAAAATGAGAAAATGAAAATCTCCCACACGTTTTTGACGTGTACGTGTATGTGTGTGGTGCGTTTCTCGTACTCGAGTCGACTAGTCGTAGATCAAAGAAGCTTTTGTTTGTTTTTTGCTGCAATTCAACCTTTACTGTAGTTTGAAATAGCTATTGTATTGTTGATTACAACAGTGGGGTTAGCTTGCGTTTTCCTGTCGAATTCTAACGGCGCTCTGGTGCCGTTGGACCCATAACTTCACCGGATTTGTTATCTTGTTTCCGATTCAAAAGTCCAAGATGGTAAATTGCTTTTCTGCAAATCATGGAAATTTCTATTCTACTTTACTTAGACGTCTTCGTGTCCACATTTCCTTTGCTGTCATGCACAGCTTCCGCTCACCTTACTACGCACGGCTACCAACCACCCTATGGTATGTATGATACATGTGTGATTTGATTTGTAGATTACTAGTTTAGACAGTTTTTATATAAATAATAAAAAGTATTTTTAGGGGAGACTTCTATTGACATATCCACATCAGTGCCAGGGGGAAAGAACGGTTTTACGAACTAGGCCTTGCTGCAGTTCCTTTCACACTGCTCTCACTTCATCGGCTCCTTTTTTCCAAATCATGGTACTCTGCTCAACTTGTTAACGTTTCTGTTCTCTTCAGAACTGAAGAAGAAAAGGGGAACTAGTACATACAGTATATACCAATAATGATAAAAGAAAACATACAAGACAGTAGTACAGCCTAGACATATCATACAGCCAGACCTCTTCAATTAATCCAGCGGCATTCGTTTGTCAGATTTCTGCCGCATTGGAGAGAGGGGAAATACACCTTGTAGCGGAAGAAGGAGGAAAATAATGGAGGCGTACTGTATAAGCAGAAATATTCGTCTGGAATTTAATTTCGTCTTTTTCGTCCAAGGAGCTTTGGGACTAAATTAAATGTAGGACTAATGTCTATTTGTCCAGCTTTTCTATACACTCTTATGATCCATGGACGAAATTTTCAACCGGACGAACTCCTTTTCTTTGGAGTTGGACGAAATTATTGACCGACGAAATTTTCTGCCTCTACAGTATCCAATTTCTAAAGAAGTGTCAGCACCGACGCAATCCACACCATCACGTAAAGCCAATTTGGTAACCGAACGTTTTTGTCTCCTTCTCATCATGGGTGAGTACGGGGAATAATGGAAAAATGTCAAATACGATTATAGAGCTAGAGCAAAAACATACCGTAAAGTCGCGTATAAAAGCAGGTGCTTACGGCCGTATAAGCCGGGGTTCAAACCATGTTTCTATTCAAGTTATGCTTCTATTCAAAACATGCTTCTATTCAAAACATGCTTCTATTCAAACCGTGCTTCTATTCAAGTTATGCTTCTATTCAAGTTATGCTTCTAAATGTCAACATCTTCAGTCTACACTGCACAGTGTATACTGTCACACATGTAGTGTGCAAGTACATGTGCTTCTATTCAAACCATGCTTCTGTGTCGTGGCGCGCTTTGAAAAATCGTGCTTCTATACAGGTCATGCTTTTATACGCGACACTACAGTCCATTTCAAAACTATAGACGCGTACCTAGGCAAAAACCGTTATGCCAGCATCTATACCACATAAAATCTGTGATCACTTTGTGCATAAATTTTTCCAAATTGGGCGTCTGTTATCCAATCCTTTAGAAACTATATGAGAGTAATTGTGGAGCGATCCTGAGCAATATTCCGAAAACTATTCTCAAAAAGTTCCAACCAAATTTGAAATATTTCAAAAACCCTACGCGTCTATAGTTTTGAAATGCACTGTACAGTAGATCAAAACCGCACACTATATGTGTGAAAAAATACTTTCAGTAGAACAGGTCCAAAACCGGGTGGAGGTGAAGAGATGACTAAAAAACGTAATGAAAACATCAATATAGTGTGATGTGTGAGGTTTATAGCGTATAGTGTGAGGTTTTTGATCTATGCATTTGCATTAGCTCTATAAAAAAAAGTACGGTAATGTTCACACGTCCGCGCTACAACCGGGTTTACAATTGTGTTGAGAAACACAATCAGCTGAGGAAGTTTCACTTGTGCCAGGCCACCATCCTACCAGGGTGGCAGATGCAGCTACTACTGCAAGGGTGAGGTGGTAAGTCTCACAACCAATGCCCACAAGAGGACGAACCTTGTTAGCTTCATTCATGTTGCCCTCGCTCCGAGTAGTGAGCTCTAAAAGTTCCTGTATTTGACTTTTTTCCATTATTCCCTGTACTTACACATGATGAGAAGGAGACGAAAACATTCGGTTACTAAATTGGCTTTACTTGACTGTGTGGATTGCGTCAGTGCTGACACATCTTTCGAAAAATTACTTTCAACCACATTTTCGTACAGTATTCCAAATTTGAGGTAGTGTTGAAGTGGAATGTATCTTACCAAATGTTCTTTTTCAATGTAATTCCCCACTGTTATCTTCTCAGCTGGTGGAGTTGAAGAATGGTGAGACATACAACGGCCACTTGGTTAGCTGCGACAATTGGATGAACATTCACATGAGAGAAGTTATCTGCACATCCAGAGTAAGTGACCAGCGTTCAGGCAGGGCGCCGCTTACGTCTGTTCTATGTTCGGTTTCATGTTTTGTTACATCAAAACGTGTGTGTGTGTATGTGTGTGTGTGTATGTATGTGTGTGTGTATGTGTGTGTGTATGTGTGTGTGTATGTGTGTGTGTATGTATGTGTGTGTGTGTGCATTTGTTTGTTTGTCTGTATGTGTGTGTGTGTTTGTGTCTTTGTTTGTCTGTATGCATGTGTGTGTATGTCTGTATATGCGTGTGTGTGTGTGTGTGTGTGTGTATGTGTGTGTGTGTGTGTGTGTGTGTGTGTGTGTGTGTGTGTGTGTGTGTGTGTGTGTGTGTGTGTGTGTGTGTGTGGTATGTGTGTGTGGTATGTGTGTGTGGTATGTGTGTGTGGTGGTGTGTGTATGTGATGGTGGTGGTGGTGGTGGTGGTGTGTGTGTGTGTGTGTGTGTGTGTGGTGGTGGTATGTGTGTGGTGGTGGTGTGTGTATATGTGTGGTGTGTGTGGTGTGTGTGTGGTGTGTGTGGTGGTGGTGGTGTGTGTGTGGTGTGTGTGGTGGTGGTGGTGTGTGTGTGGTGTGTGTGGTGGTGGTGGTGTGTGTGTATGTGTTGTGGTGGTGTGTTGTTAGACACATGGTAAAGGTATTTCGCGCAAACATACAGAAGCTGTAGGGTTTCCCGTACTAGAAGTTGATCAAAAATGCTCCGCTGTGCTCCAGTATAGAGGTTGTGTGATTACATCATCAGTTGAGATGTTTTAGCGAAGTTGCGGCACATCGCTGCACTTGCGACTTACACTGCGTACATAACGCCCATGAGCGGTTCCGCTGACTCCCCCATGAAATCATTCGCATACCGTAATTCCGCGCATATAAGCCCATGGGCCTATATCCGGATATAAGCCCACCTCCGTTTATAAGCCCATGGGCTAATAAACAGACACAAATGCAACTCACGTGTCAAGTAGAATTTTTCACAAAATGGACCTTTCCTACCACGGTACAGCAGGTCAGTGCAGTTTACCAGTAGAGTATGGTAGACTGACCATGAGCATGAACTTGTACTTTTTCGTGAACCTTCAAAATTCGAATATTGGCCCCTGGGCTAAAAAACGAACATGTTTTACTGGATATTTTATCTCCAAACTGCATTGTTTCAAATATAAGCCCATGGGCTTATATGCGCAGAATTACGGTAACTTCTATGCAGTGACCGCATTAATGGCGTAAGTCTCGCCTTCTCTACATGGTTCTATATAACACAACTAGGGCTCAAACGGTTAGTCCGGTTAACCGGTTGCAAACCGGTTACGAAGAATTAACGATAAAGATAACGGTCACCCAGTAACTTTTCAGTCAATTTTTCAAGTATCAGGTCGTTGCAAAGTATGCACTTTCGCAGGCTGTCGCACGCGTACGCAATTAATATTATTCCCGTAGCTATGCAGAAGACGTTACTTCAGTAACGTCTGGCGCTAGCCAGGGTCCACACAGCTTTAATTCCCGTAGCTATGCAGAAGACGTTACTTCAGTAACGTCTGGCGCTAGCCAGGGTCCACACAGCTTTAATTTGGTGTTTGTTTGTGTGTTTGTTTGTTTGTGTCACGCCTGGCGCTATCCTGTATCTATCCCGTACTGTACCGTACCAGCAAAGACAGCTGGCCACAATATTTTTGTTTGTTTGTGCCATCGACATGCCTGGCGCTATCCCGTACCTGTCCCGTACCATCAAGAGTACGGTACCATCAAGAGAATGAGTATATATGCGAAGGGTATGGGGGGAATGCATTCAGTGCAGTAACATTCAATTTTGTGTGGATTTGTGTGCGAGGCCGAGATCCCACTAGCAGGCTGGCTGGGCCGCCTTTCGACCAGCCCGGAAATCGCATGTAGGCCGATAGCATAATAATTATAACGTATATACAGTCATGTAGATGTATAGCAGGGAGTCATATTATGTAAACGACTCCCTGCTGTATGGGGAGATTTTCTGGAAAGAAATACGAAGTAGGGAGACGAGTAAATGCAATCAGAATGGATGTTAGTTGCCGTCAGTATAATAATAATAAGAAGAAGAAGAACGCCCGTGATCGGCAGAGTCAGCGCCGGTCCCAGGAAACGTCAGGACAGACATCCCGTCGACTCCAGAACGCCCGTCATCGGCAGAGTCAGCGCCGGTCCCATAGCTATGCAGAAGACGTTACTTGTACTTCAGTATCTCAATGAAACGTTTTTGCAAAACAATGATGTAGCTAATCAAAGGAAAAAGCATTTCCATCAGTTCTAACAACATGCACGATGAGCTAGGCAACAAAGCATAGCGCAGGGCCCTGAGCTTCCAAGCTCTCTCGTTTGGTGTTTGTTTGTTTGTGTCACGCCTGGAGCTATCCCTTATCTGTCCCGTATCTGTGACTACAAAGGCTCTACAGGATTGTACATAACAGCTGTCCACAATATTTGCTGGCTTCCGTATCTGTCCCGTACCGTACCAATATTCGTCGTATTATGTATACGACTCCCTGATGTAGACGGAGATTTGGAAAGAAATAGGAAGACGAGGAGGAAATTAAATTAGAATAGACGCTGAATAGGTGATAGCCTGATAGGATGCGTCAGCAAAAACATACTTTGGAAGAGAGATCCCGTCGTCTCCAAAATAAGCGTGAACGGGTGATTCAGCGCCGGTCACAGGAAACGTCGGAAGAGAGATCCCGTCGACTCCAGAACGCCCGTGATCGGGAGAGTCAGCGCCGGTCACAGGAAACATCAGGACAGACATCCCGTCAACTCCAGATCGCCCGTGATCGGCAGAGTCAGCGTCGGTCACAGGAAACGTCAGGACAGACATCCCGTAGAGTCCAGATCGCCCGTGATCGGCAGAGTCAGCGCCGGTCACAGGAAACGTCAGGACAGACATCCCGTCGAGTCCAGATCGCCCGTGATCGGCAGAGTCAGCGCCGGTCACAGGAAACGTCAGGACAGACATCCCGTCGAGTCCAGATCGCCCGTGATCGGCTGAGTCAGCGCCGGTCACAGGAAACGTCGGACAACACAAATGCAAGAAATGAGCATAGGAGGCTTAATCGTGCTGATTCGCGTCATGCTACTGCAGCTGCGCACATGGAAACTGTGCGGTCTATGGTAGAGGAAAAAAATCATGCAATGGTGCAGGGACTAATTTACTTCAAAAAAATTGCATAGCAATAATTGCTACACACCTCGATGTTTGCATAGCAACGCAACAATTTTGCATAGCAGTTTTTTTCCGTCGACAATGCAGTCTTCAGTGCACTTCCACTTATACCGTCAACAAACGCCATGCTGCCTCAAACCACGAAGCGAGGACGCCTTCTCCCTGCACATCTTGCAAAATATCTTGGTCACAGCTCCACCACTCGACTCTGCGCGAATCCATTCTTTTTTGGGATCAAATTCAGCAATCCACTTGTCCACAGTACCTTGCTTCACAGACATGCCGGCAGTGAAGAGGCTTCATCAATAAGGCTAGCAGAATTTTACAAAGATAAGTCCTGAACGGTCGAGACGCCTACTGCTAGTGAAGCAACGCGGTCTAAATCTCAAAAGCAGGTGAAGTACTTGTCGACACTCGCCTCGCGCTTCCTGGGCTGCACTTCAAGTAAGTATTAGTTAGTTAGTTTCCAAGACCAAGTGCACGTGCTGCGGTGCGCGTGCGGAGATAGTGTGACATATGGCCATGGTCCCGCGGCCCGCGCGTGGGTATGGTGTAAAATCTACCTGCAGTGCAGGCTGGACAACCACACACACACACAGTCTAAAAAAAATCTAGTCACAGTGCATGGCGCGCCATCTCGTGGCGCCAAACCAGCCACACACACTGTAAAGCTACACATGTGCATGCGCTACGCGTGCACTACAAGTCTATGTCCAGGGCCATACTTAGCTGTATGTTGTGTCGCAGTTTACCGCGACTCACTACGAACTTCGAATCGCAGACACTGTGTTTTGCGTCGCAAATTGCGATGCGATACCGGTTAAATTAGTCCCTGTGGTGTCCTCTTTGACGCGTGAAGAGCGCCAGCAGTATAGCCACCTATACAATGATGTGGCCAATCAACGGAAAAAAAAACATTTCCATCAGTTCTAATAACATGTACGATGAGCTAGGCAAAAAAGCATAAAAGCATAGCGTAGGGCCCTGAACTTCCAAGCTCTCTCGTTTCTGGGCTGTCAACTCGGTCATATCTGGTCTCTTGGCGTGAGAGTATGGATGAATGAGCATGCAAGAGAATGTACATGTGTGCGTTGTACTGAATAGGGTACATTTTTTTGAATGAGTATAGTCAAATGTACGGTTAAAAAAGAGTCTGCAGGATTGCCGTGGCTTATAGGTTATAACCGTTAAACCGACCGTTCGCTTAGCAGTTAACCGTTAGGGGTAAAACCGTGACCGTTTGAGCCCTAAACACAACCCTGGGTGAGGTAGTCACGTCATACTTGCACCGTGTAGTACTGTGTCTGCAAATGATGAACAAGTACAGGTTGTAGCACGGCTCGCAGGAATGCATCAATAATATGTGTCCACCTGCATGAGCACGGGGGATGTCACGGAAAGTTAGTTTACTTTCGTTCTTGTGAATTTCCCGTGAAAAGTATTTCCCCTGCAGCACGTCAGTCTTTTTTACTACTGACTAGGTGTTCTCTTGTGAATTTCCCCGTGAAGTCCGCAGTTTTCACTGGTCCGGGCTGCGTAGAGACGAGATTGTGAGGTTCGTTCGCAACCAGAAAACGCAAGCGTTGTTGATGTTCTTCTTGCTTTGCAAGCTGGAAGGAAAATTATCTCTTTACAACGGGAGATATAGGCTGTGGTAGCTCAATTTCTCTATGCCAATAAAAGACTCCTCAGAGTTCTTACTCAAAACCATCCTCGGAGCTTTTTTATTATTACATGATATTATTATCAATTATTGCAAATAAATCGGATCTTGTGCATTGACGAGAAGTCTGTAATGTATCGTACACTTGCAATCTGTTCTGCAGTGCGGTACAACATTGCATAATTGTGCTAAGCTACGATCATGGTTCCTTCCCAGATGAAATAAAGCGGATCTTGTGCATTTTTTACAGGGATATGTCCGGCCTTTGCTCATAACCGTACTATAGTCTATACTTTGTCTGCCTACGCAATCTGCATACATCTAATCAAGAGTACATAAAAACAAGAGTGTGCGCCTTGGGGCTTTTTCTACTATGGGTGTCTGGCACGGCGGAATTCCGTGATTACATCATATTTGGTGCAGATCTGAGGCGGGAAATGACGTAGTGCGTACAACTGAGCTGCAGTTGTGCAGAAAGATACCTGCTTAAATCCTGCTTGTACGCACTACATCACTAAAATGATGTAATCGCGGAATGCCGCCGTGACAGCAACCTATCCGAGCTGCACACTCTGGTTTTCATGTTCTCTGGATCTAATAGCTCTGAGCGCTGGTGCTGTTGCGTATGTTTGTCCTGTGCAGGGTATTTATAGAATTTGCATACATTCACTTGAAGTTGGGGTTTTGCTGATTCAAAGCCCTCTTTAATATTGCCTGTTGGTTTTCCTGTGTGTGTGTGTGTGTGTGTGTGTGTGTGTGTGTATGTGTGTGTGTGCATGTGTGTGTGCGTGTGTGTGCGTGTGTGTGCATATGTGTATATGTTGCAGGATGGTGATCGCTTCTGGAAGATGCCCGAGTGCTACATCCGTGGCAGCACGATCAAGTATCTTAGAATACCTGAGGAAGTAAGCAGTTTCTTCCTATTCATGCTTATTTTGAGTACTTCTAGGTTGGGTTCTGATTTGAGAATTTTGAGTGTAGGGTGCTGTTATTCTTGTAGTGCCAATTGAGTGAGCAAAACATACTACTTGTATAAATGCTAACACTCATTGTTGAGTGTGTGTGTGTGTGTGTGTGTGTGTGTTCTCTCTTTGGCACTCTAATTATGTGTACGATGTGCTCGTGTGTGTGTGTGTGTGTGTGTGCGTGTGTGTGTGTGTGTGCACGCACGCATGTGCGTGTATGCGTGTTCTTGTACTGTTTCACACACCTGTGATGTGGTGGTTAGGTCATTGACATGGTCAAGGAGGAAGTACTTCCTAAGCGGCAGCAGCGATCAGAACGCGGAGGTTAGTTCCTTCCTCATGTTTTTACTTTGCACACTAACGGTTCCATCCCGATTTTGTAGTTTTCTTGCACATGTGTATGTTTGAAGTAGTGGTTGCGACTTCGGCGATGATTTGTAAGAAAGGTTTGCTCCCCACACCGGAGCTCGCGCTATTCCGCCGACTTTACTTGACACTTGACTGACTCACGACTGCCATCCAGAGCACACGAGAAGTCCGAGTCGAAGGTTCGATGGACTTCTCGTGTGCTCTGGATGGCAGTCGTGAGTCAGTCAAGTGTCAAGTAAAGTCGGCGGAATAGCGCGAGCTCTGGTGTGGGGAGCAAACCTTTCTTACATGTGTATGTTTACTATAAAAAAAAGTAGTCCTGCTCAGTGAAATCCAGTTGCATCCCTCAAGTATGCGCCGGGCGTTGCGCAGCCCTTGGACCTGCGAACACTGGGGTGCGAAATGGTGCAAGGCGCAAACTTGAGTGACACGACTGGGTTTCATTGAGCAGCACTGTAGTTGATTGAGTTCTACATGTCCTCAAGATTAAATAATAATGGAAAACAACAGCTTACTCTTATCAGTATCTACAATTATGCAAGAATCTCTCTTTTTTCCCATGCGCTCTTGGCCATTCGGCATTATTGAACAGCCGAATGGTACCATTCTTAATTTTATTAGTATCTCCAATTATTGTATGTTTTACTTGTACTAAAGTGGCTTGTGATGGAGTGTCACCTAATCTGTGTTTGCAGTTTGACGTGCATGATACATGCACTGTACCCTCATTGCACGCCGGTTTCTTTCTTCATTGGGAGTTTGTCGAGACACGAGCTCGGTGTACAGTCATGTACTAATCTTGTGATGCCGCTGTGTGTATTGTGTGCTTGTCTGAAGGGCGAGGCGGTGGTCGTGGTGGTGGTCGTGGAGGCGGCGGTGGCCGTGGAGGTGAGTTTCAACTCTCTACTCTGGCTGGAAACTGTCACACTGAGGGGAAATTTGAAAAAAATCTGTGGTTACCATGGATAGTTGCCGCTGAGCGGGAGATTTGAGAGATTTAATCCACTCGATGAAAATCCGCGACTTCCACTGGATTTCTTTGAGTTTCCTTGTTTTTTTATTGCGTTCTGAAATGGAGCGATACTCTAGAGGCTGTGCTGATGCAGCTCTGGCCCAGGAGCGGAGTTGACAGACTGCCAGAAGCGAATGGTGACAAAAAAAGTAGCTCGTGTGGGTGAGATTACTTTCATTGTGCGTATCCAGTGTGGCCGTGATGAAAAGCAGAAAAAAATATTCCCTGTTTATAGTCTGAGGATTGTTCCCTCAATGTGACCGGGCCCTAAGGCAGAGGTGTGTGTTGTCTGTGTACGAGTACTACCGGTATGTACAAGGAGTATATTATGCATTATGGAGTTGAACGGAAACATGGCTTCTTACGGTTTCGAATTTTCCTAGATGGTATGTCCTTGGTAGCACACTTGAGTTTTGCGCCTCAGAATGCTGGTGTCTTACTGTCAGTTAGGCAAGTCGATATATTATGCACAATGATAGATCATTCTGTCCTTTTCTTTTTCAGGATCGTTTGGAAACCGTGGGGGTGGTGGCGGCGGACGCGGAGGTCGCGGTGGAGCACAGGGTGGTGGCGGTGGTCGCGGAAAGGGACCTGGTCGAGGTGGAGAAGCACGAGCACCATGACGGTGCCGATGGTTGTTTACAAAGCGTTTTGCTTACTGGACAAATGCGGCGTGCCGCTGTTGTGTACCAGGGTGTGCCGCTGTTGTGTACCAGGGTGTGCTACGTCCGCACTCCTAGCTTTGTGAATCTAACTTTCCAAGTGCCTGCTCGAATGCACATTATGTTTTCACCGTGTGGATAAGCCACAACCAGCCACGTGCAGTAGACCAGGATTACTTTGAAAGCTCGCTGAGCAGTGCAGCATTGCATGCCAGGGTTTTATAATTTTGTACACACACACAAACACGCACAACACTGTTTTGACAAGCTACTGCAAGCGGTAGTTGTGTGTACACTCTCTTTTCATCACCGCTTTCATCATCTTCATACTCGTGTACAAAATCTCATCATAACTAATACCTCATTTTGGAAGTAACTAAAAATACAGGATTTCGTGATAATAAATGGCCATTATAAAAAATAAGTGCTTTCGTATACAGTTGTTAATGTTAGGCACTGACTAGGCACATGACGGGTCATGATACAGGTACATAAAGAATATCAACAAGATAGATAAGGCTATTCAAATTCAACGCTAGAGAGAGCGAGAGAAAAACACCGCTATGTATATATTGTGAATGCTATGGGCAGACCAGCTGGAAAAAAGAAGAAGAGAAAACGTTGAAATGACGTACGGAGAGATTCGTCTGTACGGATACCATTAGTAGTCCAAAAAAAGCAAAAGCACGTTCTATCCCTTGTACACACCCATCCAATCCTTTCCTGTCATCCTGCATACAGTAAAGCAAAGAGGAAAAAAAGATGAAGATCAAAGTACAATTAACAGGACAACAAACGGTAGATCCATGCGTCCTGAACCTGATGAACTGACACAGTACCTACAAAACAAGTACTGAAAGGCGTATGCACTTGATTTGACTGTGCCAAAAAATGGCAATAAAAAAGTGTCCAGCAGCATTCGTACCACTTCCAGGGGCGTCAAGGGCCGTGCAAGTTGAGGGCGCCAAACATGCACTTTGGCCCAGTTTGGGTAGGATTTCACCGAGCACAACTACGTGTACCTGTCTCGCATGTTGCAGACACAAAAAAATGTAGACGGCGTGTCGCGGCCGTAGCTCGTTGCATATTGCGCATGGAAGAAAGTCGTACTACTGTATAATTATCATGACTCGTGCTGAATTGAATCCCTGAGGACCCTAAAGCCTGATTCCTACAGCAACATGTACTTCATTTCGCGTACAGGAAACATATCCCATGACGGTCGGGCGATGGGCCAAACCAGTTGAGCTGAAGTCATTTTTTCGCCACGAGTACACAAATTGAAGTACGAATCCGACTTTAGAAGATCGGTATACCTGCACTTAACTTACCGATAGGAGGTAACTCTGCTCAGCTGACCAAGCTGGGCAGTTTCGTTGGCGCCATGGCAGGCCAACAGCAGCAAATTGCGCGGCTGAACCGTCCAGGCGAATCGCATAAACAACGCTGAGTAGATACAAAGGGCTGGAGGATAGAAGCACACGGCAAAGAAAAAGATGAGAAGTATTCACAACAGCATATATCCACGAAGTCCCGGTGCTCGGAGATTTTTCAAGGCCAAGCAGGTTGCGTATAAATTGCACACCGTGTGAGCCATTTATAAACAGGCGGGATTTTATCATCATTTATTTTCATTTGAACTTTTAAGCCAGGAGCACGGTGAAAGTCTTTACAGCACTCCCATCGCGGCACTTGTACTATGGATTATAAATGAATGGTATAAACCAAGAGTACGGCCACCCACCTGTTGTCATTTTGCCGCTGATCATGCTAGGATCTTTCTTCATATCGGCAAAAGCAGCCAGGGGCAGACCCCAGTTAGCAACTGAAGACAAGCACAGTAGAACAAACACTAAAGCTACAGACGGGAGAAAACAGCACCACTACGGAGATCAAGCAGGCTCCACACCATAGCACAGTATCACACACGTCAGCGAAACACGCGGCAAGTACAGAAGAACCTCTCTTACAACTATCCCGGTATCCGGGCACCTTGCAGGCAAGTACATGCAGACGCATCTTGCAAAAAAGGGTCTGTCTTTTATGGCAGTTAGCTGAACTATTTCAGCACATTGTTTTGATGAGATGCGGGCATCGGTCCCAAGATACCCGGATAAGAGAGGTTCTACTGCACCGGTGACGCCTAGTTTCAGCAAGCAAACACCGGGGACCAGCCTATCACGGTCTTCAAACAAAGGTGGACTCTGAAACCAGGGGAACCTTGTACATTCCACACATCTAGTGCCAACGAATAGTAGTCATACTACTACCGTAAAATCCCGCCAGAGCGCCCCCCCCCCCCCCCCCCCCCCCGTCTCTCCCATCCGCCCCTCCCTGACTTCTTGTCAGGGACGTGATTGATTGTATCCTCGTATGACTCTGTCGCAGTCTGTGATGCCGTACTGCACTGCAGACGCGTGCTCGACCCCGTTGGAAATGTACGCAACAGTGCCCACCCTCCTGACCAGGGATCGCACAAACCTTGCGTTTCGTCGGGTCTGTTCGACTCCCGGCTCTTGACCTTTGGCTGGTGTACGAGATGCACGAACAGTTTTCGTAGGGTGAGTACTTTTTCATGTAGCACTGAATGCGGCAAGTAGGACTCGCCCATCCGCCCCTCCCCACCTGAAGCGTCGAGGAGGTAGGGGCGCTCTGGCGGGATTTTACGGTAGTACCTGCCAGGTGCACGCTAAATTCAGGGATTCGCTTCATCAAGAATTCAAGGTTCACCCATGATACTAATCTGACAACCTGGTCACTAGCAGGCCTAAGAATGCTATATACTGAAGTAGAATATGTCATTTTGCTGATATAGTAGCACCACCAGCTCATGAAAGCAAGCTGGGCACGACGTCAGCTTGAAATGATACGCACGTGTGGCAGCAATCACTAACACACGGGTGTTCCATAATTGCTTTAGCATGAAGCTGAGAATCACAACATTCCATCCTGCTCTAATGATCTAATCCATCCAGGTTGTGCAAACAGCTCTGCAAGTGGGTGCAGTGAGTAGTATTACCGCCACTGTGTCCACCTCTCAATAAAGATTGAGCACCGGTGCAAATCAGACTGAAACTAGCCAATTCTGGCAGTTCGGATTAAAATATAGTGGACACTCGATCTAGCATGCCAGTAACCAGTAACGAGTATGCACACCACACACACACACCTTTGACCTTTGACGCCCCATCTCCAGTGGAGATGATAGGCTACTGAGTTGGGCAGTACTTGATGTGACTTTATTCAAGCGCCTGCTCCAACTCAGTTTTTCTAGTGCTCTGTGTGAAACTACTCTCAGCGGGTCGCAACTCCTCTGAGAGACATGCTGCCGCAGCCATGGCCTGGTCTACACCACACAGCCATGGCTGCTGAAGGCAGCTACAACTCCATTTTCGCCAGAGCTAAAAAATCGCAAACCGACTTCCAGCTCAACAACAACAACACACACACACACACACACACACACACAAAACACTTACCAGGACCCCAGAAGTGCTGCAAAAACAAACAAAACCAAGAACGAAAGAACATAAAGTAAAGATAAGACTGAACATAACCTCACTGGCTTAGGGACCGTCCGGGGTTACCGGTTGTTTTTACAAAACGAAAGGTATTTGTATTTTTCAGCACCCACCCACCCACCCTTTCTGCAGGTAAAACGAATTCCAATAAAACATTGTTGTCAATTTTCGACACCCAAAAGTAACTGGGCATTCTCCATCTGCATTCAATAATTATTTTCAAAACGAAACTCCATCAAACCCACCCACCCCCAAAACGAAATCTTTTCATTTTGAAAATATTATTGGTAACCTTGGACGGCCCCTTAGTTATCAGTCAGTACTCCATACATTCTCTATCAGACTATGTAAGCGGATTTTGTGGGACTTGCGTACTTGCCCAGTTCGAGGTTTGGATTATCATGCACTGTTATGGATAAATTGTATTGGCGGAAGCGATGCGACGTGCAACAAGGAAATGCCTGTCGCGTGCAGTCGCAAGACTACTGTTGCAGAAGTCAACCCAAGATTAACTTGCTGACTTTTTTTAAGTCAGCAAGTCTCTCACAAGTCACAATCATTAATTGATCGGGCAAGGCAAGCAGGGTTCGCTCCCAAAATCTTGAATAAAAACCGTGCATTTCCTCGGCACGATATACACATATGTACTCTGTTTATCGAACTACTACAACATCAGAGTGTCGATTATCCGCACCCCAAGGGGTGCGGGCTATCTCCACGGGTTCGGATAAGAAGAATGCTTGGACAAGGGAGCATTCACACATCTATCTAAACATCAGGGTTCTAGAAACATACACGACGATTGTACGCAGCCTCGTTATTCTCCACTGTTATCACTCTGTCCCTACAGAATAACGCAGCCAAAATCCTACATTTAATATACGGGCGAAAACAGATCCCGACGCACGAGTTGTCTGTAATTGGTACACATTTAGCGTACAGTTTCATGCAAGTACCGTAGAGTACCGTTGATCCCCCCCCCCACACACACACACACACCATGTCGCTTCCCAGCTGGATTTTCGGCAGGGGGGCAGGAATTAGATCAAGGCTGTCAAGAGCAGTGCGATGTACAACAACGTGGAAGATCTGACTCGATGTGCTGGATTGTGTACATTTTCATCCTGGACTGGCACGTATTGTGTACAGCTAGCAGGGCATGCGTCGGCTCAACATCGTATTTCGTTGTATACGCCGAAGTCGCTTCACAGGTGGGAAATCGACAGGGGGCGGGAATTAGAGAGGGGGCGGATCAACAATACTTTACGGTATACAACTTTGTCGCACAAACTCATGGGCGGGTACGACGTATCGTAATGTCGCGTATTAAAGCCGGGCTTATTCCTGTAGAAACCGATGTCAGGGCTAGGTCTATTGACGTCAGGCTTCTATTCAAACCAGGTATTTCTATGTGCGTCAACACTAGAACCAGGCTTATGTGCCGACAGTGTATCCTGAAAATCAGGCTTGTATTCAAAACAGGCTTCTATATGAGATAGGTTTTAATACAAGACACTACGGTAGTTCATTTTTCAACATCATGTACAGTGGAGTCGCGTCCCCAAGAACGTTGTTTCCAAGCCTAAGGGGCTGGCCTGGGACGTTCTTATTTCTCAGCAATCTCTCAGCAATCTCTCAGCAATCTGGCTGCGTTCTTATAGGACATTCTTAGAAACAATTCCTACTGTATTATATCAATTGTACATGTTCTGTACTCTTGATCATAATTAGTTATGCATCCCAAACGCTACTAGAGAACTAACACCACCGTTCTTAACCCGAGGCTATGGCGTTCTTAGCATTTCAGGCTGGGCGTTCTTGGGCTCCACGTTCTTCGGCGCGCGATTCGACTGTACTGTTTTCTTGTGCACTGCATTCCCATGGATAACGCGGGTTTTATGCAAATGTTCTTGAAAATGCAGATGAAAGTCAATAACACGGAAAATTGCGCGTCCGTGGAATCGCAGTATAGTGCGAGGACAGATCATTGTATGCTCATGAGTCATGTGACAATGAGAAGTATATGATCGTACATGCACTGTCTTGAACCCTGACCTATCTATGGATGTACGTTTCTGCACCCGATACTGTGTACACATGTCACAGACACAGCGTGTCATGACTCATGGTCAAGATTTACAGGTTTTAGCCATTTGGATTCGTTGTTGACGTTATGTACATACCGGTACATATTCTGTGAGACACTTGCTATTTGGAACAACATGTGCACTCTCGAGGACATACTTCGAACTACATGCACTTGCAGTCGGCGCACATATACTTCGGCCTACAAAAAAGCCCATTCGCTGTACTTGCTTCGAAACAATAACTTTTCAAGTGAGTTTTTTATGCATGACCTGATGCAGTCTAAACAGCAGGTCAGAGAGACGTCGGCAGCTCAGATCACCAATCACTACCAATCGGCTCACAAGGCGACACGCAACACACAGCAGACCGGCTTGGAGAACCCTAAATGCAACAAAATTAATTACTCACCGTGCTATCAGTCACCCGGAAACATGAGATTGCATTGGAAGTCAGAGAGACAACAGTCAAACATGCACGATAAGATGCAAAGCACTCGACGACAGAAAAATACAATCAGAGACTAACCTGCAAAAGTAACGCGCCCATGCGCGAGCAGAAGCTTGTGCGGCCATAGTGGGACTGCACCAAAGGTCGATCTGCGCAAGGTGAATTCACTTGTTTCACTGCTCTTTCACGTCCATCAATGACTATGGTACGCTGTCAGCAAAGCATGACCAAAGAACACAACTAATAACTCAGTAACTCACTGGCTTCACAAGCTAGCTACATGCAAAGCGTTTTGTGATCCTGCTCGTAGAGTGCTTGAGTTCCGCTTCTCACTTCAAACTCAAATAGCGCAAAGCATGTACGTCTACGCCATTTCCACACTGGTTGCCATGCCATACCGAACCCACGCGCCAAGCATGCAAAGACAAGAGGCATGCATCATTGCATGCACGACCAGGCCAGGGAGTACTAAAAAATCGTTTTTTAGTACTCCCGGGATCCCTGGTTGGTACTGTACTCGCCAACTCGGCTACAACCTGCCGGCGGTACTGTATCGTACAGTGCCGTGTGGCCTGCAGGCCTGTTTCACGCGTCGATATCCATTCATGGCCCATATGCATGGCGGATCCGCGGGTACCGGGTGCGGGCGCGCACGACATGCAAGCCAGGCCGGGTACGGGTCGGTACGCGTACTAGCAGGAAGTAGTACAAAGTCATACTACTCCCTGCGTACCAGTAGTATGGTTTTATATGAAGTATGGTGGTGTATGCTGGGTACACTGCATGGATTACGGTATGTGTACCACACTACAACTAACAAGTAGGCCCGGTTTTGAGTGGATCATAGAAGCCACCAGTACAGTGTGTGTAGGGCTCCCTGATAGTCACTGATTCGTGACCCATCCTGCTCTCGATCTCAAACAATGGGCCCGGGGGTCATCTGCGATCAGATGCAGTTGAGAATACTTGAATGTGTTGCAGTGAAGATCGGCAAGTACTGCTGACCGCATGGCTGCCAGTGCAGTGAAAGTCCATTGTTGACTTTCTTCGTCTTCTTCTTGAAAATTGATCTAAATCTTGTCCTTCTTGAGCATTAGCATTAGCTTAGCTTAGTGTTGTCTTCAATATTCGGAGGCGCAGAGTAGTTTTGGCTTTATCAATTCATTGACGAGTAGGAAACCCCCTCATTTTTGTTATGTCGAATTCGAAGTTGAGCGCAAATTTCTCTTTTGAAGTCTGGACGTCGTAGTTTTCGTCTCGCTTGTGGGACGATGGTGGATATACCAGCTACACGCGGCCTTAGTGTTCGAAGCAGTGGTCAAGATTCCCGTGGCTCGTGTAATGTGACGAGGGCGCTGCGTCCCAGAAAGCGTTCTCCTGCGAAAGATGACGGTCGAAAGGTATAAGCAGCTAATATTGACTTTCAATGGCAAGTATCTGATGAAAGAAATCACTTCATATTTCTTTATTTCCTTTTAGCAGACTACTGACCTTTTCAAGTCTTGTCGGTCAAGTTCTAATCCATCTGCAATCAGGTGAGAATCGCTGGTACATTTACTAGTTGCACACATAAATCCCACTTTTCTTATGTGAGACGTACAAATGCATGTATATTCTCTATCTCTATTGACGTATTGTTGGATTGCCTTGTTTTTCCTGTATTTATTGACACGTATGCATTAAATCCTCATGGTTCGAAATTTAGTGTCCAAATCACTCTTTTCTTTTCTTCAGTGCCAGTATGTGCATGGATATGACTCCCCGTGCGCTAAGAGCAAAACGGCGGCAGCACTTGGTTGATGATGGCGAATGCCGAGATATACTGTCACTACCTGCGTTGAAAGACACTGATGTGGCCTATCAAGTAAGTATCCAGTGCTGTTGGTCGATGTTATAATATTTGCTTTGTTGTACTGGTCATATTGGTATGTGGTCGGCTGAGATCCCTGCAGATCCCTGCAGCACACTTGCCTGTGTATGGCTGCATGCCTAAGTATGCATGTGTGTGTGTGTGTGTGTGTGTGTGTGTGTGTGTGTGTGTGTGTGTGTGTGTGTGTGTGTGTGTGTGTGAGGTGTGTGTGTGTGTGTGTATGCGAGGTGTGTGTGTATGCGAGGTGTGTATGTGTGTGTGTGTGTGTGTGTGTGTGTGTGTGTGTGTGTGTGTGTGAATTCTATCCTGGATAGCTAATGGCATGGCACTGTGCCGTCCATAGCATTTAGTTTAAACCTTACGGGTGATTTATTTCTCTAGGTCCCATGCGTCAGTCATTACAAAGGCAGTGTGAATGTTTCGGAATACTACTGTCGACAATATCAATTGTCGAGTGGCTGGGCTGTAGTGGGTTCAATATTTAATTCTCATCCCAATAAGGCGTGGGTGTGCGTGTGTTGCGTGTGAGCACCTGCGCGCATGCGCATTCGGACCCTGCTTGCTCCTGTTGTTGTTTTTTTGCAACTGATTGCTGGATGCTGCTTGAGTGCTAGTATAAAATAATGTACTGTCTACCTGCCATGTGCTTGACTGTCCTCAGGTGAAGCGGAGACAAGCTGACAGCCCCACGGAAGAGGTGACTGATGTACCCAATAGAAAACGACCATTCAGTCTTTCGCTAGGGTGAGCACTTTCAAATATCAATTAATTCTGTGTCTTGAACTCCAGATTTTTCTTGTGATCACTGCCATCTAAATAAGCTGAGGTAAATTCACAAGACTAGTCCCCCCAAATACCCGACTGTCCATGCATGGATAGTTCTGTATATGTGGGACGGTCCCCAAAGCCAGTTTCTGCAGACAGTAACTTGTTTTGGCCAATAGGCCGTCAAAGTCTGACGTCACAGCTTCTTGACAACGCGTAGTTACTTGGTCAAGTGGTGACAAACGAAAGTCGCGTCACCTGCACTTGTGTTTCCAGTGGCAGCAGCATGCAGTGAACACCGCTACAGCATCATTTTTGACCGAGGAGCGCGCGAGCGAGACTATTTATTTCAAATAAACTCCTACTTGTCGCCGAGTTTTCGCTTTGTAGAGAAGGAGAAGCCGTAACTGATTTTTTGCTTGGCCACTGCTGTGCCTGTACTGTCGTTCGGCTTTGCATGTATGATGTAGTCGCCGGCCAAGAAGCAATGATGGGTGTCCCTGTTATTTCTATCGCCGCAATCGCTGATTTCTTTTAGTTCTGAGACTTACTAACTCTCGGCTCGTTTCCTTGTCCAGTGCCGAGCAAAAATCAGAACTCCTATCTCTCAGGTGCTGGTGAACACTAAATACTGCACGATGGCTTGAGAGCGAAGGAGAAACTTCCTCCATATATGGGAATTCATTGTTTACAGCTGTCTACCAATTATGGCAGTTCACCATGTTACAGTTCGTGGCCGTGAACTGCTCTAAAAAGGAATGATGTATTTGGTACCCCAAAGCACCATAAGTTGACTGACGGATACACTGCAGTACAGGTTCGATCCAAAGTTCTTGATCGTGAAGGCAACCAAGTAGACCCGGTTGCGCGAAGTCCGGCCACCTTGACAGTTCATTTTGCCGAGCTAAAACTCACACTTCCGATGATCAGCTACCAGAAACCTGCTCTTGGACTGATGCTTTACTTCGAAGAATATTTAAATTATTGTCAAAAAATTGTTTTGAGGCAGGACTCAATTTAGCCAAACCACATTTTGATCTGATCTGGTGCTCTCAAGCGTCCTGATTTCACATCAAAGTGTTGGTGGCACGTAGGAGGCTCTAATTTTGGCTGGCTAGGAGGCGACTCTAAATTTTCACTTACTTCTGTCAATTGATCGCCAACGTGCTATAGTAGTTTATGAGCACTCGGGCAGTCTCCGCAATCGATTATGTCGTTCAGCAGTCTCCACCCCAATATGTCAAGGAACCGAATATTACGCAGACGAGGCCACTCGCTTGAGCCATGTCTTACGTGTCGATCTGGCGGGGAGAAGGTTTGCATGAAAAAGAGTGTAGTATACAGAATAGATTGCAACTGGTGTACGGAATATTACGTTGGAGAGACAGAACGATCACTTGAGAACCGTCTAAAGGAACATAATGGAGAAGCACGTCGAAGGACCCGTGACAAGCGTTGGGATGACCACATGAGAAAAAAGCATTCGCGCAGGAGATTGAGACTACGAGATAGCGTCTTCACAGCAGTATCAGTCCTCGCTTGGGAAGGCGACAGGGCTAGCAGAAAATTGAGGGAGGCTGTGGAGATCAAGAATTTGGCTCCGAAGATAAACTCTAACGCTGGGTGGTCATTGCTGTAATTTGTATCGCCACTCGCTTATTGTCTGATTATCATGACATTCGGCACTGAATAATATGCTTTTTGTTTTTACCTCAGCTGTAGTCCCATCCACTGATAGTCGATATTAGAGAGGTTCTGCAAAACGAAAATGTGTACGAACTTTCGCTCCACGTCACGAAGTGAGAAACTTCGCACGAACTTTCGCAATTTTGGACGCGAAACTTGCAGGGAACGCGAAATGAACTTTCGTAGGAAGTTTCGTGAGATTGGGTCATGTCCAGGGAGTCGTAAAATAAAGTATTTTACGACTCCCTGGTCATGTCGTACGTGCACTTGGCGCGTGCAAACTACGAAAATGTGCAGAACACAAAGTTCGTGCGAAAATTCGTACACATTTTCGCAAGGCCTGGCGCGAAACTTCGTTCGAATTTTCGTTGTGCAGAACCTCTCTATTAGCGCTATTACTATCAGCTGAATTCTTATTGCACTGCTTCTCACACCCAGCTCTTACTGACAGGGGAGTTGGCCTTTATCAATGCTGGTTTGGGAGCTTGCACATCATTGAAACGTTGTATTCTGAAATGAGTTGAATTATTGCAGTGTTAATGGAAGAGAGCTTGTGGGCTCTACTCTTTAACTGTTTGTTATGTCCAGTCAAACGAATTTGATCGGCTGTGCTGGAGATAGTCCCAGCAGTGGAGTTGGCACTCCACCTCTGTCTCCGACTATGATGCATCCTTGGATACAAATGTTCCTATCTTGGACCAACGAGCAAAAGAGTTTTGCGCTGGACGAGCTAATTGGAAGGTAATTCTAGCCCCGTCCACCCCCAATTTTCACTCACGCAAAGCTCTTACTGTGTCATTTCAAAGGATCAGTCGGTGAAGTGAAATGCCTGAAAAGAGAAAATTTCAAGTATTTATTCCCAAAGCTATGTCAAAGACATTCCACGTGTGTCAAGTAACCAAGTGATCACAACTTGTACACTGCATGGCCAAAGTGCACGCTGTGTAGGTTGGTGCGATGAGTATGTACTTGACTAGATGGCTGCCTCAGTATTCCCGTACAAACTCGCATACTATCTTACACGCATGCAGAATTTTGTGATCTTCACCCATATGCGAAGTATGCCGTATGCATCCCGTACCATCGCACACATCCCTTGGAGGTTATGTTTTGCCAGATGTTTGAATCTTTGTTATAGCATATTCATATACATACTTCTTGTTGTGCTTTCTTGCCGTTTGTGATATGTAGGTGTGAGCCAGGCCAAGTTCGCCATATCCTCGCCATGATTGAGTAAGAATTTTGAAGCTCCATTGTAGCCTTGTCATAGTTGCATAACGTTTCACCTCACACTCTCCGCCTGTCCTTGGCTACACCTATAGTGGGCTTCATTACGTGCTGTATTGTACTACATTACACCGTACTGTTATTGCTAGTATTCGCTACCTGTGTGATGCCCTTATGTCATGAGTTATGGGTGGAATTTAGGGGAAGTCTTTTTGTACTGGTGTAGCCAAGGACTTGTGGAGAGCGTGTGGTGAATCATTCTGCAACTATGATCGAGTACTTGTAAGTTTGCTTTGTGTATATACTCACCCTGGTTGTATGTGCTGTGTGCTGTGTGCTTCCGAAGCCATTTTCCCTATTATGTTTATGTCGTTTACCATGCTCTCTGGAAAATTGGTGCATGGATGATACTGAACTTTCTTTTTGATATGATTTTCTGTGCTTCTTTCTCTCAGGCCACAATTCAAGAGGGACTTCATCACTTTTCTACCTAAGGAGGTACTGTTTCAAATCAACGTAGATTATTGTATCATTCTCATTGCCTTCCTTCCTAATTTGTTGGAATGCAAAAAAATAGCTTGCACCCTCGAGATGAAATTAATAGAGCACATGACTTGAAATACCAGCTTCGGCAACAACTAGTGAGGGAGAAACGGAGCAGCTACCATGCAAGCGCATACTGCATGCATTTTGCATTTGGAGTATGAGAAATGTTTGGCCTATTTACACTATCAAAAATTGTTTTTCTTTTCTTTTCACTATTAATGCATTCTAATACTAGTATAGTTGGTAAACTGGAGTTGAACCCGACATCGGGTTTTTTTTCAAAGCCATAGAAACTCACCAGTATCTGTTTAGCAGGCGCATTAATTGTTTTTTTCTTGTGACGAAGTGTCGTGTGTGTGTATGTTTGTGTTTGCTCTACCACCCCATTCCGCAGGTATCACTTCGGATACTCTCTCACCTGAGTGCAAGTGACTTGATCCATTGTTCTCAAGTCTGTACAAGTTGGAGGTCTCTTTGCAATGATCCACTGTGAGTGGCACTACAGACTATTATTTTAGTCCAAGCTATCCTTGCCATTACTCTGACAGTATGAACATTGCATACCTTAGTGGCCATCCGTAGTTGTTGCCATTTACTGGAGGGTACAAAGTGTAGCATTTCCCAGACCTTCGTCCCCTGAAAAAGCATTGGGTGCATTAAAGCTGTGTTCACAACTTGCGTGTGTACGCGTGAAACCACACATTTGTGCGTATTTTTGCTGGCTTTTGGGGCGTTCTGCATAATGGAAAAGTGCCAAAATGGAAATTCCCACTTCTTGGAATTTTCAGCTACAGTAGTCGACCCTGTAGGTCTCATCAGCAGGGCTTAGAGTGACTGGCGGGCTGGTTGCAATGAAGTCTGGTGAAAAACCGGCTCAAAGCATCTATGTCAGAGTGCTCTAACTGAGAAAAGCAGCGAGCTTACATGCACGTCTAAGTCATGTACCGCCTTTCCAATTGCGCGGGTTTGTGTGTCTTCTGTACAGCCTTTGGAAATTGAAATGTCAGGAATATGGCATCAAAGATACATCTTCAGTTAAGAAGCGTCGGAGATCTAATATTCCCTTTCGTTCTAATTCTTGGAAAATGGTAAGCGTTGTTTGGTCCTCTGTGGCTTCCTGCAAAGTGTAGGAGAACTGAGGCACAGACCCATAAGTCAAAGTAGTGATCGTTGTGTTTGCAGGTGGTGTTTCTTGCAAGAATGCATTTCTCGTTCAGAAGCCTGATTTTCAAAATGAACCTTTCGAGTTTCGTATGAAAGGCCTGGTTTTTGTGCTGGCCTACATAGAAATAGCTGTTGTGAAGGATACAAATTTTATTTGAATTCTGGAAGAAGTATAGCCTTTATATTGGCGTGTGATAAGCCCATATGTGACTTTACAATAATATACTGACTGCATGTTCTTGGGGTGAACCATCACTGTACCTTCAACTGTCTTTCAAAATGTATAGGCAAGCCACTTTTACTTAGCCGGGTCAGGGATGTAGGAAATTCTGCATGATTGATTGCAGGGATGAATTTATCCTGTATCGCATCGCAGTTTGCGATGCAAAATCGATCTACTGCTACTCAAAAGTCACTGTGACTCGCAGAAAACTGCGATACATACAGACTATCCATGCCTAGCCTGCGCTGTCAAGTAACATGCAGTGCAGTGTATGTGATGCAGGCACTCTCAATCTGCGTGCACATGTATGATTCAGTCGGGGTTTTTTGCAAATGGGCGTTCAAGCATCACTCTCAAGGACAATGCGGTAAACACCCAACGCTAATCAAAACTAAAGACTGCTACACAACTGTGATTTTGTATAGCCGAAACTGCTATGCAAAAATATGACAATAAATTTATCCCTGGATTGACTTTGTTACTTTCATGGAAAATATGAAGACGTGAAGCTTGATCTATTTATTTAAATCCTCCCTGAAATGAGGCGTTATCTTCTTCTTTTTTCTTCTTCTGGTCCTCTAGGCCTTCTTCATCAAGTACCGGATAGAGTACAATTGGCGGCGTGCAGAGCTGCGACCCAAAAAAGTACTCAAGGGACACGACGATCATGTGGTGAGCAGGATGCAGACATAGCATATGAAAAGACCAGTCTTGATGAAACTACAAATTATATTAACCCTTTACCATCCGTGCGTGCTTGAATCGATCTCTAGAGATCGATGGACATGCATACACTAAAACATTCGTAACTCGATCGATTCTTGTCGGAATGTAAAGAACTAAGTATCTAGGAAGAAGCCGAAGAGCCCAGCTTTCCATTGCAGCAATCAGTAAAATGCTGCGATGTCGCATTCCAAAGATATGTCGCTCGACATTTCAGCTACGGCAAAAGTCGAATTTCTTTTCGAGTGACTGACCTTGAGCGGGGATTTTCCCCTCTCCTGACATGCTGAGTCACTTTGGCATGCTTTGATCGCGTGGGCAGCATGAAAAGAAACTCAAGCAAAAAAATTGGAATGTTTACGATGAAGGAGCGAGAAATGGCTGGCGAGGAGAGAATTTCCTCGTATATCCAGCGATGGGGTGTATTTGAAGCTCCCTGGCGCTGGATATGTGATCTCGGGAGTGTCCTGTTTGAGCTCAATGTACGCAGCTCGTGGAGAGCTTTCCAGAATGCCCAAGATAGTGAAAATTGGTTGATTAGAACTGAAGATATTCTCAGAATAAGGTGAGAATTATTGCATTTGGGACTCCTGGGGAAATTTGGTCGGATGGTAAAGGGTTAATGCTGTCTTGTCCTCAATATTGTGCTTTTTTTTCTCTTGCCCATACTTGTATACCTAGTCTGCCTGCTTTCTCTGTCTCGTCCAGATAACCTGTCTTCAGTTCTCTGGGAACCGTATTGTCAGCGGGTCTGATGATAACACGCTAAAAGTTTGGTCTGTCGCCTCGGGAAAGGTGAGTTCATAATGTAAACACTTCCTTAAAATTAATTTGTGGCTACTATTGGAGGCTGCATGGATGATGGTCCCATTGGAGAGTCTGTGTTCTTGCTGAACAATTTGATCTACAGTTCTGGCCAAAGAAATCCAAACCATGAATAAAGTAGCGCCACACTCAAGTGAGCAGAGTGGTGTGTGTGGCACTACACAGCCTCTCCAATGGGACCATCTTCATTGAGCACTCTCCCGAGCCGGAGGACTCTTATTACCAGGGAGGGCATATACTAGCGTATGATCCTCTTTTGTACTCCGTCTATAAGCAGAATCTTCTTGGTTTTGTGTGTATCTACAATGAAACTTCAGTCATACCTCCAAGGGGCGTAAAAATCAGTACTGAGGTGCTCTGTATCCCAGATCAAATGACTTGAAAACTTGAAAAGCATACCCGGGGTCTTTAATAAAGTACATGATTGTATGGGTCGTAATTGATGTCCAATGCAAAGAGAAAAGTGTGCTATATCCAGGCTACTTTTCACTTAAGTTTCACTGGATGTACGTGGCACGTGTTGGTCCTATGCTCCTGTGCTTGTTGGCTCCCATCTTCTAACCATGGCAACTTTTTATGACTTCCCCTTCTGTTTAGTGTTTGCGGACCTTGCATGGCCACACTGGTGGTGTCTGGTGCTCCCAGTTCGTCAATAACACTGTCATTAGCGGGTCTACTGACAGAACACTCAAGGTGAGTGCAGCAGTGTAGCACACCAATCTACTTGATATTTGAAACCGTTGTAGAGTTTGTGCATGACGAGGTTTTCATAGCATTCTATGGATCCGGCAACACCGAAAAGACTACGGAAATCGGTTGATTCGGTGCTTGCACAACAGTGGGAACTTTAAGTTTTTCTCCCAAGTGTTGGAGATCTCTGTTGCAGCTGTGAAGTAATGAAGGATGTGCTTTTTCTTCCTTCTTGTTTTATTTTCTAGATATGGAATGCTGAAACAGGTGCTTGTTTACACACATTGGTTGGGCATACAAGCACTGTGCGCTGTTTAGCGATGGCAGACAATCGTGTCGTGAGTGGCTCTCGTGATGCTACACTGCGCGTCTGGGATATTCACTCGGGAGAGTGTGTCTTCACACTGAATGGGCATGTGGCTGCTGTGCGCTGGTAAGGACTTGGTCACATCATCATATGTAGTGATGGTGCCTTCACAATAGGTTACATGCCGCAACTAAGAATGGAAAGCTTTATCCATGAGTGATTCACAATAATGTTGCTGTGGATGACTTTCATACTTATCAAGATTTCTTTTTCGCCTCGTTGCCTCTAGCTGGACAAAGCGATTCTCAAATTGTGCTCAGGCTTTCTTTTCTTGTGGGCTTGGCTCAACTAAAACACACCCAGTGCAGTGCAAATATATTCTAGAACAACCTCCAGTCGTTTTGTGCTGCTTGGTTGATGTAAATGTTGCCTAAATCGGGATTCCCAGAAGCATTTTTGTGATGCGACGGCCGCGTAACCATGGAAACCTCCAATTGGAACCCATCGCGAAGCTCCCGCAATCACTGCAACTGGCTGATCACAGAAGTGGAGCTTGGTGAATGCCCGATTGTCGCACACCCCTGCATTGCGCTTTGAGGCACATCGGCAAAGCAGCGTTGCATCTCTAATTTCTTCCGTGAATGGCATTTCGCGAATTCGCATCACACTTCTGATGCTATGATTACACACCAGACTCTCAACCGGCATTGAAACTTTGTTACGTTTGACAATTACCTGATATCAACACATCCAAACCATTCATGTGTTATGTGACTACTTCTTTTTGTTTCTGTTTAGCGTTCAGTACAATGGAAACTACATTGTGAGTGGCTCTTATGACTGCACTGTCCGTGTGTGGATTGCTGAGACAGGCGAGTGCTTTCATGTACTGCAAGGACACAACAACCGCGTCTACTCTCTGCAGGTACGGAATGTGTCTGTCTCACAGTCTGCCTTCCTTTCTTTTCTCCTTCTCAGTGTTCTTCCCTGTGCAGTTGATAGTTCGATGGTGCTGCTTCTTTGTCTGCTGGTATCTTGACTTTTGTGCTTGGGTTTTTGTCTTTGGTAACGGTAAATGTGGCGCGTAGTCAATTCTGACCGTAGAGGTAGAAGGTGTTAGAGACCCCTGCTTTAATGAACCCGGCATAGGGAGGGAGGTGCTCATCTCATCTCCCTCGTCGCCTTTGCCTCCCCGACTGAAGCCAGGTATCCAATCCCAGATGGGTCTCCTGAGGGTGGAAATAATCTTCGCTCAGACTGGGAATCAAGCCGGCAAACTGCTTGGAAAGCCAATGCTTTCTAACCACTTTGCTCGCACCCTTTTTGATAACTGAAATTTTTCCTTTTTGTTTGAATTACAGTTTGATGGCGTGCACATTGTGAGCGGCTCACTGGACACCTCCATTCGCGTCTGGGATGCTTTTGCCGGCACGTGTCTTCACACGCTTTGGGGTAAAGCATTCTTATTTTTTGTTTGTTTTTGGTGCTGTTGATGTTGCTGGAATCTGTGCATGATTTGGTTTCTCAGTATCCATAATGCGTTGCAGTGTTCATTGCTTGTCTGGTGTGACTATTTGTTCACTTCAGAATGCAATCTACTTGCATGATAGTGTATGTGTATGTGTCCCATATGGTGCAGTGGTATTTGCAGCGATTTCCAATCGATAGATTGCGGGTTCGATTCCCGACGATTATGGTCACACACGTCTTTCTTCTCTTTCTCAGACTCCTCCTGTCTTTCTTTCATTCTCCTGGGTGGTTACCAACAGCCAGTGCATGCCGGAGTATGTGGTGTGATGTGTGTGCGGGAAAAATCGAAAAAGACCAAAAAGTAGGGATTCACTGGCCAGAAAAAGCCACTTCATAGCTGTGTGGTGTAGACCAGGTTGAATAGTGGCGGTCAATTCTTCAGCCTTGCAAGCTGTTGAATGGTGCAATCCCAGCACAAGCTACTATGGCTTCTGCTGTAGCATCGCTATCATCGCCTCTGGCGATGGGCGTCCAATGGTGTTGAAATGTTACTATTGTGAGAGGTCGTGGATTCGTCGACATTTGGATGATATTCCAAGTTTCCAACAGTTGTTTTTACGTTCTGTCTTCAACATCCATGTAGGCCATCAAAGTCTGACGAGTGGCATGGAATTGTCTGGTGACATTCTTGTATCTGGTAATGCTGATTCAACGGTAAAGGTAAGTGCGCTCACTGATACCTGCTGTGTTTCTTATCACCTCAAAGGGGCATGATTTATGCCTGTACCATATTTGGGCATTTTTCGATGTACGATGACTCGTCTTTGACGCTCCACACACGAGGACACACCTTGTGCATGTTTGGTCCCTTGTCTGTATTTGCGAGGTTCCACTGTATGTCCGACTATGTCGTATACATAACGTATCATACTCGTCATGCTGAAGCCATAATTTTTATCGCCAGTTTCAGGTAGGGAGGGTGCCGCCGATGGTGCGCTTCCAAATGTCCCAGCCGTGTAGCAACCGACCCCTAGCTATACATTGGGCATGTGTATAGGCCATCATCAATGGATGTTTATTATAGCATTTGGTAATATCTTCCTGTCTGCCTATTTGGGGGCAAGGTGGACATGTGTGTTGAAATGCTTACATAACCCTCTTACGGTGTGTTATCTGTTTTGTTGGTCTATTGCTTTTGTGCAGGTGTGGAACATCGTCTCAGGACAGTGTCTACATACATTCCATGGTCAAAAAGGCCATCAATCAGCTGTCACCAGCTTGCAGTTCAATGAGAAGTTTGCCATCACGAGCAGCGATGATGGCACCGTTAAGTTATGGGATATGCAGACAGGAGAGTTTGTCCGTGATTTGGTCTCACTGTGGAGCGCGAGATCTGGTAAGTGGAGATATTATCGTAGTTTGGCATTTAGTCATCCTGCTTGCAACCAGGATGATTCCGAAACTCTAGTGCAGCATTATACATGTAGTAGTATTTCAGCAGGTGTATTTTTACTCTTTTTTATCACCATTAGGCCACACCAAGTTATTTCATTGTTTCTCGTCACCTGAAAATCTCAAAAGGAACGCGGGCGGGCGGAAAAAAAACAAAATAGGGTTTGAAAAACAAAAACTGCTATTTACACTACAAAGGCCCAATTTATGACCTAAAATCAGACTATACACCACGCGTGACAGTCAATTGCAACATACAGCCAGAAAACCAGGCTCCTGCACCGGCCTCTGGTGAGGAAGTCCAGTGTTGCATGTTATTTAAATAGGAAAGAAAGCAAACCAAAGTTATTATACAAGGGGTACATAAAAGAACAGCCAAGTGCGCGCTTGTGCTAAAATTTAAAACAGAAACCTTATGGGATAAGGCATGGCATGACATGACAAGTCCAGACAATGAATACAGCAGGCTCCAATGACAATGGAGCGAACAGTCACAACGTATGAACTGCGCAGTACATGCTGCGGCGAGTCTAGCAATGTACAGCTGCATCTGTCATAGTATGGCATGACACAATAGGGAGACCAAGTCCCAAAACAGAAAGAAGTCCAGTTCACTGGTGCTTCCTCTTCTTGCTGGATGGTACTGTGTGTAGCAAAGAAGACGACCAGGTCGTGTGGTGGTGTGGTACTTGAACTACCGGTATGCGTACATACACGGTGCAAAAGTCGTCCTTCGGTTCGTGCACTAGCACTGCACCCCAGATTTGACGCCGCGCGTACTTTTACAACGCCTTTTTATGCGTGTTTACCGGGACGCGAGATTTTTTTTTTTGGTCCAATCCTCAAGAAAGGTACGCGCTCGGTGACGAGAAACAATGAAAAAACTTGGTGTGGCCTTACTCTGCCAACAGAAGGGTCACAGATAAGATGTTGGCAGTAAAAATGCTTTAGTGTTGCTGATCGGATAGGACCGAACGTCTCTTGTGCCATTTAGAGTTATGGCTGGCATTGTACTACCGTAAAATCCCGTATAAGCGCCCACCCAGCATCGTGCACACTGCTTGTGTGCACACCCAAGTGTCACACTCGTGTGTGTGTGTGTGTGTGTGTGTGTGTGTGTGTGTGTGTGTACAGCTCCATGTGCATATCAGTACAGTAGGTTGATGTGAAAATATTAAAAAAATCGCCTGATTTCACCTATCCGAAATACCGCCCTGGGCCTTATTGCCGGTTTTTATGGTGCTTACCGGGATGCGGGCATCCATTGAAACTTTGTGCCCCCCCCCCCCCCCCCTGAAAGTCCTCGTTGGATAAAGTATGTGTACAGGAACATAACTTATCAGGATTCTGAACATGCTTATCGTGAGAATGCTCAGGGTAGAATCATTAAATTCAGAGAGCACACACAGATCACTGAAGCACCTGGACCTGGACTGATCATGCAGACTCATGTATTTGATTCTCAGAATATTTCGCTGAGGAGTTTGAGAACGTGCCAGGCTAAGCCTGTCCACCCCGCGTTCTTACGATCCCGATGTTACTGTATGAAATGCTCTCCTCCAGCAAAGCAGTAGTTGCTAGACTGTCACATTGACAACATGGTCGGCTCTCTCTCTCTCTCTCTCTCTCTCTCTCTCTCTCTTTCCATTTCTCTCTCTTTCACTCTTTCAGGAGGTGTTGTGTGGCGGGTGTGCTGCAATGACCGCAAGTTAGTCTGCGCAGTAGGTAGCAGGAACGGCACTGAAGACACCAAACTGCTTGTTTTGGATTTTGATCATATGTGAGGCAGAGCCTAATCACGTTGACAATGACGATGGCAGCAACAGCAGCAATGGCAACAATATCATTATATCTTACAGTACTTCTAGTGACTTGCTATACCAAGTTTGTTATAATTTGTTCATACATCGAGTTAAATATTTTTTCACAAAGGAAGGCGGGTCTTTCATTTTGCATTATGTATTATTTGTATCCCAGTTTGCCTTGATGTACATACCTCCCCATAGTACTGAAATTATTTTCTTGTTTTTGTCTATTTTCCACATTGAACATACGTCTGTGTCTGTGTTTTGTTTGTGCAGGTCATATACATAGACATGTCGCTTTGGTGGGTGCTACGTGCACTGCATATATTTTGCTCCGTTTTTTGTCGATTGTGCAAACACGGAACTGTTTTTTTTTGGGCCTGATAGGAGGCCTTGCACTTATTATAGTATTCTTGGTCGGTCCCGTCTAACACTTTTATCAGAGTTCATTAGTCAAGATCATTGTTTTCGATTACCATAGTCATGATAGACTACAATGCAGAGCCTCCCTTGATGAATGCACGAGGCATTATTTTCTCGTGCTGCACTGCACTGTGGAAGCAACTGAGCCATATCTACGTTGACTGCACCTCTCATGTTTAGAATATAACTGAAGCTGAAGATTGTGTTGACAACGAAGAACTGCCTTCTGGCTGCTGCTGTTATTGTTATAGATGGGGTTTGTGTCAGTGTCCGTACTGACTACTTCATGCTGTAATCGTTGGAGGAGAAGCATCGAGAATAGAAAAGGGCGATGCACATTGTATGTTTTGTGCCATAGGTAAAGGACAGCAGGAGAAAACAAAACAAACAGCCCAAAGTTACAAAAAAAAGAAGAGCGGAAACGACTGGGAGTTTTCACCAGGGAGTCGTCAAATGCTTGTATTTGACGACTCCCTGGTTTTCACCTTTGCACCACACTGTTACTTGGCGATCAATTCTAGTACTGTAGCAGGAAATTTTCGGACGGAAATATTTTCGGACAAAGCCGATTTTCGACCTTTCGTACGGATTTTATTTTTGTACAGTGCTGCATGCTAAATGCGCGCGTTCGCATGTATAGTGTACATAATATTAATAACTTCACAGGGACAAATTTTAGAACGGAATTAATTTTAGTACAAAAGAGGCCGCGTACGAAATCATACGAAAATAAATTCCGTCCAAAAATTTCCTGCTGTACAGTAATTACTAGTATAGTATGATTATAATCTGCATCATTTTTACAAGCAGAACCACCCCAGTTTTTTTCTCTAAAATGTTGGTGGCTTATAGGGCTCACATGTGCACAGATGGAAGCTATTGGTTTGAAAAAAGAGTTGGTACATGTATTATTAAAGTAGGACTGTAATTCAGACAGAAATTGCAACTACCAGCTGAGAATAGCAACATCACTATGCTGTTCCCCGTGAATTCCGCGATTCCGCGGCTTGCAGAATTTCCGCAGAATCCAGTAGTGTCCGCAGAATTCAGAAAATCCCGTGGAATATTACAGAAAGGAGAGAAAAGAGAATTGGTGAGCACACATGCTCATTCCCTGGGCACTGCAAATTCACAACTCATTTCATTTCACATAATCATTTTCGAAAATGAAAATGATTATGTGAAATGAAATGAGTTGTGAATTTGCAGTGCCCAGGGAATGAGCATGTGTGCTCACCAATTCTCTTCGAGTTATGAAGCTGCAGGATGCCTCACCGCTACTTCGTAAGGAGAGAAAAGCTGCTTTTTCTGGAGACTTTTGATGTATTTCACAGCCAAACCAACCCGCTTGTGACTTTCAAAATCAACTTGCAAGGTACATTTTGGAGCTTTCAATTTTTTGGACCAGGATTTCGCAAAATTTCGGTTCAGAGTTTATAGGGACAACAAATTTCGGTGGTGTTGCGGAAGTTCAATCTATTTTTACGCTCATTTCCCTTGCAGAATTACCGCAGAATTTACTGTTTTCAGCCGCAGAATTCTGCACGGAATTTCTGATATTCTGTCGTGGAATTCACGGGGGACAGACTATGGAAGTGGGGATAGATATGCAGAAAAAGTAGTACACTCGAACGTCTCTTATCCGGGCACTGCCCGTATCTCAGATTTGCCCGTACCTCAGGATAACTCATCTACCATGTATCATAATCATTTTTTGAAGAGGTTTATTTGGCACATATTGCACATGTTCAGGATACAAAAAGAATCCATTGATAAAAATGTGTGGATTACACAGGTTGGCATTGACAAATTAGCGCTTGCGCATACAAAACAAAGTTTAAACCCCCAAAATCGAAGCATTTTTGCCATAGAAACTCAAGCCGGAGATGCCCAGTAGAGAGACGTGCCCGTATCTGAGGCGTCCGGGTAAGAGACGTTTGAGTGTATAGGGGTGAAACAGATTTTGTTTATCAGATAACCAATCCAGGGAGCCCTACACATACATATACCTAGGCCATGGAAAATAATTTTTCAAGCCCATAGCACCTACACGACATGTAGGCGCTATTGTATGGTTCAATCTGCGGACTTGGCCTTCCAATATCTACAGCCACGCTGATTAGAGGCCGTATGGCGTAGATCGCAGTACATGCCGTACATTTACAGGAACTAAAAAATAAAATAATTTCAGTGCCCTGGATCGGGAGGGTGAAATCCAGGGCGGGCGCTGACGATAAACAATCTTTTTTTTATTTGGCCTTACCGTATTTCCACAAAATAGTAGGCCGGTCTACTATTTTTTCAACCTCGTCCTAACCCGGCCTTATAATCGAGGACGGTCTTTTATTCTTTCAACCCAGTTTGACCCCGGTCTTCTATTTCTCGCCACACGGTTTTACCCCCGTTCTTCCATTTTCTTCTACACGGTTTGAGCATGGTCTTGTATTTTTCCCACAGTTTGAGCACGGTCTTCTATTTTTAACACAAGAACAAAGACTCATTTAGCAGGCCCGGTCTTCTAATCGGAGACGGTCTTTTATTTTTTTCAATCGCCCCCTACCCCGGCCTTGTATACGAGGAAGGCGTTGTATACGAGGACGGCCTTTTATTTGCGGAAATACGGTATATGTTACCGCAAGAGTACATTTATGTACTCTCGGTTACCGGTATATCAACTCTTGCTTGTGAACCCTGAACCTATCCTTGTAAAGATTCAATGATTGATTAAAGATTGATTAAAGTTTCAAAATTTAATATCAATGCAGAATGCTTGTTTCATAGACTTCGAACAAAATTTGTTCGAAGTCTATGAAACAAGCATCCTGGTTGCATATGCAATGTAGTATCTACTCGGTTATCCTACACATTAATATACAGTCCTGTAGATCTACAGCACAATGTACATGATGAGTTCATCTGTTACTGTTCAAATTCACCAACAAAAATCACTAGATGGTTGCAATTCGTATTCCGACTCTTCTTTCACTGTATTGTGCCGTGGTCGTCATGGTTATCAGTGGTTATGGACTACAGTTAAAAGTGTTGGAAGCCTTCTGTCAGCGTCTGTATAAGCCTAATTTGTGTGTACAGAAAGATAGTATAATTGGGTTGAAATTTTTCAAGTAAAGTGTCATGTTTGGTGCGCCAAGCTTGGCCGTTAATGTTCTAGGTGTAATGTACTGCTGTTATTTGTTATCACTTTGTCCTTCCTTCTTTCTTTCTCTTCTTTGTTCATTTTTTCAGTTGCAAGTTTAGTGTTAGTACACACATTCGTTATTGCTCTCGCTTTCATTGTTAAAATAATTATTCACACTTGTAAATTTCACTGCTGTTGTTCTTAGTGTTATTTCTCTAACTTAGATTTTCTATGATAGTTCAATTTTGTTTTCAGTGTCCTCTAGTACAACGAAGATTCCGGATGAGTGTTGTACGAAAACTTGTTTGAATCCTTATTTTCTCTACACCATTTCTTCACATTTTCATCGTTTTATTGCACATTGTCTCCACAGTTTTACATTACAAGAATAAAGTGTACACAAATGTCGATCCAGCTTGTATTACTGATTGCAGTTATCAAATTGTTGTCTCCTCGCCGTTTGTTCAAAAATCACTAGCACAAAATAATGATAATTATTGATTATCAAATTCTACCGATTACGTTATCGTTTCGTTGTAACACTTGAATCAACGGTATACATGTGATCATTTCAGCCATACAAAAATTGATGATGTTGGTCCTTTCATGTGTAGTCTCCTGCTGATTATCTTCTGCCGTAACTGTTTCTGTGATACCGGCGGTACATGTCGGTACTGGTAAAGCTGTGGGACAAAGAATCACCTCGACGACATGCAATATACCAACAAGCTGAGCCGTAAATAGCGCCCTGGTGTTTCTAGCGAGAGGTGTTCCTGCATGGGTGCATGCACCCACGTGGGGAAAGGGGGCATTGAGAGGGCACAGTTCAGGAGAGGAAACTATTCATGCAGTCCAGTATTATGGTATGATTTATCATGGAAAAATAGTAATCGTATCAAAAAAAAAAAAAAAAGTCGCCGCGCAAACTCGATCTCACGATAACCACTACATGTATAGTTGCGACGCCTAATATGCATACTAGATCAATTGGGTTTCTCTGAGGTGAGCCTCGATTTGATGATAGATCGAGATCTGCTCCTCACTGTTCATTGACATGAAGAGGCGAAGCACGTAGTTGGGCTTCACAGCATGTACAAACGTCACAACGTACACATACGTGAAAGTGGCCATCAGGAACTGGCAATCAAATCTGTCCATGAATCCGCCGTGGCCGGGGATCAAGTTGTCAAAGTCCTTGATCTCAAATGCACGCTTGAAGCCGCTGGCCATGAAGCCGCCAAAAGGCGCAATGGATGATGCAAATGCTGCCAGCATTACTGCATGGAACTGAGCTGGATAGATCATCAATACTTTGCCTAGGATTGGATGCAATGCCAGGGGTACTTCATACGGCTGCTGTGTGAATATGAATGCAGGCTTGCATGATAGCGTTGCTGCGAGTATGCTGTCCTCACGATACTCCACTGGACAAGCAAAAAACTCAAACTGAGCCAGGAACCATGCGAAAAGGAATCCAAACAGCAAAGTGCTGAAGAACGCACCGATAAATCCTTCCCAGGTCTTCTTGGGTGACAGCTGAATCAAGCTGGTTCGTCCAAAGAAGAATCCAAATATGTAGGCCATAATGTCATTGCAGACGACCAGCAGCAAAGGCAGAACAAACCAGAATATGCCCTCAAACAGGTTCTGTAGGATTAAATGTGACTGGGTCACAATGATCAGCAAAGTGACATGTGTCCAGCCAAACATTTTGAACTGCATCCTGTAGGAACCCTTCTGGAGCGTCAGCACAAAAGCCACCAGGCCGGACACATACATGAGGAACGAGATAATCAGATGATAACGTAAGAGCACAGGTAGATAATTTCCAGTTTTGAAGAATACAAAGAACGTGCTTGGCAAGATCTCTCCATAGAAGAAGTAGTTCGATGCCATCAAGAAGTACCACTGCAATGTTCGGAAGTAGAGAAATTCGTATTCCCTGTACTTCTTGTGACCAATTGAGATAACTTCATGGAAACATTTAACTTGAATTATCAGGACTGCGAACATCAATCCAAGTGGCCCGATCCACAACACAAATGCAAGCACCATCAGTAGAAGAGCAGTTGCGAATCCACGAATCCACCAGTTTCTCCATTTCGGGCTTAGATTCGAAAGTACTTTTGATTCCATTGGTTTATCTGTTGTTTGGGATGGCTCTTCTTGACCTCGTCGATGAGGACGAGCTGACATTTTGTCAACTCCTTCCACAAACTCGATTTAAAAAAATACTAAGCACACTGCATGCACTCCGTTCGTTGCACAGCTAGCTGTGCATGCATGCAGTACAGCTCTTCACAAAAATGATTACTGCAACTACACACTCAGCCATGTACTTGAAAAAGAGATTCTTGCTCCTGAGTGTAGATCTACGAGTCGTAGTCTGGTTTCGCAGTGCAGTGGTGTGCCACTTCCTCCCGGATCCCATCGATCCCGATAACGATATTCCATCGATTTGAAATGCATGCACAGAATCATGCATGACATTTTTTGTGTTGTACGAGCCGGCCAGCAGGCACTTCTTCAAAAATGGTGTGGTAGATACATGCATGCATGGTTTGAAACCAGGGGCAGGGAGTACTAGTACATAATTATAGTATAGTAGTACACAACAGTTACATTGTAGTAGATCTACTGTCTGTAGTACCACGTGTACGTAGATCTACGACCACGTACAGTATGTACAGCTAGTATGCAGGGAGTCGTAAAATATCACATTTTTTCGACTCCCTGATACTTTTTTTTTTTTACGGGGTAACGGCCTCTTTTACGGGCAAAATAAAGTCATGTAGACGTGAAAGTGTGCATGTATGATGATTACAGATTAGTGTACAATCATGTACATGTATGATTTTTTTTTTTTTACGGGGTAACGGCCTCTTTTACGGGCAAAATAAAGTCATGTAGACGTGAAAAAAAAATTGAGATACCATGAAAGTTAAAATAGAATTTTATTCAAGTACAATACATTGGGAAACTCCAAGAAATTCCACGTAAAACGGACGGAATTCAGTTTTCAATGGCCAATGCCTACCCCAGCACCATCCTGCGTCGACAGGCCTGTCAGGCGCCTTCTAGACCCGCGTAGCCGGAGGTCGACTGCATGGATCACAGCAAATTGGCTGCGAACTCGCACCCAAGCCATGATGATAGAAAATGGCTTGTCCCACTTGAGGGCGAGGCGACCAGCAAGTCGCTTCTGATAGCTGGCGTATTCGCGATGTAGCACCCCATCCGTGGAACAAACCAGTGGTGTGAACGACCCACGGAGGTCCTCGGAGGCCTGACGATACTTCTTTTTCTTCGCGTTAGCAGCGCGGTTGGAAGTAGCTTCCCAGGATGAATGGGAGTAACTGGGTGCGTTGGCATCAATGATGCGATTATCAAAAAACGCCACCCTGTTATCCTCCCACACACCCCGGGCAAGCCAATCTGCCCGAAGAGCAGGCTGCCCCGTCCGATCACCCTCCGGCACCATGATCGGCTCGACGACAACACCACCGAATGCCATATCAGCTAGCTTTGCATCGCTATCACGCAGATCATTGTGGCCTCGCTTGATAAGTCCACCTTTCGGGCAGTCAAGGCCATGCTGGAGAGAGAAAGGCTTCCCGCAACCATCACATTGCGCTGGCAGGGCAAGCGGCTGCCGGCCATAGCGGATGGCAAGTTGATCGCGGAATTCTGTACTCCCTGATACTGGATACATGTACATGACGTAGCTGATGTAAACCATGGTATACGTACGTAGATCTACGAGCAAGAGTTCATGGGGGTTATGAACTCTTGGTACGTAGACCTACGTAGGTCTACGTAAGTACAGTCCATTTCAAAAACATTGACAAAAATGAAAGAAAAAAGTAAAAAATGCAAAAGGAGCCGTAACGTGGTAACGGCCGGACCCCCGGTACGGTCCGGACTAGCCGGACTCCGGATCCTCGAGCATGCAGCTAGCGTCCGTCGGGAATCGCGAGGGTGCACCGCTCGTACGGTGTCCGTAGAGAGACCGTCGACGCGTCTACCATGTCTACGGTCTAGTCTGGTGAGTGATGCAGCAGGCGCACATAGCAACGAGTAGAGCTACGTAGATGGTTGGTCTTTTTGTTTTTACGTGACCACACAACATTTCCATTGACCATGTACGTGAGCTTCCAAATCAATTTTTCAATTATCTCACTGTTGCATTTCAGTGTTTGCTCTTTTGCTGGAGAGCTGTAGCTTGGAAGATACGAAGGGGAAATGGTGTGATTTGACCAAACGACGAAAGCTGAGCCCAGGAGCTTCAGCTTGTCATGTTGTTCTGAATTCGCGTGCCCTATCTTTGAAGCTGTGTAGCTGTCAAAGTTATCACTGAGTACGAGTTTGCCTTGTGGCTTGTGGCTTTATAGAAATGGTGCTTGGAAAAACATTCCGGGTGTGGAAGAAATCCCAGCCGCGTTCCGTACTGCTCGAGTGTAAAACCATATCTGAAACTCTGCTCTTCGAGTCTGGAGCCATTGCTGTTCTGAGTAAGAACCTGAGTGCTAACTTGCTTTCTGTCAAAATGCACTCAGTGATCATGCTCGCTGTGTGTTGGCCTATGTTTGAATTCAGCTCCAGAGGAATGTGAACATGTGAAGAAGCAGTACTCCAAAGTCATCGATGCTCATGCTTGTCTGGGCGTATTGAATGTCAATTTAGGTGGGTTTCTGCAGAAGCATTTACATTTAGGCAAAAATGATATGAGCAATAGAGGGCTTTTTTCAATTATAGTTTCCTAGCCACAGTGTGTCTCCTCGGCATCTAGGTTATACTGCTGGATGACAACGTGTTAAAGGGGAAGTCCGGTGAAAAATTTAAATTTCACAGTCCGTAGAGTTCGGGGCGCTGGATCGAATGGTCTTTGTCCGAGGAGGCTGCGGCTTATGGTTCGTCAGATACGCCCAATCGAACATGTGCGAATTTGAGCGCGCATCACCCAGATCCAGGTGATGACGTCACAGCGTGCAGCCAGGTAGCCACACCATCTAGTTGTGTACAAAAATGGCCATATTCGGAGCGCGTTCGATTGGGGAACCGTTTATCGCAGCTTCTTCGGACCAAGACCATTCGATTCAGTGTTACAAACACTACGCACCCTGTGATTTTCAGCTCGGTAAACCTCGAGGTTATACCGTATTTTAGCCGTTTCCGAGTTGGACTTTTCCGTTAGCCCGTCTACATGGTCTATGCGCTCTGCGCTGCGTGCATGCAGTGCGTGCAGTGTGTTATCTAGCTCTAGTGCAGTCAACAAACTCATGTCACAACTGACACAAGACTCAGAAAACTAGTCAACACACGGACTTGTCATGTACTACACTCGTATCAGTCGTATTGTGCAGTCATGTAGTCAGAGAACGTGCGTTTCTCCTTGCCGGTGCCGGTGGTTGTGCTTTGAGAAAGAAAATTTTAGTTTTCCGCACCCGCGGCGCCTCATTATTTTATGCTACAGCGATGAGTGCACAACCGTGACAAGTGACAAAACAGCGAACAGCTCTCGGACCTAGAACTTTCAGATTCCATAGCGTTGCGAGCGAAGAGTCGTGCCCGTGGTTCAAAGAGCCTGCACTGTTCTCCAATTGAGTAGTCCGAAATATTCCAAGTTCGCACCAAAACATCACCATGTGGCAGGCTACTGGAGTCTAAGCGAATCTAATCGGTATGGAACAACATTTAGAGCACTCGCATCACTCTTCTCCATTTTGGCGACCCTGCTCTCCAGCGATCTGATAATTACATCAGCCTCGTCTGCAATAGCTGCTGCTTCTTCATCAGTCGGAAACTCAGTAGCGCTCACTCTTGACCGGCCCGCGCGGCCATTCCTTCAGCTGACTACCGAGGTTCTCAGCCCCAGACCGAACTCATGAAGGTCAGCCATGGCTGCATCCTCACTCTCACAAGGAGTTACATGTCTTCGGGGTCGCTTGCACCACCTAATATCAGTCGCCAAATCATTTGAAATAGCACTGACACTATTGCTTTCACGCACTCCTTTTGACCTAGCTGCACGCTATGACGTTGCAGAGGGTGTGGCGCGGCCGCATGACGTCATGGCGCAGCCCCCGAAACTCAGTTTTTTCAAACGGAAATATCTCGAGAACGCTTTGTCGGAGACACGTGGGACCAACACCATTCGACTCAGCGGCCGAAACTCTACCGACCCTGAAATTTAAATTTTTCACCGGACTTCCCCTTTAACTACTTTTACTTGTACTTGCTCACTGCCATGACTGGTTCCACGTGTCTCCCCCGAAGAGGAGAGAGAGGTTCAAAAGGAATCTTGGAAAGACGACTCAATTGGCTATTGAACCGCCTAACGGCTGGCACATCCTGAGATCCCCATACTCATTCACACACACACACACACACACACACACACACACACACACACACACACACACACACACACACACACACACACACACACACACACACACACACACACACACACACACACACACACACACACACACACACACCTTGACCTTGACATACAGCTGCTGTTAAACGGCTAAGCTGCCCTCATGAGGAGGGGAACAAAGGGGTAGCGTCACGGCTTTGCGACAGAACATCCGGCCTCATGCCGTTGCAGATCCTGCTGCCTGCGATATCTCTCGCCGCACGCACAGCAGAACATTGAACTCGAGACGCTCCCTTGCTGTTGGTCGCTTGCCACGCTCGCAATTGTGCCGTTTATATCCATCAGCAGATCGAAAGCACCGGTCACATGACGGGCAGTGGAATGAGCAACAATGTTGGTGTCGAAGCACTAGGCGAGGTGCAGGATCGACAGAGTCCGATGGCTGTTGGGAGGAACCTGCGAGAGGGCACCTATGCACCTTCAGCCCACCAGCACTCTTGAACCATCTACTACAACGTTGACACGACTTTGCACCAGGCTGTTGGCTGACAGGAAGTTGACGGGCCGCACTGCACTTATGCCGCTTGTACCCAGACGCACTAAGATGGTGGTCGCAAACACTGCAGTACACAGTTGGCTTAGACGGTGGTGGTGGTGGCACAACATCAGCGACACTCGATCTCCACAAATGTTGATCCTGGGCTGCTGTAAACCATTGAGTATTCAAGGAGCGTAGGTTGTGACACACGCACACACACACACACACACACACACACACACACACACACCTCGCGTCCTCTTTCAAATTCAACCGTATACATCACTCCTACACACCTGTCCTACCATCACCCATTAATGCTTATGTGTTCACACATTTTTCTAGCACAAGCACGCTGCATCTTTTTTGCCTTCACTTTCCCCTTTAGATGTGGATATTCCAGGGCTGCCAAAGTTGGAGGGATAAAAATCTGACAGGGGTCCGGGGGTGTCCCGCGGTGAAATTTTTAGGAGAATGGCTTGCTGTTGGGGCCCCAGAACACATTTTTAACTGTCCACACACATGAAAGCACGCGCGCATTTTTACAGCTACATGGAAGCGAATGGCCAACTGGACTACAAAGCGCGCAAAATAAAATAATCGGTTGTCCCTCTCTGGGAACAAAATCGGTCGGTTTTTCCGACAGGCGATCAAAAATCGGAGCAAGTGGCAGCCCTGATTTTCCCCTGCCTAAGCGTTGTTGTTTGAGGTGGCTTTTGTTAGCGATAGTCTCTCGAAAATCGATTTGAAAATTCACGATTCGTATCTTCTTCCCACTGGCACCTTTTGTCACTCCTATGTGTTTGAGCTCACGCATTTTACCACTGTTGTTTCTGGGCGCTCTTCTCTGCGCTGTTTTATCACCTCTATGCTCTACCAAGTTCATTGTTCTCGTTCATTTTCTTTTTGCCTCTTTTCACCTGATGGGAAGGCATTGAAAGTTTGTGCTTGCGAGGAGCCAGACGTTTGTTCTTTTCCCAAGTGTGATTCGTATTTTATTGTTACTGCTACGTTAGTGTATTTGCGTCATTACTACTTTTCATTGCTGTTATAAAGCTCTTGTCTCCATGCTGCCTTTTTGTTTATAGTTAAAAGTGCATATTTTCTGGAAACTTTTGCAGGACAGTGTTTGTGTTCATCATTTTAGTGACGTTTGGCAGGTATATGTCGTGTGCCACATGGTGTTCACTCCACGGCACTGTGGTATGTATTTTACTCGTGTTAAACTGGGTGCATCCTCCGGTGTTTTACTCGTGTGTGTGTTTGGGTGTGGGTGTGTGTGTGTGTGTTGCCTGCATGTATTTGCATATGTGCGTATATGTGTGTGTGTGTGTGTGTGTGTGTGTGTTTGCCTGCATGTATTTGCATGTGTGCGTATGTGTGCGTATGTGTGCGTGCGTGTGTGTGTGTGTGTGTGTGTGTGTGTATATGGGCGTGCGCGTATGTGTGTGCATGTGTGTGTGTGTTTGTATTTGTGTGTGTACATGTGTGCCTGCATATGTGTGTTTGTGTGTGTGTGTGTTTGTGTTTGTGCATGTGGTGTGCATGCGTGCGTGATTGCGTGCATTTTTTGTGTCTTCAGGAAATAAACATGTCAAGTATCTATTCCTTGTAACTGGTTGCTCGTCAGTGGGTCGTCTGTATGGTAGTGAGATTCAGCGTATCACAGACGTGTTCACACTCTTCCTGGAGGACAGTGTTGACCCAGACTATGTCAGTGAGGTGAGCCGTCATTGATTGCTGCGTTGCCCGTTTGTGTTCCTCTTGTTGTGCAGCTGCAGCAAGTCCGGTCTGATCGGTGCTGGTTGCCGGTTGCTGTGTAGTGGCAGCACTACCAACACTAAATTGCGCACAGGGGAGGAGGGGGCGCTTCGCTAATCTAGTGAAGATGTAGAATTGCATTTTCTGTGGCTGCACTTTGACGTACTTATCAACATTCCATTGCACCTCCACTCCCCTGCTAATGCTGGCTGTTGATATGTATTTGGAGCTCCCCTTCTAAACCCCTGTATTGTTTTAGTATCACGTCTGGGTCTTTCTTATTCAGCTCATCTTCAACAAATGCCTACTATGACTCGTGTTGTGCCTAGGTGCGTAAGCTCCTGTGTTCAGGTACATTTTACTTCACATCGCAAGGCAGCACTGCTGACTCAGCTGCCTCCGCCAACAGTGGGGACTTTGAAGCTCACGTGGTGGACCTAAGTCTCAGTGCTCAGTGCCGATATCATGGACGCAGCCTTGACGACCGATTCATCTGGTTGGTTTGACAGTGTGTGTGTGTGTGTGTGTGCGTGTGCGTGCGTGTTTTGTGTTTTTGTGTGTGCTTTTGTTTCTTTTATACGTGTATGTATGTCCGTACGTGCATGCATATGCATGTGTGTGTGCGTGTGTGTGTGTGTGGGGGGGGGGGGGGTGCATGTGCGTTGAATATGTTGGACTGTAACTAACTTAAGCCTTGTGTAGTTATGTAGTGCCAGTGCTGGGGTCTGTACTGCTGCCTTGTTTTGGAAGGAAATGATGTAGCAGACAGTTAGCTTTGGGTTGCTTTGTTCATTGCTGTTCACCGCTCAGGAATCAGAATCTTCACTACCTCCCGACTCAGTTTGGTGTGGACACGTCTCAGTGGCTCGTGCGCATCTCCTGTGGCAGCGTGGAGGTGCGCACCGTCTACGCAGGCAGTAACAAGGCTAGAGTGACGCTGATGTCGCGGCTGAGCTGCTCTCGAGCAGGCACCCGCTTCAACGTGCGCGGTGTTGATGACTACGGAGAGGTAGCCAACTTTGTGGAGACCGAACAGGTATGCCGTGGCCGGCTACTGCTGCAGCTGTGCTTGTGCGACGCCTGTTTCTCTTTGCTCTCCTGACATATCCTCAGTGTCGAGCATCGTTCCATATTTCACTTGCCACAACCTAGGCATACAGCTCTCCAGTATGTTGGGTTTGTGTACTCACTGTGAAGTGCCGCCAGAGCACCCCACCACTGCCACTCACCTGTGGTCGTGTTTTGGAGGTGGAGTCCTGGCTGTACACTGTAGGTCGTCCGACACATACCTTGTAGACGCATTGCGCGTTGTGCAGTCAATCCGTTCTCAGCTTACCTTTGAGCGGACGTGAGCTCCACACAAGAACATGCTAAGTGTGACCTTAGTCCTTGGGTGCTCTTCAAGTAAAATTAAGTAAAATCAAGGCTGGGCGCTCTTGCAGTGCTTCCAAAAGGCTAGGTGCAGCCTGTGTGTGTTTGTGCTCTACCCTGTTCATGACTTTAATGGCTGTATCTTCTCTGCTGGTATGGTTGTGTGCTTGCTGGTATGTTACTACTATTACCATATGCTGCTCGCCATCGTCGTCGTCGATGCTTGCACCTAGGCAATATCATTCCAGAAGACCATGGTATCGTTTGTGCAGCTGCGTGGTTCCATTCCACTATTCTGGGAACAACCCGGATTCCAGGTGAGGCATGCTTGGTTTTAACCTCCGCTGTGTTGTATGTGCGGTGAAGTTTTTTGTGTAGTCATGTCCCCTAATCGATGCATACTGGGTCTCAATTAGAAGCTGACTACACGTAACTCTCCTCCTATGGGTTGTTTGCCAAAAGGATTGAGTTGAGTTGTCAGATGTGAAAATTGATGTGTTTAGCTACAGTACTGCTGGTCTTACACACGTGTGTAATATTATTCACAGTGCAGTATGTAGTCGGTTTTGATGTTCTATGTACATGTATTCCGCTCCGTGCCTTTTGGTTTTTAGACGGGAACTCACAAAGTCAAGATGTCTCGAGGCTTTGACGCATGCAGGCCTGCATTTCGAAGGTTAGATTTGCTACTCTGTGTGTGTGTGGGGGGGGGGGGGTTGTATACTTTGTCTGTATCTATGTTCTGCCATGTTCCTTACCAGCCTTGTTTGTCTGTTCGGGTCTAGTGAACTTCTGTGCTATTGTTTAGCAGTTGTTTCTATTATAAATTAACAGGAAACAATTGAGTCAAGTGTGGCCAAGTTTTTTTCCTTTACCGAATATGGCGAATAATCGCATGTTATGAGGTAGCACGTGGAGCTAAAGCTAAAGTATGGCTAGTATGTCTTACCAGAAGTAGTTTGCGTTTGGAATGGTGTGGCCCGTCACAAGATCACAATGGGAAATAGGAATCCTAAGACATAGCCTGCTGTCGTATCTGCATGTGCATTCCTCTACCCACAGGGTATTGTTGTATGCCTAATGCCACAGTTCCTACAACATATCAGTGGGTGGGTGAGAGAGACAGAGAGAGAGACAGAGAGAGAGAGAGACAGAGAGAGAGACAGAGAGAGAGACAGAGAGAGAGACAGAGAGAGACAGAGAGAGAGACAGAGAGAGAGAGAGAGAGAGAGAGAGAGAGAGAGAGAGAGAGAGAGAGAGAGAGAGAGAGAGAGAGAGAGAGAGAGAGAGAGAGAGAGAGAGAGAGAGAGAGAGAGAGAGAGAGAGAGAGAGAGCACGAGCACTCACCTACTGTACAGCTGGCATGCCTTTGATTTTGATGTCATTGTCTCCTGCTTTGTGTGTGTGTGTTGTGTATATGCCCAGGCATGTTGATGGCCTTCGGTCGCGGTATGGCTCGCAGCTCTTTCTTAGCTTGCTTAACATCAAGGAGAGTGAGGCGTTACTGAGCACTGCTCTTCAGGTCGGTGGTTAGGTGAATGCTAACACTGTGCCTAACACACAGCACTATGTCAAGTTGTATTAGACATGAGGCTTGTACCGGTAACACCCATGCCAGTGCACTTTATTCATCAATCCAAGTGTCTTTTTTGTGCTGTGCCTAAATTGCTCCACGTGAGCGGTAGTGAGGTCTTGTCGTCCAGTGCATGGTTTGGCAGTTTGTTCTGAGATGTCCACTGGTGCTCATTACTTCACTTGCTTTTCTGAACCGTGTGTGCCACTCACTATCAAGGAGAACGATGGCTCACCAGTGTGTGTGTGTGTGTGTGTGTGTGTGTGTGCGCGCGCGCGCGTGTGTGCGTGTGTGTGCGTGCGTGCGTGTGTGTGTGTGTGTGTGTGTGTGCTGAGTAGCAGCCCGTACACTGGTGTTGTGCTGTCATGTGTTGATATGTGCATGTAGTACATTGTGTATGTGTTGCTCTTGTGTTATATCTTAACCCTTTGGAGTCCGTAACTTTTTGCTTCCGCAGAATTTGTGGCCGTCACGAAAATGCGCACTCCATTTCCAACATAACTTTGGTTCTACTTCACCGATTTTGAAGATCTTGGGCTCGTTGGAAAGCTCTTGATGAGAGAAATACAATTAGCCCAAACTCGCCAAGAGCACTATTCATTGTCCGCCACAACGTGCCCCAAACGCGAGTCCAGCTCCAGATCTGAGACGAAATCGGTCTCCTGTAGCCATTTCACTGAATCTAGCTCGGAACTGTTCAAATTTTTTCGAGTAGAAGCTTACCTTGCCGTGACTTCGCCCCGCGCCGGTCCTGGCACGTGCCGCCTGTCATGAAGCTGGGAAAATCCCGTCTTTTCACGCACTGCTGACTCGCAGCAAGCAGCGCAGAAAATTCGAAATGTTTGATCGCTCGCCGCTCACTCAAACTTCACCGGAGAGACTTCGGACCTGATCGAAGCGATAGCTGAGAGTTTTCTCTACCATTTAGACCCTTCGATTGTTGAATTTGGTCAAGATTTGGCCGAGAACCGAAAGTTTGACTGCGCACACATGCATACAAAATGCCCATGGTTCGTAATCGAACCATGGACTCCAAAGGGTTAATGTTACTGCTACTGCCATTACTGTGCAGGATCAGGTAAAGGATTACGGCTTGCCGAAGACTGACTTGGACATTGTCACGTTTGACTATCATCACAACTGCCGCGGTGGTTCCCAGGAGAAACTGAGCAGTGTTTTGCTGCGCGACGTCGCACCACACCTTAAGAAACACGGCTTCTTCAGCTATGTCGATGGAAATGTGAAGAGGTAAGTGAGTTTAAAAGACATCCAGTGCACAGATTGTTTCGGTCTGGACCTGCATGACCGCATGCTGCACCTGACGTTAACGTATCTTGGAGCACAGTTCTCCCTCCAGGGCTATCTGTCAGATTTTCAAGCTCATAGACGTAGTCACCTTATAGTTTTCAACCACTTTGAACTACATTCACAGAATTGCACATGTGGCGCTGGTATATTGCTCAGCACAGTGTTTTCCCGGTCTCTGTCAATTCTTTGTTTCATGGCTGTGCAGCCTCCAGAACGGCACAGTGCGGACGAATTGTATGGACTGTTTGGATCGGACAAACGCCGTTCAGACATTTCTCGGTCTTGAGGTGAGTACAGGGGTTCCCTATTTTGACTGTGATGGATATACCCTGCATTGTATAGTCATTGCAGTAAAACTGTTGAAAACCTTTGTGTGGACATACCCGTTCACGAAGCACGTCAAAGAACTGAACCTATTTTAACGAAACAGTTGCTGTCCACAGACTTGAGTATTCTAACCAAGCGAAACTGTCACTTGAAGTATTACTTTGTTTATTATCTGCAAAACTGGACGGAATCTGGTTGACGTTCTAGACTTGATTGAAGTCCAGTGATTTGAGGAGTATGGCACTACAGTACAGTTGGGCGCCGAAGAACTTGAGGGGGGGGGGGGGGGGTGGTCAGGGTTCTAGCCTAGCCCGTTCTTATTTGTTCGCGACCACACACCTGTTTCGTTCTTATTCAATGGTAGATCTACAGTCATGCTTTTAAAGTACATGTACTTTTCTTTTGCACTGCTGACAGATCTTGAAAGAGCAACTCCCTGTGCTTGGCATTGAGAACAAGGCCAGCGTGGTGTCCCGCTTTCACGACATCCTGCGTGAAATCTGGAAGATCAACGGCGACAACATCAGCAAGATCTACGCTGGAACTGGTGCCATGGAGGGAAAGGCAAAGGTACAGCTCTAGCTGACTTATTCAACTATAGTGCTGGCAACTGAAATCCAACTCCTGGAGCTCACATTGCAAAGACCCAGCACGCGATTGTAACACTACGGAATAGAGACGGCTAGAATCGCTGCTGCACTCCAGCACGGAAATCAGCGGGTCGGATTTCAGCTGCCAGCACTGTACCTCGGTGGAAATACTGAGCACACGCTTGTATTTGCGGAACCATGCTTGTGTATGGTACTTTCTTCTAAATTCAAAATCAGTCCTGTCTTGTGCGGTGGGTGTTTGGCAATGCTTTGCTGCTTTGTGGCAAGTGCTGGTAGATAACCATACACGCTTGCTGGTTGTACATACTTGCGTAGTGTGACTGTTCTTACTTCCAAGTGCCAACAGCATTATTAAAAGTTGCATGCTGTGTGAAATTCTATCTCTGTGTCAGATGGGGAAGTTGATGGACGGTGCCAAGTCCGTAGCTCGAACCGTTCGTAACAATTTCCTGGATGGCAGCAAGCAAGAGGCTATCGACATTTTGCTGACGGGCAATGCCTTTGTCGGTGACCTGGGTGGTCGCGCGCGTGCTCTTCTGGCTCGTGAGGATGCACTGGGTACGTATTGGGTGTGTGTGTGTGTGTCAGGTTTGTGCTGGCTACTGTTTAGAGTCAGCAGTTGGGCTGACTTCTTCTTCTTCTTCTTCTTGCATTTGGAGGCTGTCTCAGTTTTGTCTTTCATCATCCGATTTGTATGTTGATGGTGGTAGCATCTGTCATGCTAGCATCTTTGATCATGCGGGCACCTTTGTTGAGTGTAGCCCCCAACATTAATGGAATAATGTCTTGATTGTGGGAGTGACAGATCGGCACTGGTAGTTTATGGGAGCGGTGTGCTGCATCCACTTTGACATCAAAACCTGGCGTGCTTTTGTGAGTTTCTTTTCTATAATGAGAACATTGGTACTTTCATCACTATGGCACATGTCTGAGAAGTGACGGCCCTGATAGACATTAAACTCAGTACTTGTATAAGAACACTTTCTTGTGACCAATGGTAGTAGTGTATTCGGGTCTAAAACTTGATCTTGTGCCCTGCACAGATCCCAATATATCATGTACATGTATTAGTATGTCTGTGTATGACTTTTGTCTGTAGGGTCGTCAGCGCTGAAAGCACACCTCTGTGATCGGCATGAAGAGTTTGTGGAGCGCTCCCCCCTGCGTGTCTGCGTCGGCACTTGGAATGTCAATGGTGGGCGGCAGTTTCGCAGCATTGCCTACAAAAATCAGTCGATGCATGACTGGCTGCTCGATGCCAGGAAACTGGACAGCCGCAAGATCGACTCAACGCTGCCAACGTATACTGGCCCATTGACGCGGCCACGCGGTCGTGTTGAGCTTGCTGAGTACCAGCGGCTATCCAGCGATGGTACTGGTACACCGTTTGAACCCTTGGCTGGCAGTGAGGCACCGCAGATCTTTGCCATTGGCTTTGAGGAACTGGTCGATTTGAATGCAACGAATATCGTCTCCACCAGGTATGGTAATGGTGGATAGGCATTTCTCAGTTTTATTGATATCAACACTGTCTCTCCATGTGCATGGGAGTGGGAGCATGGCTATTGTAGATAACAGAGGAGTACTGTTTGACTGCATCAGTATCACAGGTGTTGCTATCCTGGCGAATGCAGCAACGTGCACTTCCTGGGATGTGTGTATTTGTGCCGCCCACCATGTTTCTTGCTAGATCGCAGTGTTATCCCGTTCATCATTCGTGTTTTTTTGTCTGTGTTGCCACCTGGCCCGGCAGCTCCAGCAACAAGAAGGAATGGGGCGCCGAGCTGCAGCGGGTCGTCTCTCGCGACCAGGAGTATGCGTTGTTGACATGTGAGCAGCTGGTCGGTGTGTGTCTGTACGTCTTCATCCAGCCCCGTCTTCTTCCACACGTGCGGTAGGTTGTGAGAAGGATACTAGTAGCACTGAGTACACTAGTAGCACCGAGTACACTAGTAGCACTGAGTACACTAGTAGCACTGAGTACACTAGTAGCACTGAGTACTGAGTACATGGCCCATGGGATGTACTAGTACATACGTTGACCTATACTTCTATGCCAACGTACATGTATGTTGGAGAAGGTGAATACAGTCATGTACACCCTTTGTTCATTTTTTAAGGATTGATTGCCTTTGTGGTGCGTAGGCACTAGTGCGTTTGACATTGGCCTGTCTTTGGCACCGCTGTGTGTGTTCAGGGATGTTGCTATCGACTCTGTGAAGACTGGCATGCACGGCAAGGCTGGCAACAAGGGCGGCGTGGCAGTACGCTTCCTGCTCTACAGCACCTCGTTCTGCTTCGTCTGTGCTCACCTGGCAGCCGGCCAGAGCCATGCTGCTGAGAGAGCTGCGGACTACGCTGAGATTACCAAGCGTGTTGTTTTCCCCATGGTTAGTACATGAACGCAGGCAGGCATAGTGGGATGGTCTAAGACCATGATTGAGAAACAGAGGGTACCAGGTTCAAGTCCTGCTTGGAAGTGGAAGGAATTTTTCCAACCGTGCTGCGACCCACAGTTATTTGGGAACTTGTGGCCTGGCACGAGGGTAACATGGATGCAGCTAATGGGATTTCGGTCTTTGACCACTTGGTGGTGGGTCTGATCTACTCACCTCCCACCGTTTAGGCGCTGCATCTGCTCTTTGTAGGCTTTGATCCTAGAGGGGGGTGGCGTTCCCACGACGGATGCGGAAAACTGGGCTTCCAGCCGAGTCTCACGCGAACCGTGAAATTTATTTTTTTAATTTTATTAGTACATGAACATGTGTTGTTTTCCCCATGGTTAGTACGTGAACATGACTGGACTAGTAACTACTTTGTGGTAATACACGCTGTTACAGCATCGGGCACATCTTATTCCACAGCTTTATGACTCAGCCATTGTACGTATTCTCAGTCGCAATTATTTGCCACATCTGCCGTGAATACTGCTCCGACCAAAGCCTGACCGGCTGAACTGGCCAGGACAGTCATTGGCATGTTTCTTTCGACAGCACATCGTCTTGCTCTAGTTTGACAATCACGAAGGGCATGCACATTGTGCACGTCCCCCTCCTGTCTCTGCTTCCGATATCCCAGTACCAGCATATGCTTTTCACTCATGTCGTTTTCCGTTGGACCCGCCGCTTGTTTCTACTGATCTCAGGGTCGAACAATCGAGTCTCATGACTATGTGTTCTGGTGTGGTGACTTCAACTATCGCATTGACTTGCCCATCGACGATGTCAAGCAGCTGGTGGCCAGCCGAGACTTTGAGCCGCTGCAGAAGGCAGATCAGCTACGTAAGCAGATGAAAGAGGCCAAGGTAAGGTCACATGTTTTCTCTTGCCCCTAGGCCCTATAGTGTGCTGGCTTTCACTATGATACCTTCTTGTTCTCTTGACGCACCATCCTGCTTGTGCAAGCACATGTACATGTCCTTTTGACTGGGCGTGTGTGTGGTTTCACTTCTCCGTTTGCTGCAACAATCGGTATGTATGCATGCGTGTGTTTGTGTGTGTGTGTGTGTGTGTGTGTGTGTGTGTGTGTGTGCGTGCGTGTGTGCGTGTGTGTGTGCGTGTGGGTATGTGTGCACGCGTGCATGCGTGTGTGTGTCTGTGTGTGTGTTTTTGTGTCTGTAAAAAAATAATAAAATGAAAAATAGGGATTCACTAGCCAGAAAAAGCCACTTCAATCAGCTGTGTGGTGGATACCAGGCTAATTAGTGGCGGTCGATTCATCAGCCTTGCAAGCTGCTGAATGGTGTAATCCCAGCACAAGTTGCTGTGTCTAACATAGCTGTTCGCTATCATCGCTTCCGCGATGGGCAGGTCTGAGGTGTGTTTTTGTGTGTGTCTGTGTGTGTCTGTGTTCCTGATACCTACCACAGGTATTCCAAGGCTATTCTGAAGGTGTACCCAATTTCATTCCAACCTACAAGTACGACTTGTTCTCTGATGACTTTGACACCAGTGAGAAGAGCAGAATTCCGGCATGGACCGACCGAGTGCTGTGGAAGCACAAGGCTTACCCCTCCTTTGTTGACATAGTCGACAGCGAAGATCCTGACAGTGACGTGACGGTACGTTTGCTTAATTGTGGTGTTCGTCCTGTTGACTGCTATTGTAGGCTCTTTCAACTTAGAATCTTTTGTTGACGGTGTATTTTGCTGTCGTGGACATTGAAATTCAATCGGATAACTGGGGCCGGCACCCTTACTGCTTTTAGTGTGCGCGCGCGTACAAGCACTGTAGTTCACGTCCAGGGATGAATTTATCCTGTATCGCATCGCAGTTTGCTACGCAAAATCGATCTACTGCTACTCAAAAATCACAGTGACACGCAGAAAACTGCCATACATACATGTACAGGCTATCCATGCTTTTTGTCGCTTACGCCACAACTGAGATTTTGCATAGCGAAAACTGCTATGCAAAAACATGACAGTAAATTCATCCCTGACGTCCATGCTGTAAACATGGACCAGCAGAGCTCGCGGCTGCAAGGCCAGCGCCCCGTGGCCGCTTGACTGCTCAACTGTTTCCAATGTCCGCGACAGTACAGTACATCGCACTATATAATATTGAAGTACACACGTGTTTCCTGTTACCGGTTTGTGTCCAGACTTGAGTGCATTCATTGTGTACAATAGTACTACGCCGTGCTCAGTGTGCCCCTATAGGCTAGGACAAAGTCAGCAGCGAGCTCTCACCGGAAAAGAGACGTTCACCATTGTGTGGAAGTGAATCTTTGTGTTAGGTCTTGTGAATTCTCTCAACGGTGTACAATCATGTCCTTGTGACCATATGATTCCGATTCCTATTGTCTCTCTCTCTTGTTTTGTTTTCGTCGCCACTACTGTCGTTGCTGCTGCTGTTGTATCTATTAAAACGGTTATGCCTTTTTATGACTTGTTGTGATTGTGTTCTGCAGTATTCATCATCTTCAACTGAAGAAGACAGCCGCGTCTCGGTGTCGTCTCTGAGCATATCCAGCAATGAGCCCTCCTGTCCGTTCAATCATGGGTCCCTGGCGTACTACGGCCGTGCTGAATTGAAGATATCTGACCACAGGTGTGTATTGTTGACACAGTGCACATGCATACTGTACAGAGTGTGCAAACATAGCCTTTGCTGATACGGCAGTGCTGCTGGAACGTAGAATCAGGACAAGGAAGTGTTATCCCACGGAGCCATGGTTTCTAGTTTTGTCACAACTACAAGTTTAGGTCATTGTCCAGAAGCTTTTCGGCCCATTCTCATCAGCGGATACGTGGGAAGTGAAGCTGGTAAAAAAAAACCCAGTGCTGTTTCGTTCTAGAATCTTGTTTTGCCATTCTCCTGTATAGTCCCGGTCACAACTGGGTGAGAACTTAGCAGTAATACTTGTTGCTAAGCTGACCTTACAGGAGTGTTCTCTCTGGGAGAATGCATGTTGTTGTTTCCGCCTTTTACATGGCTGAAGGCGGTAACAGTGCACCAACCTTTTGTGTGCTTTGTTTGCATTGTCGACAGATGCATGACCTCGTTTGGTTTTGCATATGAGCTACACAGATGCGTGCTCTGTATCATTATTATTGTTTGCATCCATGTGTGCCCATACGTATAGGCCAGTCGTTGCCGTGGTGGACGTCGAAGTTGAAAAGGTCAACCTGTCTCGGCGCAATGCTACCCACAAGAAGGTCGAAGACCTCCTTGGTCCGGCCGACCCCACTATCATTGTTCATCCGCACACTGGCAGCTATCTGGACGTGGAACTGCTAACGGATCATGCACAGGAGTTTGGTATTGTTGTTCTTATACGGTTAGTTATCCGTGCAGCAATGCCTTATATGATTATATCCACCTTTTTTTCCCCGGGATCCTGTCCTCTGCGTGTCCTACCCCATGATGTCAGTCAGTTGTCTAATCTAGTTGTTTCCTGTTAGGTTGAATGTACAACTTTGTACACTTTCCTCTGTAATAATGCAGCACCGTGTTTGTCAGAGCGTCTTCTTGTGGTCAATTGCCGATGTATTAGTTTTTCACTTGCCCCCGCATAGTGCCGGCTACTTACACCCCTGTGCGGTTTCTGTGTCCTTTGACTCTGGTGTTTCTCTGTAGCCTGGTTGGAGATGATGCCTACATCACTTTCCATGATTCTCGTGCTGCCTTGCGATCTCTGGCCATGTCTGGAACGCAGGTTAGTACTGTGTCTCTTGCACATGATCATGGTTCCTTCTGTGTCCCTCTTCCCACGTCCTGGGAAAGCCATGTGACCAGTTTTTGGTAACGAGGAAGTACTAAAACATGTGTGTGCGTGTGTGTGTGTGTACGTGTATGTGTACGTGTGTGTGCATGTGTGCGTGTGTGTGTGCGTCGTGCGCGCTTGGCATGTATATCTATTCATATAGGTTGGTGATGTCGTAGTGGATGTTACTTTGAGGTCAGATTGTCGTAGCTCAATCGTAACCGACACCAATCTGCTCGACAGCGACATCCCATCCATTCCCATCAACGTCCTGGCTCCAGGTGGCACTAATGCTGCAGCTGGCTCATTGAAGGTTGGACAGACCCATGCTTTGCATTTCCTCTCCGACTCCATTGATCAGGCGTTTGTGGCAACACCAGAGATGTCACGGCGTGCCACTCCGTCGGACAGTGACCCGCGTGATCTGTCCACTGCCGCTGATCAACACAGCGATACACGATCAAATGATCCATCGGAAAGGTTAGTGCTGCAAACCACTGTCCTGTAGGTGCATGTCTACCTGGGTTCCTGGGTGTCTGTTTGCATGGGTGTCTGGGTGTCTGTTTGCATGGGTGTCTGTGTGTCTGTTTGCATGGGTGTCTGTGTGTCTGTTTGCATGGGTGTTTGTATGTCTGTTTGCATGGGTGTCTGTGTGTCTGTTTGCATGGGTGTCTGTGTGTCTGTTTGCATGGGTGTCTGTGTGTCTGTTTGCATGGGTGTCTGTGTGTCTGTTTGCATGGGTGTCTGTGTGTCTGTTTGCATGGGTGTCTGTTTGCATGGGTGTCTGTGTGTCTGTTTGCATGGGTGTCTGTGTGTCTGTTTGCATGGGTGTCTTTGTGTCTGTTTGCATGGGTGTCTGTGTGTCTGTTTGCATGGGTGTCTGTGTGTCTGTTTGCATGGGTGTCTGTGTGTCTGTTTGCATGGGTGTCTGTGTGTCTGTTTGCATGGGTGTTTGTATGTCTGTTTGCATGGGTGTCTGTGTGTCTGTTTGCATGGGTGTCTGTGTGTCTGTTTGCATGGGTGTCTGTGTGTCTGTTTGCATGGGTGTCTGTGTGTCTGTTTGCATGGGTGTCTGTGTGTCTGTTTGCATGGGTGTCTGTTTGCATGGGTGTCTGTGTGTCTGTTTGCATGGGTGTCTGTGTGTCTGTTTGCATGGGTGTCTTTGTGTCTGTTTGCATGGGTGTCTGTGTGTCTGTTTGCATGGGTGTCTGTGTGTCTGTTTGCATGGGTGTCTGTGTGTCTGTTTGCATGGGTGTCTGTGTGTCTGTTTGCATGGGTGTCTGTGTGTCTGTTTGCATGGGTGTCTGTTTGCATGGGTGTCTGTGTGTCTGTTTGCATGGGTGTCTGTGTGTCTGTTTGCATGGGTGTCTTTGTGTCTGTTTGCATGGGTGTCTGTGTGTCTGTTTGCATGGGTGTCTGTGTGTGTCTGTTTGCATGGGTGTCTGTGTGTGTCTGGGTGTCTGTTTGCATGGGTGTCTGGGTGTCTGTTTGCATGGGTGTCTGGGTGTCTGTTTGCATGGGTGTCTGTTTGCATGGGTGTCTGTGCACCTGGGTGTCTGTTTGCATGGATGCCTGTGTGTCTGTGTGTCTGCATGCCTGTACGCCTGGGTGTCTGTATGCCTGTATGTCTGGGTGCCTGGGTACCTGGGTGTCTGTATGCCTGGGTTCCTGGGTGTCTGGGTACCTGGGTGTCTGTGTGCATGGGTGCCTGTGTGCATGGGTGCCTGTGTAGCTGTGTGCTTGTATGGCTGCATGCCTGGGTGTCTGTATACCTGGGTATCTGTATGCATGGGTGTCTGTGTGTCTGGGTGTCTGTATGCCTGGGTGCCTGTATGCATAGGTACCTGGGTGCCTGTGGTTTGGTCTTCTTGTTGCATGTGCTGGGTCATTTGACAACCAGGCTGTGACCGTATCTGTTGACTTGTTGGCGAAAGCTATCTTTTGTGCAAGGTGCTTTTCTGTCCTTCTGGGCAGGCAGTTTGATCGTTTTTGATGTTGTGTGTTCTTTGTGTCACAGTGGTCGAATGGACCTGCAGGACAGTTCTGAGAGACCACCCTCACCATCGTCCCCTAGTCGCACTCACTCCCACTCTCCTCTGCCATCAGTACCACTGGATCAACTGTCTGATGATGGTGAGTCTATTTTGCTCACTGTCCTGCTCATATACTAACTGCCAAGGCTAATGCAGCTTAGTTTCAATGTTTTTGTGATTTTCCGGTCTCTATCTGGTGTTGCGTCCTCTACTCTAGCCTGATTATGGTCAAGACTGTGCTGTTTTAGTTCAAGTACAGTCCTGCTCAATGAAATCCAGTTGCGTCACTCAAGTTTGCGCCTTGCACTATTTCGCAGCACAATGTTCGCAGGTCTAGGGCTGCGCAACGCCCGGCACGTACTTGAGTGACGCGACTGGATTTCATTGAGCAGCACTGTACTATCTGAGGGATTGCAACCCTGGCCTTGAAAAGAGCAGAACGTGGCAGTAGTCCCATTTGTGTTTGGGGTCTTAGCGTTCATTCACTAGGTTAATTAAGGTACAAGTTTCATAGTGTAGCACGAAGTTATTATCATGGTTAGTTATTTGCATGGCTGGTGTTTTACTAGAGGTGGTTTGCATTTGTTGTGTTCCTTGCATCAAGGGTCGGAAGGTGCGAAACGCATTCCTCCCCGTAAGTCTTTGTGTCTTTTGCTTCACTCGATTGGTGGATGATGGCCACTGGTACTTGTAGTACTAATACAAAATACCATGACTGTACTTGTGAAGCTGACGAAATGATTAAAACTGTCTGCACCTTCCTCCCCTGTCTTTGCTCCGTCTGTCCTGGAAGTCCTGGAATTGGCTCTCCAGTTTGTTCCTACTGCTGTTCTTAACCGCCCATGTCCCCTCCCTACTTCATGACTGTACTGGAGTTATCATTCTCTATGCTTTTGGTCTCAGTACAATCGTTGTTGAAGGCGTATCTTTGGGCTGTAAAAGGAGAATAATAATATATTAGGCCAAAACAAATAATGACCTTGTTTCCGGTCGGCCGACCGGGCCATTTTTTCCCAAATTCTGAAACTTTTTCTTGGTCCCAAATGTATACACAAGGTGGCAATGCCATGTGTGCAAGTGCACTCAACGAGTCATAACTCAGTCAAATCTCAACCGAATTCCACAATCGAAACACCTACAAGGTAGCAGAGATTCTCAGCTGTCGGCTCGAAAACCTCCAGGGTCGATACGAGCTAGAATAACGGAGCTGGAAGGACTCGAACTGTTTGCTTGATTTCTCAGGATGTACGAAAACAGGAATACACCACATGCTGTACAAGAACAGTGAGTCAGTCAACTTTGACATTGATCCTTGCCATGATATATGTACAATGTATATCTGTGGGTGCTCTTGTCCATCAATACCACAACGATTGAGGAACCAAAAAAAATATCCAAAAAAGTTTCATTCCGGCCGACCGAGTCTCCTTTTTGAGGGGTTGCCGACCGGAAACAAGCCTATTTTTTGTTTTGGCCTTATGTGGGTGTGTGTGGGTGTGTATGTGTGTGGGTGTGTGGGTGTGGGTGTGTGTGGGTGTGGGTGTGGGTGTGTGTGGGTGTGGGTGTGGGTGTGACTGTTTGGGTGTAACTGTTTGGGCTATGTTCTATACAGCCATTCCACCAACAGCAAGGACTATCTCTCCAGTGAATGTACCAGTAAGTTCCTATTTTTACTCTACCCACTGCTATTACTCATGTGGGGAAAGTTTGTACCCGCAGCACAATGTGTATGTTGAAATGCTCACATTGTCACAGAGAGCTGTGATCTGCACTCTTGATACAGATTCCACACACTCTGACTGGTCAGTACAGTCTGCTTGTGCACAGTGAACTGAATTGTATAGTGTACCGTGAACTTTGAATTATGCCTTGCTGACTTCAAATTATCAGCAGGAATCCCACACGTTTTCTATGTAAACACATTTCGTGGGACTTCTAATCAGGCATACTTGCCCGGTTCGAGGGTCAAATTAGCAGACAATGTTGCATGGGAATAAGCCGTATTCGAATCTTTATATCCGGATTCCACCTGTACCGTAAAGTGCCGCGAGCGCACCCCACCAACTCGTCCTTTCGTGGTTGTGCTTTGGAGGTGGTGTCCTGTCTGTAGTCATACAACACGTACCTTGTGCACACATTGCGTGCTTTGAAGTCAATCCGTACGCAGTTTACCTTGGAACTCCACACAAGAACATGTCAAGTGTGATCTTAGTCCACAAAGGTTCTCGCACCGTACAAACTTCGTTGCACTCTGATTTTTCTTTCCCTGGCTGTAAAATCAAGGTGGGCGCTCTCGCGAGACGGAGCGCTCTGGCGGTACTTTACGGTACTAGTATTGAATGACATGACAAGCCTTTCTCAGTGCATGGCACCTTTACGATCATGCTTGCTTCCACCTATGCAGGCTGCTGCTGCTGCTGAGTGCCTGTACTGATCAGACCTGCTCTCTATTATATATCCTCTTTTTTTGTTGATCTGCAGAATGACGTTCTTGGGCATCGGTCTCACCACAGCTCCTGCGGTTCACTGAACGGCCTTAACGACCAAGGAGCTATGTCTGCCCCTGACTCGCTAATGGCTGGCAGCTTGAACAGCCTATCTTCAGCAGTAAGTGCCAGTACTGCCTCTGCTGCTGCTACTTCTGCAGCATTCGAGGATATCGACCTTGACGATGACTCTTGCATTGGCTCCCTACGAGAGCAGCCAGTGGCGGTGGAGGATGCGTTTGAAGGTCTGCCAACGAAAAGCATTGTCAGTGATCTGTCTTTCCCACCTGCTCGCCCGGCTCAGCCACCTCGGCAAACGTCTCTGCCAACAACTGCAACAGCTCCTCCCAGGCCTAGTGCACAGCCAGGAAGGCCTTCACGGCCACCACCGGCAGCACACGGTTCACCTCAAGCTCGCCTTGCCAGCGGACCGCCAAGCCGTCCCAACGCACCGCCCAGTCGGCCGGGTGCCCCGCCGAACCGCCCGGGTGCACCGCCGAGCAGGCCAGACGCGCCACCGGGCAGACCCGACGGTCCTCCCAGCCGGCCGGCCAGACCAGCGCGACCAAACCCGCCGCAAGCATAGTTGTCGTGCGAGAGATGTACAGTGCTGTCTGGCACACCACTTTTGTTTGTTGATAGCAGCAGCACTGTACAACACCTGGCTTGATACTGTGTAGGACTACAGTGTGTAGTGTGTAGTGTGTACAACGTAGTGAAGATTCTTCTCTATTTATTGATTATGGCTTACAGTATTGATTATTATCCAGAGTCCATAAACTCTATGGACACCTACTACCACAGCGGGCTTGTGGTATCTTTATTGACGACGTGCATGCTGTAGTTTTATGTGTTTGATCTTTCCCTGGAGGTAAAATAGTTTGCATCCACTGCAGCAGCGCGCTTTAGATCTACGGTATTGCCTGGCTGATATATCCCAGCGTGCTGATCTTGTGCCCATGCTAGTAGCAGCGGTGACTGTGCGCGCGGTGTTGATGCGCACAGTCCTGCTTTCCTAGAAGTGTTTTCATCGCAGCATCCCACGTTGCATTGCATCTTATTTATTCATAATTATTGTCGGGCAGGACAGTTTATTGGGTTGTGTTTTTTTTAGTATCTTCTCTTATTCCTCGCTCTCACTGACTTGCAGCTAACTTGCCGCTCCGGTTTCAATCATAACCACAACACCAGTGCACTGTATGGTGTATTTTCGAAACAAATGTTTTATTCTCTTTTTTTTGCACTTTTGAGCCCAGAGAGCTGACTGCATGCAGCTCCTAGCCTCCTCCCGCGAGCTGGTGATTTTTTTACATTCTTGCTGACGTCCTTTGCACGTGTGTCAACTTATGTTTTCCTGGTGCTACCTGCTCACAGTCACACTCAGTGCACTTTTCACAGATGGTATCAAGAGTACTCTTGGAGAGATGTATACTACTATTACATAGTAGGACTTGGGTGTCATGTTTGCATTGGGCCGCATGTACAGTAAATCCATGTACATGTATAAGCATCCATTCCGCATCGAGATTCCACACAATGTCTGTCGCGTGTACGCTTGAGGACATCTTCCACTGTTTGATACAATGTGGTTGTACCAGTGCATTCTTCCAAAAGAGGAGAAACCCATTCACATCACGGTGAAACCTTGCCCACGACTGCTTTACCATAGTTTATGCACTCTGGTGTGCACTTGCCCAGCATAAAGCAATCTCTCTCATGTGTCGAAGAATGACCAGGATCGAAAATTGTACAATTGACATGCCAGCAAAGATGCTGCTGGATCTTTAGAGGTAGATCTACACTTCAAAGATCTGTGTGAAACAATGTTTCCGAACCACTGTCGACGTCGCGACATGTCCCTTCCTCAGGCCAGGGTGCATGCATAAGAAATTCCTGCACAGAGGTTACCATGGTTACGCAGCTTGGGACACTGTACAAACACAGGAACAGTGCTGTACATGCATGATTGGAATACATTACAAGTCATGTACCGTATTATCTCTAATATAAGCAGTCTCCAATAATAGAACACCTTGGGGCGGCATTCAAAAAATAAAGTGCTCAGTCTCCATTATAAGCACACTGTGTAAATTCATTATCTGTACCGGCAAAAAAAACCTGAAATGTGTGTGTCTGACATGAATTTGGCATGGCAACATGCCTCTGAAATGAGGTTGAAATAATAATGGAACAGTCTCCAATAAAGGAACGTCTCCATTAATAGCACGGGGCGGAGGTACATTGAAAAAATAAAGGACCGTGCTTATATTAGAGATAATATGGTAGTCATTACTGTACACGCACAGAGACTCCGTTGGAATTCATGTGGCGATAAAGGAGCAGCAAGCACAAAGCCTGGTCACGTGAAATCAATACAGGTGTGGTACCAGGCAGGCTCAGCGCCATCCATATTCCCTAGCTCATGAGAGACCAGTCAGGTTCTTCGGCAATATTCCCTGGCCCAGGAGAGAGCAGCAGCAATGCAGTCAAGTTGTTCAGTGATATAGTGATAGTGATGTTGGCGCGGGGTAGTGGTCTAAATAAGCTTCATTGTGACATGATTATGGTTCAGCAGCATTTGCCCTAGCTGCCTCATCAGCTGATAATGATGGTGTGGTCAAAGTCAAAGAACATCACGGCAGAATGCCGAGGTCATTTGGCTGCAGATGCAGAGCAGAGAACTGGCAAAGAGATCAGGCGGTGAACCCTACGTCCAGTTTGTCACCATCCAGAGCTCGGATTTTCTTGTGGAAACTTGGCGCTGTCTTCGCAATGTCGGGTAACCAGAGTGTGGAGAGGTGGCTGTGCTCTTGCACACGCGTGACAAAGCAATCTTCCATGCTCTGATCTGCTCCACTGAAATCGTTAGTGCCATGAACCCTCAGCTCTCTGAGGCCAGACCAGTGGCCTAGCAGATCGGACAAGATGGGCAGTGCCTGGCTTGTCAGATGCATTGATGCCAGCTGGACTACCATCAGTCCAGTACAGGTGCACAGCGCCGCTCGCACTCCCTCCAGTCCCGCATCTCCCAGGGCATTCTCGGACAAGTCGAGGCGTGTAAGCTGATCTTGTGAGTGCAGGACTGCGGACAGGGCAGGTGCACAGCCACCAGATAGGCCGGACTCCCGGAGGAGCAAGTAGACGAGCTTGCGCCGGGCTAGCTGCGGCGCAAGCGTAGCCAGGCCATCATCACCCACATCACTGGAACTGAGCTCGAATCTGCACAGGTCAGGGCAAGCCAACAGCACTTGGGCAATGGCTGGAGTGGATGGCGAGTGTAGCTGGCAGCCAGAGAGGAAGAGCGCACCCAGCAGTTTGCAGGACTGAAGGGCTGTCTGCATTGCAAGCAGCCCGGTATCGCCAATCGGGTTAGACCGAAAGTAGAACATCCTTAAAGTTGACTGGTTACTGGACAAGAGCGAGCACAGGTAGTGCACAGTGTCTGCAGATAGCCCATTGTCGAGAAGATCTATCTGCACTAGTTGACTACAACTAGTAAGTGCAGGCAGCATGAGTGATAACTGCTTAGCACCAAGACGGGACCAGCGAAACAAGACATTCCTGACAGCATCGGCATGAAATTGCACCACATAGCTCAGCGCGCGGCAGTCAGCAGGCGTTGGACTGTAGCAAGAAAAGCCAATGGTGGACACATGTCTACCCGTCACAAGACACGACATGCGTGCCACTGGCCTCAAGTTGCTGGTGCCGGTTTCTGCTAGGCGACATCGCTCCGAAAAGCACCGGTGTGCAAGACATTGCCTGGCATACTCATGCTCGGACTTAGTGCTGCATTTCCACCGGTCGGCAGACAAGTCGTCACCGGCAGCAGTTGGTGATTTCAAACACAAGTCTGCGCGGATGCCAGCGGTGTTTAAGCGGGCCAGGAGAACATCCACACCAGCATTTAGTGTGCTCCTTCTCCACTGGACCAACACCCGGTGGTGGTGAGCATCAGGTCTGGAGGCGTCCCCAAGCCCGGCCGGCTGTAAATAAACATCAGCATGCGCTTGCGGGCTGACGTCGAGTAGCATGCTTGCCACCACTGCTGTAGATTTGCTTGACAGGGCTTCCGTTATCGGAGCAATGGCTTCCAAAAACTTGGAGTCGGACAGGAACTGGACGTCACTACAACACGGCACATCACTTGAGCCATCAGCAGCAAACTCGTCAATGACCAACTGCACCAGTTTGTCGGCGAACAGCTCAGAATTAAGGTCTGCTGCAAGTAGTATCCAGAATGTGCTGAGGTGTGTGCTGATAGGACCAAGGTGAGACACAAGCCAGGCGATGCTTCCCTCATTCAGCTGACAGCTTGTGACAAACTTCACAGCCAGGTACTCTTGTATGGCCTGGTGACGAAAGCACCACACCCGCTGGTCAGATGCGAGTGCGCGCTGCGGTACTATTAGACCCAGGGAGAGAGCTTTCTCGCCAAGCGACCATTCAGCCAAGTGACAAGACGTGAACGAGAACTGTCGGCGAACAAGCATGTGAAACGCAAAGAAGCCGATGTGGACAAGCAGGTCAGCGGCACTAGCTGGCATGCTAGTCCAGTCACAGATCTCCAGCTTCCAGTGGGATGACACAGTGTGTAGCACCTCTGCAACACAAATACTCGACAAGCAGGCGGGCGCCACCTTAGCTCGCTGGTATTCCTCAGCTATTCTCCGCAAGCAGAAGGCATCACAGGCAAGGCCAGCTAGGTGCGGACTTCTCCCTATGACGTTGCTCAGAGCGCGGGCAGGAGCATCATCCGCGATGCAGCCGCCGCTCTCCACTGCAATAACACTACTGCCCGGCGGCTTGTACTGACCAACAACTTGAGCAAAGCAGTCAACGCTTCCGGACTCGACCAACATTATCACATCCCTGCAGCACCGCGACACGACGATGAGCCTTACGTTCTGCAGGGTCCCAGAGCACAACACGCCACGGACATAGTCACTGCATGCCTCCAGACCAACCGCGTCCAGGCCGGACAGAATAAAGCAAACATTTTCCGGGTGTGAAGCGAGAAAGTCCGAGAAGACGCCTCCTTTGCCACGCGAGTCCCAACCCAGCTCATTCGTGCCAAACAGCTCATACACATTGCTAGCACTGCGGACACTATCGGAAAGTAACGACTGGCATACCACTACGTCAAGCTGGGTCCACAGGGTGTCCTGTGACCACTTGTCCAACACTGCATCTTGGAAAAAGCTCTGACTGCCTGCTTCTGGACCACTGATAGCCAGCACAGATGACGCGTTGGACCAGGTACCTTCCTTGCTACATGTACTGTTACTGTCGTTTTCAGGTCTTGAAAGCGTTGGGCGGAAGAGTGAATCGAGATCAACGTCATCCGTTGCAGCACTCTGCAGGTTGAGCTGCTGCTGTAGCACTTCCTTCCTTTCAATCTGTGCCAGAGATCCTTCAAAGCCTTGCTTACATCTGCTTCGTACCTCATCCGGACCAAGAGCACACAAGTGAAAAGACACTTTGCCACAGGCCTGAGTACTGCTCACTGCTGTGTCAAGCTGGGCCGCCTCTCGGCTAGCAATGTACAGGCCCTTCAGGTGCTCGGCGCAGCTTTGGATTGTGCATTGTGGCTGCACGCTGCCTTGAACTGAAGTGGCACTCCCGACAGAAACATTTACATCACCGGGAGAGCCGAGTGACAGTGCTGCACGATCGGATAACGATTCTCGCTCAGCATCAACTGAGGTTGAAGGTGACGCTGCTGAAGCGATTGCTGATCTTTCATCTGGCCAAAACCAGGATAAAGGACGGCTGAACCAGGACATGGTGATCCTCCATGAAATGCAGAGTGTGGAGTGTGTTTCTCTCCAGCGAACAACAGTAGCAGTGACAAGGAGAAGCTTGGGAGAGGGGCACTATGTTTGAATGGAAAGTGAGAGGGAGAGAGAGAACAAGCAGGGTGATAAAAAGAATAAGCACCAAAAACCCATACAGTAGCATCCGCAGCACATGTCAACATCTGCCATTTCACCACAGGTTGTGTCACATCGCTGTCAGTTAGCTGTCTAGCTGTTTATTTGTGACGCAGCCCAGCATGCTGTCTAACTGTGCAGCACTCTGGTACGTCACACATTTGCGTCAGTCTCTCTATTGCACACATGCCACAGCTGCACTGCACAAAGTACAGTACAGCAAGAGAGCAAGCTCAACTAGGGACAACTAGGGACAACTAGGGAAGGACATGTGCCAGTAGCACTGTTCGGGTTTCATTAGGCATGGTCTCATGTTGCCATCTCCATGACAATCGTTGTAGAAACGTACGTCATGTTAAAAAATAAATAGAACTTTAGGGAAAGTTCAACTCAAACTCTACCAAACACAGGAGAAAAAATCAGTATAGCGTATGTACACGGTGGGCAAGGGTTACCTAGACTGGAGTATGTACAACTTAAAAAACAATAGCACGGAACAGCAAGAGCAGCACTAGTATAGCAGTAGCAGTAGCAGTAGCGTGACATCAGCAAACATCAGCAGACATCAGCAAACATCAGCTAAAATGCTGCTAGTATGAGTCAATCACCTTCTTAAGTTTCTTCGCTGTGGGTCCTGCATAGAAAAAAAGGCAGCCAAGTCAAGACAAGAGCGCAGTGTTACTACGCAATGCTAGCAATAGAGAATATGTACAGCCCGCGTGCATTACACTATAAGTGTAAGAGTAATAGAGCGTACAGATTGAACGGGTTGCTGCAATTGCAAACTTCCTGGACTACATCACTTCCGTGGTACAGTGTGTACAAGGAGGATTCAAGTATATCTCCAGCTGCTGCACAACCGCAACTCAGTTGCACACAATATAATTATACGCCACTTCCCCTTATCTCCAGCTGCACAACTGCAACTCAGTTGCACACATTATGCCACTTCCCCTCCGCACAAAAGCAGCACAGTCCGGTATGCCAATCAACATCAGGGACGGAGATGCAGGTAGAGAACACAGTGTTGCGTTCCTCATCAACTCACTGATTATGCCAGTCAACTACATTGCACTACAAACAGTGCCGCTCTGAATGGATATTGCTTCTTGGCCCTCCCCACAGAGCTACTTTCGCTCTTCTTTAAGTTTCGGCACACATACATATAGCTTACAGAAAGAAAGAACACACGCACACACACACACGCGCACACACACACACACACACACACACACACACACACACACACACACACACACACACAATTCATGACCATGTTCTGACACAATCCACAACAGCACATTTCACCGTACCTTCAAATGCTGGTTCTGTTGACTTGCGCTTTTTCCGCTCTGATGGCTCTTCCGGCGGAACAAAGCTCTTTGCTCTTCTTTCCTTCTGCGCCTCGGATGCTAGTTGTTGCTTGGCCTGATATAGAGAGACCGGCATCCATGCATGCATGCGCGCACGCACGCACACACACACACACACACACACACACACACAACTAGTAGATAAACACAAGCAACCATGCAAAGCATTCAATCCGGATTACAAATCAAGAAAGGAACGGGGGAACATGTGGAAGGAAATGGGCAGGCAAAGATGCATACCGACACACAGACACACAGGCACACGTGCACAGACGCACCGAAGCAGACATGGACACAAGTGGCACGTATACGGTAGCATACACGAGTAACATACATGTGCAAACAGAGTCTAACAACATACATGTGCAAACAGAGTCTAACAGACCCTCTATAAAACAAGGCTTTCCTGAAGCACCGCACAATTGAATTTAGCTCACCTTCTGTTGCTCCCTCTTGCGGATCTCCTTCTCCTTAGCCTTCATGAAGTACTCACCAGCAGCAAGGTCCTTATCAACCTACAGAGATACACACAGCAAGCCAGACAGAAGGAGATGACAGCCAGGGCAATCAGAGCACAGTCAGACTTTCAAAACCACTCAAACGACAAGAAACATCATTGGCTATATTGCATGCGTAGTTCCAAGAACTGAAAACAGGACAGTTTAGTGGTAGCGACCTCGGTGATAACTACATGTGCAAGAAAGTTGGTTGGTAGCTCAGTTGATGAGGGGCGAATTCCCCGAAACACTGTGCATTGAGCAGGGAGTGGTGCCGTCTAACAGGCTTGCCGAGTCGAATGTTGGATAGACTTTTCGTGCGCTCTGGATGGCAGTCGTGAGTCATTCAAGTGTCAAGATATAAAGAGACCATTGCTCTTTTCACTTCTCCAAACTACGTATTGCAAGTCAAGAGTTATCCTAATTCAGGTCTGGGAAAGATAAGAATGACTAATACTGCCCTTGGATACTCTTCCCTAACAGGAATACATCCACCTACATGTACATGTACAGGAAAATGTCCACGATAGCCTGGCAGACATTAGGCATTGCAAGAAGAACATTGCGTACCTGGCTCTCCTGCTGTGGCGGTGGGAATGGAGTGTACTCTTTCTTCTTGATAGGACCAGTCTTCTTGCGCTTTGTAGTGGTCTTCTTGAACTTGGGTAGATAGCGATCCCAGGACTCATGCTTCAATGATTCATCTTTCATAAGTTCACGTTTGATCATCAATATCTGGTCATAGGTGTTCACAAAAAATATCAGATCTACATCATTGAAGAAGAGGTTGGTGCGACTTTGGCGATAATTGGGCAATTGTGTGTTACATCATTGAAGAGAACAAAATAGAAAAATACATGTTACACTCAGTATGGCATCATTCCTCTATTTGTCGTCACTGTCTCTATATGTCATCACCTGTTTACTTTGTGCCTATATGGCTTCACTGCAACTTTCTCTATAAAACTCCAGGTCATTCTCTATAATCATAACTCAAGACGTGACCTCTATATATCTCCACTCAGGTTGAGACTTTCTCTGTATGACTCCAACTCAGATTGCCAACTTCTCCATACAAAATATCTCTCTATGTGTCTATATCACCTGTTTACTTCGTCCCTATATGGCTTCACTGCGACTTCTCTATATATCTCCAGGTCATTCATAGAGAAAGTCGCGTCTGGAGTTATATAGAGAAGTCGCAGTGAAGCCATATAGGGACGAAGTAAACAGGTGATGACATATAGAGGAGTGAACACATATACAGGAGTGAACACATATAGAGAACTGATGGACTACTGAGTGCTACTACAGTACATACATGTACTTTGAGCGCCCGATAAGGGACTTGAACCCTTGACCCTCAGATTACAAGTCTGATGCTCTACCAACTGAGCTAGCCGGGCCGCCATACTGGAACACGAGACCACGCTCTAATTACCATGAAACCAACCCTCCAGTTCAAAAATCACAACTGTCTGTGATGAACTCAGATTGGTGCAATCAACTCGGCGACCAGATAGGAACATGTCCACAGCAAGCAAGAGAAATCATCCAACTAGGGGAAGCCGCGTGATGCCAGTCATTCTAGTGGGGTCATGCCGTATTTTAAAAGCACTGCGATGGCACACCAGCAGCATATCACTACTTGTAAATGTAGGGACCTGCACTTGTTACCCCCTCCCCCCTCCCGACAGTCATGCCAGTCATGCACCTACATGTACATGTACACCCACAGTTGCACACTCAGATCAGGGAGCAGTGAGGGTATGGCCAGTATTGTTCTTTTTTCTCCTTCTTTTCTCAGTTTTCCCCACCATGGCTGGTTAAAATCGCCCGCATCACATGTTTATTGGCACTATCATCGTGATTGTGTAATAATAATAATAATAATAATAATGTCTCTCCCTCAAAACCAGTTAATAATAATAATAATAATAATTTCCCGTTTGTCTCTTTCCCTCAAACTAGTGAAGATGTTATGACTTGGGGCTCCCCGCGTGCTAGAGTGTACGTGAAGTGTGTGGGTACAGTGAGGGCTGCGTCCCACCCGCCTGTGTGGATTCACAGGAAGTGTGAGTTACGAAGTCTGAAGAAAATGTTGAACAGTCTCTGCTGGGATGACGACTACACCATAGCTCAGTGGTTAGAGCATCGCTAGCTACAAGCGAGGGTCCCTGGTTCGAGTCCTGGTGGTGACAGTCAATTTTTTCTTCAGACTTTTCCCGTTTGTCTCTTTCCCTCAAACTAGTGAAGATGTTATGACTTGGGGCTCCCCGCGTGCTAGAGTGTACGTGAAGTGTGTGGGTACAGTGAGGGCTGCGTCCCACCCGCCTGTGTGGATTCACAGGAAGTGTGAGTTACGAAGTCTGAAGAAAATGTTGAACAGTCTCTGCTGGGATGACGACTACACCATAGCTCAGTGGTTAGAGCATCGCTAGCTACAAGCGAGGGTCCCTGGTTCGAGTCCTGGTGGTGACAGTCAATTTTTTCTTCAGACTTTTCCCGTTTGTCTCTTTCCCTCAAACTAGTGAAGATGTTATGACTTGGGGCTCCCCGCGTGCTAGAGTGTACGTGAAGTGTGTGGGTACAGTGAGGGCTGCGTCCCACCCGCCTGTGTGGATTCACAGGAAGTGTGAGTTACGAAGTCTGAAGAAAATGTTGAACAGTCTCTGCTGGGATGACGACTACACCATAGCTCAGTGGTTAGAGCATCGCTAGCTACAAGCGAGGGTCCCTGGTTCGAGTCCTGGTGGTGACAGTCAATTTTTTCTTCAGACTTTTCCCGTTTGTCTCTTTCCCTCAAACTAGTGAAAATAATAATAATAATAATAATAATCTCCGTAGTATATGCCCAAGCGTACGCACATGCCACCTGTATGCAACTGAGCGTGCACAAGACACGGTGTACATACCTTGATGTTGTACGCTGGGTGGATGTTCTTCATTGTATCCAGAATAACACGCCGTGCCTGAACGCAACAACGCATGGAAAGCATGCAAAGAGAGTAGCAGGAAGATTTTAACTGAGGGACACCCACGCTTGCCGAGCACAATCAAGATCCATGGAAGTAAGGTTAGTTAGCTTGCATACCTATGCAATAGCAGGTTGAGCAGGTTGAGCTAGCCAATATAACTGTATAGCCAGTATGGCCAGTGGCAATGGACGGTTCTGAGCTGCTAATAGACTAAACAGCACGACAAGATTCGTTGCATCCTGATTGACTGACCTGCTTGAGACCAGTGAAAGGTCCGACGCATGCCACTGTGTTTCCCTGTACCATGATATAGGACTCTGTGAGTAGTTCCAGTGCCTGAAGAGAACAATGCACACACACACAACAGCACAACGTTCACAGACTAACTTGTTAGAATCCCACTCAAGGACACTTGGGTACAGTGCGGGCAACTGCAGCAAGTACCGACTGACATACACGATGTGGCATGAGCCCTGCAGAACCACGCGTAATCTTCTCTTCACGCTCGTCTGCTGCAGTATGCTGTCGGTGAAGATTAGTTCTTTTTTTGCCTTGCAAACTGCATACAGCCGGCATGTCTTCATGCTGGCCAAATCTCATTGTTTGCCCTGACGACTGCCCCAGGGGAGAGCGTCAGCAGTACACTGTGGACTACACAAGCAATACTGCAGTACTCGGTATTTCAGCTCAGAGAAGCTTCTCACCTTCAAGGTTGCCCCTGCTGGCCCAAGGAGTCGCTGTCTTCTTTTTACAAACCGCTCCCTGTTCCGTACCATTCCACCGATCTTAATTACATCACAGGCAACATCGTCCTCGAATATCCGAACAGCCTGGGGAGACAAGCCAAAGGGAATACAGAGGCAAACAAGACACACAGGAAACAACAGCATCAAGAGATTGCGGCAAGCATTGGGTATGGTTCATCCACCATACATACCAGATACCCACAGACAGTTTTTGTACCCCCCCGCTTGATTCAACATTAGGTAGAGTGGAGGGGGATGGGGCATATGCTGCACGTGACAGAAGAGGACTGAACACCACACCTCCAGTGACAATATGTGTTGAGACTAGACAGACCTCTTGTTTCAACGACGGGACAGAGTGAAGGCAATGCTAAAAAAAATCTCCTGCCTTGTTGCCTGGTCATGAGAGTATTAGAAAAGAGCTTGCTTTTGAAAAGAAAAAAGACAGAGGAAACCGAGGTAGGTAACAGTCGGGCTTACCTGTTCAATAGGTACGCTTCTGGCCAGAAGCTTGATCATGTCACGGGCATTCATGATGGACCACGGGTCCCATGTTTTACGTGTTGTAGCAACTGTCATGCTGCCTTCTACAAGGTCCAATGTTCCAGTAATGGCCTGTCCCAGGCAAGGAAAGGAAAAGAAAGAGAGGAATGTAAAGCAAGAATGCCACACGCCTGCTTTACCAGCAGCTCCTAAAAGTATTTATTTGTCACTTGCCAATGTTGGACAGGAGGGTAAGCAGCAGCAGCAGCAGAGTTAAATCGACCTGCGAGAATTGAAAAGCCAACTGACTTGCCGGTTCTGCGATCTTGGAACAGGCCTAAAAAAAGATGCACTACTTTGAGCAGTCTAATTAGGATATCTGCAACACAATGCATGCCTGCAGAGCTACGTTTTTCCAAGAAGTATAACTGAGAGGTACCAGGATGCCCGGCGCTACTTTCTTCACGACTACAGACTACACTGGCCAGCGTTAACATTATTGTCAAGAGTACATAAACCAGAGTGTGCAACTCGGGATGGTTCCTGTTGGAGCGTAATTCGTGCAGAACGTCATTTCTGACGGCATGGTAAGCCACAGGTACGGTGAAAAGTTGTGTAACCAGTCACGGTGGTGCAGGTCACTGAGTTTGTCCTGATTTCGGTTTTTTGATACGGATCGCCTGGTGAATTTACTTGCCAGTGGATGTACGCAGGGCATGCAGTCACACAAAAAAACACCAAAATCCTAAAACAGGACGTCTAAAATCATGCAAACTAGGCTGATTTCCGAGCTGTGAAATACGAAAATTTGAGCTGTACGCAAGTCGCGGCTTGGCTGACCTCATCAGGGTGACGTAGTGCACGAACTGCGCTGTTTCAGATCTGGTATGCACAGTTGCACACTCTGGTTTATGTACTCTTGTTACTGTATATACTGAAGCACAGGAATACTAACATTCTGACTACTGTACATGAGTGAAGCTACATGACTAGGCCTATACATGACTGTGTAAGCAGTAGCAAGAGCATGAATGCCTTCACTGAACAAACATGCCTAAACAGCACACAGCGAGTCCACGACATGTTTGTGGTAGCAAAGTCAGCAAACTGATGACATCAACATACAAATTCTTTTAGCTTTTTCTGCGCTGTGCTCCATATCTGCTTCAGGTAGGTTTCTCTGTACTTGGGGAAAAGAGTGGCAAAGGAGCTCTCCTCGGTTAGTGGCGCTGTCATATCTTCTGGTTTGAACGGATCGATTTTCCAATGATCAATTCCATCATGATCCCAAGCTGTGATGGAAAGAACAATGAGACAAGAAAGGGAAGTACAGGAGAAGGGTGTCAGCTATTTTCTTTGAAGTTATACTAAAAAACGATAGATTTTACGGTTTACGCGAGACTCAGTCAGACTGAGCACTGCCCACCCTCAAGGATCAAGGTGCAGATGCAGCTATTCAAGCAGTGGGAGGTGAGCAGATGAGACCCACAACGCAGTCATCAGCAAAAAAAACAAAACCAAAAAAAACATTTGCTACAGTCTTGCACTGTTTAGGGGTCGTCCACAATTATCGAAAGTTTTTTCCAATCCGTAGTAGCTTCGAAAGTGGGTGGGTGGGTCAAGGCCAGTTACGGATTGAAAAACTTCCGAAATGACACGTGCGCGTGCCACTTGTACGTCTACGTGTAGCCCCTGTTTTCCACGCGCGGCTGCACGCGAACTGTCTACTACAAATATTTTTGTAGTTCTGGCAGTTTCTGCGCCCCCGCGCGCGCTTCCTTGGCTGCTCCTGGGCCGGGGATCATAAAGTTCGGCGCATTCGACGGCAAGTCGACACTTTCTATTTTTGAGTTTCACTGTCTCCTTCGTCCAGAGTACCGTCTTCCATGCACTCCTTTGAAGTCCTTCCGTCTAGCGCTGGCGCTGACGACTGTTATTGACTATGTCCAGACAGGCGACAATGTTTGGAAAGGCGGTGAAGAAGCAGCCCTTTTTCAAAACCGCTGGTGACTCTGATTATTACAGAACAATAAATTGCTTGTGGCAGTTGTCCAAGACGACGAACAAGGATGTATTCTTTGCCGAAGCGAAAAAGGAATGGACGAGTAAGTTTGCCAACGATGCGACAGCCAGGCGAGAATTGTTTGATTCGGCGAAGAAATTGGAGGGCGATGTGAAAGTTGCCGAGTCTTTCGTCGTCCACAAGGAACCCGGCGAGTCGAGTAGTTCAGCGTGCGGACCGTCACCGGCCCCGGCCCCGCAGGCGTCCTCCACCGGCCCATCGACAGCGAAGCCCACCCTCGTCCTGTGTGAGGAGATTGGCGTCGACGCGGACAGTTTCTTCACCAGCGAAGTCACTGGACAGGTGACCCTGATGGCGGAGCTGGCGAAACTTGCGGATCGTTTCTTGGTTTACAAGAAAGAACTGCGAATATACGAGCAAGGTGCCATGTTTCAGTGGAAAGCGTCCCAGCTGGCTACCTTGTTGCAGGACACCAAAGCTCAGATTGGCCGGCTAAAGTCGACCATGCTTCAGGTGTCTGCTGCAAAAATTGACCACAGCTCAATCCTGACTTCAGTTGGGAGCCAGGCCATTGCCAGGAAACTTGCCCTGATTGGGACGTTGACCAGTGAGACGGCCCACTTACAGAGGGTGTTGGAGAAGGCTATAGATCGCCTCCAGATCCGCAATAGCCAGATGAATTCAAGGGGGACAACAAAATCTGGGACAAACCTGACGTGCCTCAACTGTCCAGAGCTGACATGGGACGAAGCTACTTCCGACCTGCTGCAGTCCAAGGAGCAGCAACATGATGTAGGGACGCCTCTGACGGCAGATCAGCTTCTCTCCTGTGCTGCCCAGATGTCCAGCACCAATGCGCTGCCACTGCGAGACATTGTGTCTTCTCTAGGCATTGACGAGGGCACTGTCAACCTCGAGAAGCTGGCGGAACAGATCTTGGTCCACCTCCCCGTCATGCGGGTTGTCCGTGGAGCGGACTTTGCAAGATCAGTTCTTGTGAATATGGCCGATTTCGCTGTCATGGGCACTGGAGATACATTCGCCGATCTATTGATGCTGGAGTCGCGCCCAGACCATGCCAGTAGCTCGGATGGTGACGTTTCCACGCCAACTGTCCCTCCGCCACTTCAAAGTGCCGATGAGCCGGAGATTGTCCACAACATCGCCCGAAAGCCAGGCAGGGTTCCATTGCACCAACAGTTCCCCGACATTGTCACTGTAGCCACTGACTTCATCCAATCTCACGGGTTTGCTGCCCAGTCACGTCGGCGATCGCAAGTTGGGAACTCCATGGGTGTCAGCCTTGAGGATATTCAGGCGCACCTGAAGGAGAAAATTCCGGCGTTGAAGCAGAGGGGCATATCTCGAACAACAATCCACCAACTGTTTGTCGGTCCTAGGAAGGGAACCCGGAATGCAGCACGGTACCGAGACCTGATCCAAGCCCGAGTACCTGGGAAAGACAACTCGAAGCATAACTCTAACCAGGATGCTCACTTTGCATTTGCGCAAGTGAAGTATGCATTGGAGTTTGCCGAGAAGCACTCGTCTGATGTACTTTCCATCAGCTGCGATGACATGAACAAGGTGAATGTAGGCAGTCTGGCTGTGTCACGCTATCACCAGTTGAGATCCTTCTTCCCGGTGGATGACAAACCTGTGTACTCAGACCATGGCTTCCCATTTCAGGATTCCAAGATCATCCCGTCTGGGTACCTTGTTCTGAGGCATCCCGGTGACCAGCAGCAGTCCAGCCGTGTACGGTCCCGAAGCCTGCCACCAGTGACTGTCAGTACAAGACCAACTGCTAGACCCCGGGCTAGAAGTGTTTCCCCGCAGCGCCATGTGACCAGTGAGGAAAAATTTGAAGCTACTACGGATTGGAAAAAACTTTCGATAATTGCGGACGACCCCTTACATGGTGGCCCAAACCAAGGACTCTCCACAGCAAAATGTCACAATCAGCCAACTGGCGTGCCATCAGACCATGCGAAGCCAGTGCTCCCCCTAACGGCTCTCCTTACGGTGTGTGTGTGTGTGTGTGTGTGTACGTAAGTGCTGACTTGTGAGCAGTTTACACGACTTTCTGGGCTTTGTTTCTGGCCTTCTCAATTCTGGGTTTGCCCAGGGAGACTCTGTCATGGCCTGAGTCCACCCTTGAGTACCTGTATACACTTCCTAGCCAGTAGTCACCAATGGAAATGCCACTACTGCCAGTAGTCACCAATGGAAATGCCACTACTGCTAACTCAAGACGATGGTCACTCACGTTTATCCCTTCTGTACTTCATTTTCTTGGACTTGGGAGCTTCAGCTGCAGTATCATCTGATCAGCACAGACACAGGAATCACCAAGAACATAGTACACACTTAGATCTGTGTACAGTCAGCCCTCGCCTATCCGGTCCTCTTTTATCCGGATCACTCGCCATCCGGAAGAAAATCGTTGGTTACCGATTTACAGCATATGCCATGCATACATACAGTATGTGTGTTCGATTATCCGGTTCCCTCGCCTATCCGGATAATTTCGCGGAAAACGGATACGTGAGGTTATGCGAGGTTCGGCTGTATTTCCAAAACCCACGATCAGGACTAATGAACTAGCAACTTTCAGTATTTCCTCTGTTATAGGTACTTTTACCGCCGACCCACAGCCGTATGATGCGCAGCAGGTCAGCGTATATGATTATACCACACAAATCAAATCACAGCGGCAGCACCTCGTCCACTATTTAGTAATATCAACCAATTTGGTCTGTCCAGCATTATTAGTCAGGAGGGTGAGAAGCAGCTTTCGGTCTGTTCATCATTAATTTACTTCAAACTCCCCAGCGCTCCCTGGTCAACCTCCTTCACCATACCAACAACACAACTCCAGGTTATTGTAGACTTTGGCATAAACTCCATCATACAGGTCTCATCAGTGAAGGTTGTAAGGATACTGAATGGCTAGAATTCGGTGAATTGCTCAATTTTACACAGAGAATAACAGATAATGAAAGTGCCATCCCACACGTTGAGGTAACATGGGTGCTAACACGCGGAGGATAAATGCAAGATGACACTGATACATGCAAGTGTACTATGGGCATAGAGTGTGATACATGTGACACTGTAGTGAGTCAGTGTAGTCTAGGCACAAACGATCCTAGCACACTGAAAGAGCGCCCTGAATATTGGAACAGTGGGGTGCTCTTTCAGGGTGCTAGGATCGTCTGTGCCTACACTACAGTATCACATGACTGTATCAGCACTCAACGTGCGGGATGGCACCTCTTCATTTTCACAATTATTCTCTGTATAAAATTGAAAAATTCACCAAATTCTAGCCATTCTGTATTCTTACGACCTTCAGTGATGAGATCTGCATGATCGAAACAGCCGTACGGAGGAATTTATGCCAGTATCTACAACCTGGAGTCATGTTGCTGGTGGGGTGAATGAGGTCGGTCGGAGAGCGCATGTGGAGGGAGTTTGAACTAAATTAAGGTCCACCATCGTATAAACTAGATAATATACAGTTCAATAGAAAAAAACGAAAACTAGGGCACCAAACGGACAGACTTGACACCGAGCTCCAACACATCTCCGACGCACAAACCATGCAGCCTTCCAACACGAAAGGTTCATCGTTAAGGAAAGATGAAGGGAAGGCAAGTGCAAAGAAGATGAAGTCTAACAATGGTGCACAGTTACTCATAACTCGTATCCCATCTTCTCCGTACATTTACTATTGGCTCAGCATCCGAGTTCAGCATAATTTTTTCGTTTTTATGTACTTTTCGTAATATGCTTCATTGCCTAATGTAACGCATCCAGCACGAGGATTTCACAGAAAATGTCAGCAAAGCCACTGCGATGGTTTAGTAGAAATGGCTCAAAGCAAACACTGATCAGGAAACATGAGAAGACTATAACATGAAAGACTTCCAGGAATTGTGAATAGAGTTTACCTTTTTCTTTATCAGCCATGTTTCTGTCACTTCCACAACCCGATCTTCAGGGGAAATAATATCCTCGCGCGATACTAAAGAGAGACCATCAGCCACTGCCTACTATACTTCCAGTGCGACTATTAGAGGCACAATGAGACAACCTTGCAAGGTTCTGTCAGTTCAGAAAAATAAACTGCACAACAAACAAGACACGATTCACCATGTGAAAAAATTACAGTGCTTGCTTTTTTTCGGGAAAACAAAAAAGAAAGACGTCATGCATGTTTTGGCACGTGTGCGAAACGTCACGACGACGTCGTTTCACATTTCAAGGGTATGACCGCATGACGCAGGAACGCATAAATAATTATTTTCGCTACACACGTGGCCGTGGTACTGTACTGTAGATATCTGGTAGATGACCCTGATTTGAACTTTGAACCCGGTACATTTTGCAAAGGAGATTTGTATGCATAGTAGCGCTATTACACAAAAATTAATGTATACTGCGATATGAGTGGATCTACGACTGTCATGCTGCTACCTCTAGCTCTCGAAAGAAGAAGATATCAATCATATTATCGCTTGGCGAGCTGTTGGTTGTTCGAGAAAGACCTGTGTCGAAGGACTTGCTCAGTGTACAGCCGATGTTCTGGACCGAGAACCTTTCAATGCAGTCGCACTGCAGGGGATTGACACCCTGCAATACGGTTACCGGTGCACGGCATACTGATCAGTGAGTTTAGTTCAATCGGCACCGCGCAGTAATGTTTCCGATGATGAAATAATTGTAGGCGATTGGCTGTTGCCAGAGTTGACAGTGCCCTGATCTGGACCAAGATATGAACGGTATCGAGATACGAAGAAGAACAGAGAATTGTTGTCGATGCTTGATCAGATGGCTTCCGGAGAAATAGCGTCTGTCCCACGTGTCGAAGTACAGAATATCAAGGTGGAGGTGAGACTTCAGGCTGCAAGGATATAAAATGAACGAGTTTGAACTTTGGAGTAAATTTTGTACAATAGAGAGGTTAAGTTTCACGTAAAAGTCTTACGTCCGTGAACTTTTACGTCAAAAAGTGAAAAAACTCACGTAAAATTTGACGTGTTTTACGTGAGTTGACTGTCCCGCACGTAAGTTCATGACGTGAGTTTTTGGAAGTTTCGCTTGGTTATCCCGACCGAATTTGTGTGAGTTTCCGGAATTTTATCGAGATTTATCAAGTTTGTTGGAAGATTTGATATTTGTGCGAACTAAATCCGAGTCCTGCCAGGCAAAATTTCACGTCACGTCGCACGTGTAACTTAACCTCTAAAAATTACACGTAACGTGAGATTTGCACCGCGTTTTGAAAAAGGGCAAAAAACGTGTAACTTAACCTCTCTAATAATAGAGAGGTTCCGCATAACGTAATTACGTTAGTAAAAAACGTAGTCGATCTACGGAAAGTCTTACGTAAACTGCATGCGCATCTGGGTTCCGCCATACGGAGTTTTCAAATCACGTAGCTGCCCTTGGCAACTCCGAACACGGCAGTGTACGACCAGATCGACCTGGGGAGAGAGTCATAAATTTGTACCCCAATCCACTTACAGACCAGCTACGTTATCAGAGCCCTATCTACGTACTCTCCGTAGACAACTTTCCGTAAGTGGAGTGCAAACTCGCGAATTCACGGGTTTTTCCCGCCCACTAACGTAAAGTTGCTCAACTTTACGTAGTGCGGAACCTCTCTAATAGAGAGGTTAAGTTTCACGTAAAAGTCTTACGTCCGTGAACTTTTACGTCAAAAAGTGAAAAAACTCACGTAAAATTTGACATGTTTTACGTGAGTTGACTGTCCCGCACATAAGTTCATGACGTGAGTTTTTGGAGGTTTCGCTTGGTTATTCCGACCGAATTTGTGTGAGTTTCCGGAATTTTATCGAATTTTATCGAGTTTGTTGGAAGATTTGATATTTGTGCGAACTAAACCCGACTCCTGCCAGGCAAAATTTCACGTCACGTCGCACGTGTAACTTAACCTCTAAAAATTACACGTAACGTGAGATTTGCACCGCGTTTTGAAAAAGGGCAAAAAACGTGTAACTTAACCTCTCTAATAATAGAGAGGTTCCGCATAACGTAATTACGTTAGTAAAAAACGTAGTCGATCTACGGAAAGTCTTACGTAAACTGCATGCGCATCTGGGTTCCGCCATACGGAGTTTTCAAATCACGTAGCTGCCCTTGGCAACTCCGAACACGGCAGTGTACGACCAGATCGACCTGGGGAGAGAGTCATAAATTTGTACCCCAATCCACTTACAGACCAGCTACGTTATCAGAGCCCTATCTACGTACTCTCCGTAGACAACTTTCCGTAAGTGGAGTGCAAACTCGCGAATTCACGGGTTTTTCCCGCCCACTAACGTAAAGTTGCTCAACTTTACGTAGTGCGGAACCTCTCTAATAGAGAGGTTAAGTTTCACGTAAAAGTCTTACGTCCGTGAACTTTTACGTCAAAAAGTGAAAAAACTCACGTAAAATTTGACATGTTTTACGTGAGTTGACTGTCCCGCACATAAGTTCATGACGTGAGTTTTTGGAGGTTTCGCTTGGTTATTCCGACCGAATTTGTGTGAGTTTCCGGAATTTTATCGAATTTTATCGAGTTTGTTGGAAGATTTGATATTTGTGCGAACTAAACCCGACTCCTGCCAGGCAAAATTTCACGTCACGTCGCACGTGTAACTTAACCTCTAAAAATTACACGTAACGTGAGATTTGCACCGCGTTTTGAAAAAGGGCAAAAAACGTGTAACTTAAGGGGGCACATCACCCAAAAATTTCATATGACATTCAATTGACCGTAACTTTGGTGTTTCTCAGTGGATTTGAGTGAAATTTTGAACACACACTCCTGCCACTATGCTGGCCCTCAGGACATGATTTACAAGTTCTTGCGCCTCACTGACAGGCTTTCCAGGCCGGAAAAACTCAAATTTCCGGCATAGTGCCACGGTGTGCGAGCCACCCAGGAGCCAAACAAATGCATTTACATTTTTTTCACATTTTCGTGCCCATTCTGTCCGTGCGCGGGACCCAAACCTAAAACAAGTCCAGAAGCAGCCATGGGTGGTGGGGTAGGACCCCTCTACGTGGCCCTGGAATCTGTCACAACGGAACGAGTGGGCGTTCTTTCACGGACTCCCACAGACCCAAGTCAATTTTTGAATTTTTTTAGGTTTAGCATCCCCCCACCTCACAACAGAGCAACCGAGTTTTGCATTAAGCTGGGAGTGCCGATTCGAGCAACTGGTATAATGGCTCGCAGCTGAGCCAGCAAATGACTCCGCTTGGAGCAGGCGAATGACTCCGCATGGAGCCGGCAAATGACTCCGCATGGAGCCGGCAAATGACTCCGCATGGAGCCGGCAAATGACTCCGCATGGAGCAGGCGAATGACTCCGCATGGAGCCGGCAAATGACTCCGCATGGAGCCGGCGAATGACTCCGCATGGAGCCGGCGAATGACTCCGCATGAAGCCGGCAATTGACTCCGCATGGAGCCAGCGAATGACTCCGCATGGAGCCGCCGAATTACTCCGCATGGAGCTGCCAATTACTCCGCATGGAGCCGCCGAATGACTCCGCATGGAGCCGCCAATGCCTCCGCATGGAGCCGCCAATGACTCTGAATAGAGCCGCCAAATGCTAGATATATAGAGATGCATAACCAGTTGAGAGCATATATTCTCATGGACTATACAGATACCGTCATGTGTGCGCCAGAAACATGAGTTGAGCTAGTGGGTGGGAGGGTGGGAAGGAAATTGTTTCGGGAACACCTGTTCCACAAGTTGCATGCTCGAAAGTCCAAACAGCAATGACATGAAAGAGACATTGTACAGGATATTGAAGGGCGCGTGCCCACGTGACTCGCGCATGCGTGCAGGTTGGGCCAGCTCGCTGGGCTGGCTGCTAACTCGCGTTAGCATGCTAACGCTCATTTAGCATCCCCCCACCTCACAACAGAGCAACCGAGTTTTGCATTAAGCTGGGAGTGCCGATTCGAGCAACTGGTATAATGGCTCGCAGCTGAGCCAGCAAATGACTCCGCTTGGAGCAGGCGAATGACTCCGCATGGAGCCGGCAAATGACTCCGCATGGAGCCGGCAAATGACTCCGCATGGAGCCGGCAAATGACTCCGCATGGAGCAGGCGAATGACTCCGCATGGAGCCGGCAAATGACTCCGCATGGAGCCGGCGAATGACTCCGCATGGAGCCGGCGAATGACTCCGCATGAAGCCGGCAATTGACTCCGCATGGAGCCAGCGAATGACTCCGCATGGAGCCGCCGAATTACTCCGCATGGAGCTGCCAATTACTCCGCATGGAGCCGCCGAATGACTCCGCATGGAGCCGCCAATGCCTCCGCATGGAGCCGCCAATGACTCTGAATAGAGCCGCCAAATGCTAGATATATAGAGATGCATAACCAGTTGAGAGCATATATTCCATAAATCGGCACTCCCAGAGCGGATCACAAAGTGCAGCTACCTGTGATATTTGTAAGCAGTGCAAGCTCGGTAACGATTGACTAACAGGAACTCGATATCATGGGCTGAGGCCATTGCCACGGCCACCCATGCTTTGGCTGCTGGTGGCCTCTGAATGTTACTCGGGCAGACATGGCTTTCCACCTTCCCGCCTCTCTGAATATCGAGTCCGGCAGCTGATTCGAAACGAGTGGCCGGTGTATGACGCCAGGCCATAGCCACAACTGATGAGCAAGATTTTCGCAGTTGCTGCAAAGCCGATCGATTGGCATCTGCTGCTGGTGCCGCTAGCTTTTCCAGGTGCTGCCACAATTGCAAACCACTCTTTGCGATTGGCTGGTCTGCTTGATTGACTGTCCATTGCCCTATCCCCGGTTGCAATTGTTTGCGCACCAGCCAAGTGCACCACTTGCATCAGTGAATAGCAGCAAGTTGGGGGACGGCGTCCACTTAAGGTGTAGGAAGAAAGACCGGCCGTTCTACTATTCCAGGAGCTAAGGCCATCAGCGAAGGTATTTGAGGCACTCTTCGGAGAGCTTGATCAGGTAATACGGCTGCCGGTACCAGTTGGCAAGTGACCACAATCTGCAATGTGCGTCCTGGGACTATCACTCTTGTAGCAAACGAGAGCTTTCCCAAAAGATACTCGAGTTGACATTGGGTAGTTGAAGCTGTGTTGAGAGTGGCCCGTAGGAGGTCGTGAAGCTTGGCAAGTTCGTCCATCGGCAGACTGATGTGAGCGCGCGGGTGTCCAGGATGACGCCGATAAACGTCAGGACGTGGGCTGGACCCTCCACTTTTGCTGACGCCAGAGAAACACCGAGGTATGTAAACGCACGGCGCCGAGTAGCGAGTTGCTGGCGAGCTAACACAGGTCCAGAGCATACATCGAGGAAGCACTTTTGCTGACGCCAGAGAAACACCGAGGTATGTAAACGCACGGCGCCGAGTAGCGAGTTGCTGGCGAGCTAACACAGGTCCAGAGCATACATCGAGGAAGCACTTTTGCTGACGCCAGAGAAACACCGAGGTATGTAAACGCACGGCGCCGAGTAGCGAGTTGCTGGCGAGCTAACACAAGTCCAGAGCATGCATGGAGACAGAAACGTTAGTCGAGGTATTTCCCGTAATGGGAAGATGCCAATAACGTCAGGAATTGAGCTGGACCCTCCACTTTTGCTGGGGCCAGAGAAACACCGAGGTATGTAAACGCTCGGAGCAGAATAGCAAGTTGCTGGCGAGGTAACACAAGTCCAGAGCATGCATTGAGGAAGTAACATTAATTGAGGTATTCCCCGTAATGCAACAGGCGTGGGAGTGCGAACTGCCCGCACACAATCCATTCACTGGCGGATGCGACAGAGTTCCATATAGCTGGCCTGGAGCGTAGTACAGTCTGAAGGGCAGGACGCTC